CATATACCTTCCAGCCTTTCTCTTAATTTTCTATGAAAATATTTCTCCAGCGTGGGTCGATGTAATCGAAACTGATCCACACTGAAAGGTACCGCCAGGTTCTTTATTTCACTCTCTATGACACTTCTAATGACATAATCATAATCCACTCCGAATTCTTTATGGAGATCTCCAAGCTCCTTCTTTCTGTAATCAAGATAGATTCAAAAGTTTAATAGATGATCATTCATTGGGATGTTTTGAAATTTTTAAAGACTAGTGAAGCATCAAGATATATCAAAATATGGTATTAGCAAAAATTCTTATACATGAACAGAACATCAAAGGGAATTTCAATCCTTGTGATTTCAAAATGTTCTGTATTAAATTGTAATGGATTTAATTAATTAAGATTATAACAAATCAAGATTCCATGTCTGTTTTCACTTTGCTATATAAGCATGCTTTACTGAATAACGGTTTAATTTTATATTCTTACTTAAGGAAGTATTGCACATGGTAGGTAATTTCGATGGGCAGCTTGTCAAGTGTGAAGACACCGTGAGTTTTGGACACAGTGTGGGCAGTCGCATCAAACTCCAGAAAGCCCACACTAGGGCCCAGGATATAACAGCCAAACTCATAAGTGGTGGATCTATCCACCACACCAGTAATTTTGTTATATTTCATGGCAATCTATAAAAAAGAAATAAGTTCACTCTAATAAAACATCAGTGCTGTCTTATTTTCAGATGAATTCAAATACTGTAGATCACTAAATTTTCGCGACACCTTATTTTCGCGAGATAGTCATTGACTCATGATTAGAGAGATAAAAATTTCACGAATTGTGGTTATTGCCCTATATGATCTTAAGGAATGCTATTATATGCGTGAAATAAATTTTCGCGAGCACGCTGTCTCGCGTAATTACGCGAAAATAAAGTTCTCGCAAATAAAAAGTAAAAAGTAGTTGGAGGAAAGAGGTTATTACATGTATTTAAAATGCTGTTGGACTTTTTCTTCATTAAAGTGGACAATTTTCTTCACAAGCTTTTAAGGTGATATTATCAAATGCAGCTTTGAATTGCCGTGCATTTTAAAAGTTTCCAAAAATCAACTGAATAAAAACTATTTATAGAAATTTTTAATAAATACATGTACATGTAATACCTCCCTATAAAGGACACATTTTCTTTAAATCACTATTTTGTGGATAAGATAAACTTTTATAAGAATTACATTTTTACCTTATGATAATCTAAATACACAAAGCTGGCAGGGAAAACCCCTAAAAAGACAATGGCTGAGATGATCCCAGTCACCAGAATGACAGCACAGCACAGCTGATTAAACGATACGTTCTCCATACGACGGCGAATAAACTTCTGTAGACGAGATCCCGACTCCTCCTCTCTGTCAGAAAATACAAATTAACAATGCTCAACAAACAAATTCTATCCTACAAAACGTTTTAGAAATGAGCTTTTTGACATAAAGTTTGTATAGTAGCATTCTGTTAGCGATATTTGCACATTAAAGTTTTTTCGCATTAAAAGCAAACTAGTTTCTTTCAGGTCTAAATTAGAAGTACTGTGAGCACTGAACTCACTAAATGATACCCTCGTCTCCCATGTGGTTATAATAGCAACATCCTTGTTTTGCTCTGGGAGGCTCGAAATAATAATAGGAGGTGCACATTCTGCATAATGGCGTTATGTAATAAAAAGAATCTGTGAAAGAATCATTAATTTTTACTCAGTTGTATAGGAGGAGTTGTGCATAAGAGATGAGTACCCTTCACCACAAATGAAAGAATGGCAGTGTCCAAGTTTTTCTGTGAGAAACTCTAAATATGTGTCAGATCAAAAACATAAAACAGGAGGCGCACAATGGCTCTATGTAACAAGGATTCTGTAAAAGTCTCAATAAATTTCAGTCAGTGGTACATGTATATGAGGAGTTGCAGATAAGATATAGGTTCCCCAAAGCATAACAGATGTACAGACAGCTAGACAGACACAGACGGACGTAGAGATTAAAGGAAATTCCAATCACTATGTAACCCCCCCCCACCACTTTTCAAGCAGGGGGTATAATAAATGTTTTTATTTTAAGATACAATACTATGTCGTTGTACCTGTCTTGAGTTCTCCCTTCCTCCACTGTAAATACACCCACAGGAGATGGCTCTGGTATGGGTGTCGGAGGTTCTTCTACAAGAAGATTAGTTTCGGATTTAATTAAATGTGATGTAGCATTTAAACTTAAGAATAAGAAATTCATTTCATAAAAGAATACTTCCAAGAAAGTCCAATGGTTATCATAAGAAGTTGAATTTTTTTTATTATTGTAAAAATATATAATTTTTTTTTGCAGAGAAATGGAATGTATTATGTATTACACTGTATCTAATTTACCGGGTACATATGTAATTTGATTGGTCCTCACCTAATGACATCATTGAGGCGGAATGAGAAGCCGGTGGAGTTTTATGTGGTTCAGGGACATCATTAGAAGCTGAAATACAATGATCAAATATTATATCAATCAGATATACAATCAATGTGTCAAAATTACTTATTAAATCAGATAATCACAAATATTTTATACAATACATTTAGTCATGCATATGCAATAATTAACACAGACAGCAATCTAATCAAATCAAAATAAGTTTTTCTGATCCACTCAATAATTATCATTTATCTGAATTTTATATGAATTTTTACCAAAATCTTGATCTGTCCTTGGAACTATATATAAATCCCTCCTGGCCCCTGGACTGTGAGGTCGATACGAGGGTCGTAGGGGACGCTAAAATACAATATCAATATAAAATTATTTTTAGAAGAATTACATGCATTTTTAACTAATAATAGACATTTTATTTAACATTAAAATGTATTCACAATCTAAAAGTAGTTGTTAATCAAAAAGTTAAACACAAAATGTGATCATTACACCTTATAGTGTGAATTTTTACATTCTTTTTGATATTCCTCTCTCCCCATCTACTTACACGCTCCACTTCATCAATTTCCTCTTGTGACGAAATTCGATGATCATCAACTGATGAGGAAATTCCCTGATCATCATGACTTTGATCTCTGACATAAAAAGGTGAATTGTTTATATACATTTTATATTATTTTTGTTATTTCAAACTTTGACTTTGCATTCTGAAGGCCTGGTAAATTCTATAACATATACCACAGCTCAATTTCTCATGGTAAGATAAATCAAAATTGTTATGAAAATTCTAATATTAATTCTTTTCACTAAAATGCCTGTATTTTCATTATTTCACCAATGGCAACTCATTAAAACATGCATTCTTCATGTGTAGAGAATGTTTCATCAATCATGAAAATTATTCCTCACAAATTGATTTTAATCCGAGGAATCACGAATAAAAGATGGTGCGAATAGTTGGTTTACAGTAATGGAAACAACGGAAAGATTTTATTTTACTTTCAAAATTTGAAACTTGCTATCCGCAGTTCAATTGAAAAAATTCTCATTAAAGAAAACTTATTACCTATCTTTTCTGTTTTTGTTTTCTTTGGACTTCATACATTTCCTTACCTCGTATTCATTGCTTCCTCATATGTTGGTAGTTGATCTACAAAATTCAGGTTATTGGTCACTACTATATCATCTGTATAAATAAACCTAGGCATAAACAATCAATAACTTTGAAATTTTCTGCATTAAATCAAAATACAAAGGTGTTGATGAAATCCAACGCCATGTCATGTTTCTGGATAAGAACACACAAATAATTTGAACTGTCATAAGGAAATGAATGCCCCCCTGTGAGCTTGCTTACTTGAAAATCTGCTTAAAAAGACTCTGTAGTATAATAAGATTACAGGTAAAAAGATTCAATGCAATATTTGAACTACAAATGTATTATTTACATATTCCTTATCACGATAAACCATAAGTCAAACATCTGCATAACACTGCTTAAATCCTAACAAAACACTGCTCTTCTGCACCTTGTGAACTTGACAAAATGATCTTGGCTAAGGATCCTCTGGTCAAGGACAACTGGGGGGCCATAAAATTTAGAAAAGCTCACTTTTGATTTGTCTCACTTTTCCACTATAGATATATTCCTTTGATAAAAGTGAGACCAAGATCAAAAGTGAGCTTGTCTACGTTTTTGGCCGCCAGGCCTGAACTGTATTAGTATGAACATCTAAAGAATCATTTTGAATATGTAATACTGAGCTTGGACCTTCTCTCTAACATACCCATAACCTGCACAACAGGTAGAACAGTCAGATGGAAATATGAATTTTATTTTATACGCATTAACCCCCCCCCCCCCCCTTTCCAAAAAAAGAAACTGGGTAAAAATAAAAAGTGTGGTCTATTATATTCAATGCTGTTTACAAAAAGTGTGACTTACCATCCTGATTTGCACTGTTGTCATGGTGTGGAATGCTATGGTTACTTGCTCTCAAGTTTGCTAATATAAATACAGTGCATGTAAATAAAATATTAAACAATAAATACCATTAATTATGTAAAAGTTTAAAATTGACATTTAAACCTTTACATTTTTTATAAACATATAAGGCTGATCATTAACTATTTTTTTATGCAAGTTGAAATAATATACCAGTATAAACTGGTACATGTACATGATTGTAATTCAGTAATGTGGGCAGTGGTCCACAAATTTATCACACTCTGATACTTAAACCATTTATAGTCTCTGACACAGAACCGATGACAAAACTACTTATTAAGAGGAGACAGCCCTCAACTAACTAATGTTGCTTCTATATAATTAAGATTTTTTTTAAAAATATATTGTAGTATTCAGTTTACAGAATTGTAAAAGACTACATGTACATGAAATCAGCCCATGAGGGAATTGCCCTCATATTTATAAACATTCTACAGATACTCCAATGCCCCCCAAAACAGTATTTACATGCTATCTGTTTTAGTCCATCATATTACATGTATCTCCTATGGTCAAATTAGTCAAGTGCATTTTTAATAACACCAATTACAGTTCATACATACCAGTAACTTCATGTAGTTCTGCAAAAGAAGTAAAATATTTAAAGTTAAACTAGAGCAAAGCTCGTTGCAAAGCAACGAGTAGGTCTTCCGTCCTGTTTGACCGGAAGTAAGTTTTATTTTAAAAAAAAGAAGAGAGAAATGACGTCTCTAATGATTTAAATCTTCCAAATCTATGTTGATAGTTGCAAAAGTAAGCCATTTTTGCTACTTCCTGTTTGACCGGAAGTGACGTCGACGGACAAAATTAAGTTTTATGCTTCCAGTGACAAATATTTCCCCAAAACATGTCAAAAATATGCAGTTTCAAACTACTTCCGGTTTGGCCGGAAGTGACGTCACAGGACGTACTTTGATGACATCAGTAGATTTTACCAGAGATTTCTACAACTTTGCTTCATTGATGTATAACAAATTCTGAATACTTTTTGAGAAATCTGGAAAAAAAGCTTTTGGCCATTCTAGATCCCTTAATTTAGGGGTCAGTTCTTTTTCCGACACATCATTTGAAAGATCTTCTAATTCAGCACAAATTATGTTCTATATATTTTAACAAAACATTTTCAGTTTACAAGATAAAAAAACAAAATATAAGTAATTTTTGGTTCTTTTAAGCGTTCTAATTTTTGACCCCTATATAGCGCCATCTTGAATAAAGAAATCGAAAAACAAAAACCGATGTGCACAACTTCAATCCTTCTATTATCTAAAATCAGTAGAATTTCTGCTCCAGCTTTAGCCGTCTCTGAGCCTTTGTCTGGAAACAAAAGCCTATAAATTTTCGTTTAAAGGGAAATAACTCAAAACCGGAAGTGGCTTTTTGAAATTTTAGACAGCATTCTGATAGAGTTTAGTAACTTCTAGTACCTCTGAAAATTTGAGCGAAATCAATTGAGAAATGAGTGAGATATGAGGCTTCAAAGTTGGCGTCTAGGAAGTAGAAGAAAAAAAAAAGAATAATAATCTTTACCAACAGAATCAGTAGAAGGTCTTCCGTTGGAAACGGAAGACCTTAATAATGAAATAATTTTCTTAAATTTAATTACATCCATGATTTAAATCTATGGCCTCTGACTCCTTCTCAATAAACAGTTTTAAAGAGGTTAGATTCTCAGGAATTCAACTCTGGTCTCCAAAGAGATTACTGTATAGACATAAAGAAACTCTGACTCAAGTTTTACTCCCTGCTTATCTCTATAAACTAACTAAAGGACTTGTTAACTCCTAATAAGGCTAGTATACAAAAGTTTGCCTTACCTACTCCTTGGCCTTCTGCCTCTGTCTGCCTCTGGAGAACCTTCCTCGCTGCTTCCTGCATTTTAAGCTTCTCCTCACCCTCTTCATCTGAAAATCAACATTGACAACATCAAACGTAGGGGATAGGCATCTCACTCTTCACTTTTCTATCAATTTTAGTCCAGTTAACCCTCCGCAATGAATAAAACATATATTTAATATAAGAAGGTCAGATAATGCACTGAAATTTTATTTGCAACTTTTTTGGAACATGATTTAAACAATTATAAAAGACAGACAAAAGTCATTAATTTTTTCATTAACATGTTTAATTTTTCCATGTCACTGTGTTTAAAAAAAGTTTCATTGATTGCAAATAAAACTCTTTCAATTTAAATTAATGCTGCTAATGAATGGGAATTATGAATCTGATAATAACTGATATCAAACCTAAACCATGTTAGCAATCTCAAAAAATAGAATAGCCTGCTGGTACATTGCAAGTATATGGGACATATTCTAACTGTGGTGACTGACACCACATTACATGCCTCATTACATGCATTCATGTGTTCAGGAAACAACCTGTGACTAACAACTTGTGCATGGTTTTTTTTCCCTCCTTTTGTAGGAATTGGTTTTCACTTCATCAAATTAACAGTTTGCTGATTCTTTATTTCATAAAAATAGTGTAAAACAACCATTCTAATGCAATTGTTTTGTAAAACACGTTTTGATTGGCTAATGTGCTGATGTATAAAGCAGTAAAATGAGCATTAATGAGTCTAAGAGTGAAAGCTTTCCATTGTGACGGCAAAACAGAGCGATGCAAAAAACACAAGGCTCCGTGACATATTTCATATAACAAAACTTCAACAAAATAAGACGTAAACAGCAATACTGCATAGATTACATTAGAATGGGAATAACTAAGTTCTAATTTGGTATTTGCAACCGTTAATGCTGATTTAAAGGTTGCACACATCCGTTTTACCGGCTTCGCTAATACCAAATTAGAAGATAGTTATTCCCTAATTAACATACCTCTGTCCTGCCTTCTGTCACCGCTGTCCGCCATGACTGATTGTGTGGAAGCTCACTGTACTTCCTTTTCTCTGAAGATCTGCTTATAAAAAATGCATTAATATTTATCAGATGTTTTTTTTTAATTTAGTTTCTCCATCCCTAGTTGCAATAAGGTAGCCCTCTCATTTTGGGGTGGGGCAGGAGTATAATGTTTTAATAAAGTGGGAAGGCTTATCTTTTTAAGTTTTGCAAACAATCATATAAATGTAACAAAATATAACTTGGTATCTTTCTTTACCATTCAATATCCATTTTATATGCAGTAGCTTAACATAGCCTCCATCAGTTTTAGTGTTTAATGAGGACTTCCAATTTGCACGAGCCATTTCGCAATATTGATGAAAAGATGCTATCTTTTTCGTTTTCATCGAAAAGAAAGCACTTCATATGTTGAATCTTTTTAATTTTCTTACCTCCTCGAGTTCACATCCTGCGTTACATTGTCAGTTATTAGTTATATTTTAAGGTGTGACAAATCTTCTGATCATTTAGATGCATTTGTTTACATGAAAATTGAAATTCAAACATCCAAATAACTCGGATTGCATATACTAAAATTCAAACAGAACAGATTCAAATTTTCCGAAAAAAATACAAAGCCCATGTTAAAAACATTTTATGCCCCCCGCTCAATCTCTCGTTGAAAGAGGGGTATATTAATTTGGATTTATCTGTATGTCAGTCTGTCTGTCCGGACGTCTGTTTGTCTGTCTGTCTAACAGTTACACTTTCACTCTCTACTCTGATTAGCCAACCCTAATCTTATCGTCGTTAGCATGGTTAGGAGAAGGGGGTGCATGGTTTTAATTCGACTGTTTCGTTTCCTACCGCACATATCTATATGAGCGTTTGCAATGAAATTCTATATCATAATTTCTTATGGCTAAAAGAAGACCTCAATTAAATTTTAGATCAGATGTCTTTCATTTCATGAAAAGGCAAAGATTTTATATATATATATATATATATATATATATATATATATATATATATATATATATATATATATAACCCCTATAACTAAATATCTAGCCAAAGTCCAAAATATCTAGAGACTTTAACTCTCAAACTTGCAAAACTTGCTTATATTTTATTTTACAAAATATGAAGTTTTTCATTTTCCATAAAATGCACAAAACACGGTCCACTAAATTATTAAAAACAATTCATCACAGATTTATATATATATATATATATCAACCTATCAAATACTCGACAGGAAATATCAAATATAGAAAAAGAAATTCTGCAGTTTCTCGGCATTTGTCAGCCATATTGAATTTTCGGTGCAATTCCCTACACAGGCCCTGCACAGGGTGTAGATTGTGTACACTATGCTTTGTGTAGCGATAAAAACTGGAGCGGATCAAAGATCTAATTTTAATTAGATTGCGAATGATCAAATGTAAAGCTCATAAATTCATATATTCTGTACATGTAATATTTTTTTTCTGTTTTAATTAAATAATGCCTTTGCAAAGTATTATGACGTCATAATCAACAAACTCATTGTTACGTCACAAATAGATTGTGTGTTGTTAGATACAGTCATTGCATTGGCGCTCTGTAAAGATCATGGGTCTTTTTCAGAGTTGTTTTGCCAAAAATAACAAAGTGGGCGTGATGAAGGAAGAGATAGAGGCGTACGAGAAAGTACGACGTACAATGGTTACAAAGGAAGTAACAAAAAAGAAAGGCGGTGTGGCCTTTGATCTCACCTTCGTTTCAGAGGAAATCCCAAAGATGCCTCCACCCAGATTGCTTGAAAACAAAAAGGAGGATTTTGAGAAATGGAGAGGTAGGTGTTTATGTATATCCATTCAATGAGGTTTTTAGTTCACCTGAGCCGAAGGCTGAAGTGAGCTTTTCTGATCACATTTTGTCCGTCGTCCGTCATGTCCGTCTAGCTGTCTAGCTGTCCGTCCGTCCGTCTGTAAACTTTTCACATTTTCAGACTTCTTCTCAAGAACCACTGGGCCAATTTTGACCAAACTTGGTACAAAGCATCCTTGGGTGAAGGGGAATTTAAATTGTTAAAATATAGGGCCAAGTCCCCTCACAAGGGGAGATAATCAAGAAAAGACAAAAATAGGGTGGGGTCATTAAAAAATCTTCTTCTCAAGAACCAATGGGCCAGAAAAGCTGAAACTTATGTGGAAGCATCCTGGGGTAGTGTAGATTCTAAATTGTTCAAATCATGACCCCCGGGGGTAGGGCGGGGCCACAATGGGGAATCAAAGTTTTACATAGAAATATATAGGAAAAATCTTTGAAAATCTTCTCAAGAACCACTGGTCCAGAAAAGCTGAAACTTGTGTGCACATGGAAGCATTCTGGGGTAGTGTAGGTTTCAAAATGTCTAAATTATGATCAGTGGGGTAGGGTGGGGTCGCAATATGTATTACAAGGGGGAAATCTTGTAAAGAACAAAATGGCCAAAGCTTCTTATATGTATATATTGTTATACTAAAACTTTTTTAACCCAATATACCGTATAAGTAGAATTTTTAGCGAGGATTTAATTTTGGCATTATTAGCGAGGGTGTCGAGATCGCTAAAGTTGAATATCGCTAAATATTAATTGCGTTTTATTTGTAATAGCTTCTTTGATATGCATTTTAAAATCGCTCAAATAACATCTCGCTAAAAATAAATTACCCGTTTTTAAGGACAAATCGCTAAATTTGCGTCTCGCTAAAATTTCCACTTATACTCACTTATACGGTAGTAGGCATAAGCTTGCTCTAAGTGATTGGAATGCGAATGATTATGACGAAGAAAAAGTGGCAGTATTTATACCAATTTGAGATTACAACATTTTGTATTTGATTATTTTTATGTTTGACAGAGTCTCAGGAAAAAGCCCAGACAGAGAAGCAGGAGCGGGCACAGCAGAAGAGAGAGGAAGCCCGTATCCAGAAAGAGATTGAAGTGGCCCACAAGGAGATGGAGAGGCTCGAGAAATATGTCAACATCGATAGCACTGCCCAATGAATTAGACTCTTGATATCATTGACTAAAATTTTAATTAACACAATACTTTAATCTGTAATTTTTAACATTGGAACCAAAGAGGGGACACCCGAGCTCTTTATAAGCTGTGTTTGGCTTTTAATTTCACCTGTTTCTTTCTTTTTCTTTCTTTTTTTTTTTTCTTTTTTTTTTTTTTTTTTTTTTTTTTTTTTGCCTTTCGATTTAAAAAAAATTCATTTCGCAATGTGGGGCCTTGGAGACAGATCTGAGACTAGCATTGCGAAACAAAATTTTACTTTTCCAAAATGTTCATGTCTTTCGGAACTTTGGCTCTATAAATACTCATTCCGTCAGGGATCAGGAATGGGTATTACGTTGGAACACCCATCCCGTCAGTGATCAGGGATGGGGGTTCCTCGTCAAAAACTTCTAAATTGTAAACGAAGCATCCGTTTAGAGATGTCCTGAAGCTCCGTTGTCCCCTCTTTTCAAAAATCTGTTATTCAAAGGTTTAATAAACTAATTATTTGCAAGCATATTATCGTGTTTTCTTATTTTTGTGTAAAAATACATGTGTATATATGTAAACTTTTTGCACTTAAAATTAAACTGAGGCTAGAAAACATCATAAAATGTTATTCATATGTTAGTACGCGTTTTCTTAATTATTGTTTTAGTGTATGGACAAAATTATCAATTAATTTTGTTTCGTTGCATCATTGAATTAAGAAACATTTCCATGACGACATCAATTTGAAGTTTTCCCAAAGAATTTTGAATACTTTAAGAATTTCCTAACATTTTCGTTTTAAAGAATTAAAAAGATAATCTTGGAGTATATCTCCAAAACCAACTCGTCTTTATACATCAATGGAAAATGTTTTGGGCTCTGCGAAAATACAAGGGTGTAAATATGACTTTATCGTTCACATTTTAAATACATGTATTTGATACTATACATCCCCATGGAATTTTTTTTTAAGACAACAGTCTTTTCCTGAATTTTTTTATTGGGGTACATTGTGATATACAAACATGTCCTGCAGATATTAATTTATTCTTACTAGAATCTATATGAACTTAAAATGCCATGAAATTAAAACTCTTTAGTGAACAGTCACGGTGGAACAGTAAGGGGGGGGGGGGGGTTCATGCAGAAACTACATGTAGTAACTTTCCACAGTCGAGGGTAAAACCCACAGGCGCCAGAGGGTAAAACCCACAGGCGCCAAACTCGCTCGAATTTTTTACCCCTTTCTAGCGAGTTTGGTCTCTGGTTAAACGCAAACAATCACAATATCACGATTTATCTCCCGTTTTTGAACTTCACTGTTAATACAACATAATTAAAAAGAGGGAAAAACAAATCAGTGTTCACTTTTATAATAACTAGCTCAATATCCTGACAATTTCTTTTTTGCAATATAAGGTACATCTTATCCTATAAATTTTATGATGTCTGCCTTTCACCACTTTCTGAAAGATCTGATTGGCATGAAAAAGAACAAGACGACAGATGAACTATGGCGATTTCTTTCTTCCTTGGCGGGAGAAATATTGGATTATAGATCGGGTGGCAAAACTCTTTGTAAAACGCTGCAGTTTTTTCAGTTTTTATGTTTTCATGTATATGATTCAATGCATGGAATCGACGTTCGATCGCCAAAATCAGGATAAGATTTTTTCCCTACATATACATACTGATAATACTGAGATCAAATTAAAATTTTAGTTGAGTACAGAAGTAATATAAGATGTTTTCTTTTTCATCTTCACTTTCCTATGATGGGGGCTTCAAACGCTCTAAAAATGAAAAAAAAGGAATTAATATAAACAAGAGTAAGATATATACATAATACACAAAACATACATGTGTATCCAAATCATACAAATTATCTTTCTGTGCATTAGAAGGAAAATGTAAACTCACGATGATTCGCAGATAAAGTGGTGAGGGACGGTGCAAGGAAGATCATTCCAGTGGTAATGGAACGCACCCCTGAGTTCCATGCAGTCCTCACCATTAGCATCATCTGGTTGTCCAGGATTCCAATCAGTGAATATCAACGGCGCGTCCGATTTCACCCACTTAAATACCCCCTCTATTTCGATATCATTTCCTCCCAACCAATAGGAAACTTCGTTTTGATCTGTTGTTGAAGCTACATGTAATAATAGAATTAAGTTAAGTGTACATAACATGAAGAGCCAATATTTAAGGTTTCTTATGAAATTGGTACTTTTGTTTTTCTTACTGTGGTTGTGGATTGCCCTTAATCGGGATTCTAGGAAATTGTTCTCTACGTTTGTTTCAATCTCCGTCAACATGGAATTCATGCTCATACAATACGCCTAAAATATGTGAACTAGACGTAAATTATAATTTTTTGATCTTTACATTTTTTACCGACCAATGAAAATTGCATTTACCTCAGCTTCCGGCCAAGTGGCCTTCTGGGTCCCAAAGTAATAACAACTTTCTTGAAAAAATTCCCATCCTCCTCGACAAGTATCAACTTGTGTATAGCCTTAAACATGAAAAGTTATATGTTTACTCATACACAAAAAAGGATTTATAAGTATCGCAATTTTCAAACACTGTTAAGTGGACCTAAAAACGCAATTTTTAAAATTTCCGCATATATAGTTTTGTTTTAATTTGTCATTTACAAAAAATTTAATAAATCAACTCCATGTAATCATAAACAAAGATGTGCTTGTCAATAAATGTATTTTTCAACCTTCGTATCGCCCAAATTGAAGATTTTTTATGTTGAAAACTTCTAATACTTAAAAATTGAGTACAAACCTTTTTCAATGAACAATACAATAACAAGCAGGAGGCAATGTCGAAACATCACGGTCGAAGATAGGGTAAAACAGATATTTCTCAATATATATTGAAACGTTCAACGTAAATAGAAAGGCCCGCACGTTTTATCAGTAGACATAATATAGATAATGTAAAGTCAAATATCTCACTACTTTGGACAGAAATAAATTATGTCCTACATATTCATCAAGAAAAATTACCTTTGATCTCTTAAATCTCTGACTGAACAAACTCAAGCAAACATACATACAAACAGAAACAAGCTAATTCAGAAAATATGTGCCCCCGATTAAGGATACATTACAAAATGTGTTTGTGAAACACTGATGGCCGCATGGCAACTTATGACAAGGTTTATACGTGTTAAACATTCTCAAATGCAAGTCGAACTCAAAAGGTCGAACTGAGTCAAGAGTCAAGATTGTTGGTACCCAAAGAAGTTTCTTACCACAAGAAATACACGTGCCCTAGTTCTAATTGTTCAAAAGTTATGGCCAAGGTTAAAGTTTTTAAAAAGTTGGTCAAACTCTGAGGTCGAGGTCACAAATATGTATATCCACTGAAAGATCTTGTCACATTACACATGTGAAGTATGAAATACCGAGCATCAACTGTTCAAAAGTTATGACCAAGGTTAAAGTTTGATTATTTTTCGTAAAAGTGGGTCAGACTCCAAGGTCAATTAAGAGATTAAATATGATGGTACCCAAAGAAGGTCTTGCCACAAGGGATACGCATGTGAAATTTGAAAGTCATAAGATATGGGCAAGGACAGTGCGAACAAACAGACACACTGAAGGGCAGATTGGGCAAAAGCTATATACTTGTATACTCTCGAATCTTCGATTACGGAGGCGTGAAAAAGATAATTGTCTTAATACGTTTCTACGAAAGCCTACAAGGGTCAAATTAGTAAACGAAGAAAAAAAAATTAAGTCGTAATAACGACTTTTTATCTCGTTATTACGACTTTCTTAAGTCGTAATAACGACTTTTTATCTCGTAATAACGACTTAATTAAGTCGTAATAACGACTTTTTATCTCGTTATTACGACTTTTTATCTCGTAATAACGACTTTTTAAAGTTGTAATAACGACTTTTTATCTCGTAATAACGACTTTCTTAAGTCGTAATAACGACTTTCTTAAGTCGTAATAACGACTTTTTATCTCGTAATAACGACTTTCTTAAGTCGTAATAACGACTTTTTATCTCGTTATTACGACTTTTTATCTCGTAATAACGACTTTTTAAAGTCGTAATAACGACTTTTTATCTCGTAATAACGACTTTCTTAAGTCGTAATAACGACTTTTTATCTCGTTATTACGACTTTTTATCTCGTAATAACGACTTTTTAAAGTCGTAATAATGACTTTTTATCTCGTAATAACGACTTTTTTATCTCGTAATAACGACTTTCTTAAGTCGTAATAACGACTTTTTATCTCGTTATTACGACTTTCTTAAGTCGTAATAACGACTTTTTATTTATTTTTTTTCATTTGAAATATTTTTTTTAACTTGATCCTTCTAGGAGAGAAAACGGAAACGTACCCGGTATAACGGTGTCGTGTAGCTGAAAACGCGATGATTGTTTAGTTATAAAATTGTCAAAAACAGTTGCACCAGAGTTTGACAATTTATTTATGACAAAAATCTGTAATTATTGACAATATTTGGACGTGTTTTGTTTACACACTTATTATCTAAATCAATATGCCGCTAAATTGAAGACATTAGTGTTGCACATCGCAGAAATCATTTCAAAATATTACTAGTATATATGATACATAAGCGCGTGTCGAAAGCAAACTAAAGTGTGTGGGGGGGGGGGGGGGGCTAAACCAACAAAAAATGTTTGGGGGCTACTCAGTAAGCCCCAATTATCAATGCCTATGTAGACTATATAATGTATTTCTTTGCAAAAAAGGGGTTTAAATTGTTGTTCAAATGTTCTTCGTTCACAGACAAAAACTTTGAAAATATCAACTTGAAAGTCTATGTTATATATAACCAAATTACCATATATATAGTTATGTTTAAGAAAATAATAGGGAAGCTTCCACCCCCGCCCTGCAACGTTAACGTGCCTAATAAGCAGATGATACTCATTTTATTTTGTCAGTTTGATGTATAAATCAACTTCACGAGGCGGTCATAAGTTTCCGGAATACGGAAAGGTCAAAAATAGCAAACCATTGAAAATAGACTTAAAAAAGAAAGTCGTAATAACGAGATAAAAAGTCGTTATTACGACTTAAGAAAGTCGTTATTACGAGATAAAAAGTCGTTATTACGAGATGAAAAGTCGTTATTACGACTTAAGAAAGTCGTTATTATGAGATAAAAAGTCGTTATTACGACTTAAGAAAGTCGTTATTACGACTTAAAAAAGTCGTAATAACGAGATAAAAAGTCGTTATTACGAGATAAAAAGTCGTTATTACGACTTAAAAAAGTCGTTATTACGAGATAAAAAGTCGTTATTACGAGATAAAAAGTCGTTATTACGACTTAAAAAAGTCGTTATTACGAGATAAAAAGTCGTTATTACGAGATAAAAAGTCGTTATTACGACTTAAAAAAGTCGTAATAACGAGATAAAAAGTCGTAATAACGAGATAAAAAGTCGTTATTACGACTTTAAAAAGTCGTTATTACGAGATAAAAAGTCGTAATAACGAGATAAAAAGTCGTTATTACGACTTAAGTAAGTCGTTATTACGAGATAAAAAGTCGTAATAACGAGATAAAAAGTCGTTATTACGAGATAAAAAGTCGTTATTACGACTTTAAAAAGTCGTTATTACGAGATAAAAAGTCGTAATAACGAGATAAAAAGTCGTTATTACGACTTAAGAAAGTCGTTATTACGAGATAAAAAGTCGTTATTACGACTTAAGAAAGTCGTAATAACGAGATAAAAAGTCATTATTACGACTTAAGAAAGTCGTTATTACGAGATAAAAAGTCGTAATAACGAGATAAAAAGTCGTTATTACGAGATAAGAAGTCGTTATTACGACTTAATTTTTTTTTCTTCATTTTCTAGTTTTTTTTTTTTTTTTTTTTTTTTTTTTATTTACAGATTCTAATACATACTTATACAATACAAATATACATTTTCTGTAAATTTTTTATAAGAGAGAGAGAGAGAGAGAGAGAGAGAGAGAGAGAGAGAGGAGGGCGAGAAGAGATAGTAAGAAAAAAATTACAAAAACAGATTCTTCCAGGGTTTCCAGGCTTCGTCAAAAGTCAACTGATTATTGTTTTTATATGCAATATACTTGTTTATTTCATACATATATTTGATGGAGGATATCAGTTCATTCAAGGAGAGATTTTTACCACTACATCTCATTCTGTAGATAAAATATTTAATCTGAAGAGCGATGAGATATTTTATTTTGTCTAATTTTGCAAAAGATCCCAATATGAATTCTTTTTTCAAATATACAACATTAATATGAATCTTTCTAAAACAATAACTACCAAAACTATTCAATAAGTCTTGTACTACTTCACATTCCCAGAAGATGTGTTCAATAGTTTCTGTCTCAGTTTCACAAAAAGAACACTTGTATGAATCTATTTTCTTAATTTTATGTAAAAAGGAATTTGTTGCTAATATGATTATGATTAATGCGGAACTGAAACCACTGAAGTTTTGTATCTTTTGTGAGCTTAAAAGGAAATGAAAAAACTTTTTCCCATTCACTATCATTCAAGTTAAAAATTCTATTCCAGCTAGTCTGACCTAAAGGCTTGATATCATTGCTTTTCAAAATTTCATATAAATTTCTTGATTTCTTCGCATTTAATAAACGGAATGTTTTTTGTGTAATATATGGCATGTACACAGTTGGCATAGAAATTATATTTTTGGTTTTCATCCATTCTCTGATAGCAGCTATAAGTCCATTGTACTCAAGAAAGTTTGTATGGATTCCATATTTCAATTTAAACATATTAATGTCCATAAAGGAACCGTCCTCTCTTAAGAGATCATTTACGAAAAATACATTATTTTCAAACCATTTCTTATAAAAAATTGTTTTCTTGCCAATCAGTATATTTTTATTAAAAAATAGTGGTTCCATAGAGGCACTTGCTTCTGGTTCTGGTAATTTTTTAGAAAAAAATAGCCAGGCTTCTAAAACATTTTTCCAAAACATATTTTTTACATCTTTAATTTTCTTGAGAATGTATTCTTCTCCACAAAAAACTGTTTTTTTTAAATCTAAAGTTAGATATGAATATTTACCTTGCAGTATGACATTTTTCATCCATACAAGTTTCAGAGACATAATAAACTCTTTAATACTAATCATCTTGAAACCGCCATCTTTAAGATCTTTAATACAAACTCCTTTTTTTAGTCTAAAAGCATTACTCCCCATTACAAAAGAATAAAAGGTGTTTTCTAAATCTTTTATATATAAATCAGTGGGATTTGGAAGGGAGGCAAAAATATGATTCAATGTTGGCAATAAAAGTGTTTTCAAAACTGTTAATCGTCCTAGTGGTGTGAGATTCCTATGTTTCCAATGTCTTATCATTTTCTTTATGTTTTCTAACTTTGAACTGAGATTCCTCGAAAGTATCTTCTGCAAATCTATATCAAATTCAATACCAAGTAACCTAAAGTTTTTCTTTCCCCACTCAAGAGATTGATTTTTACATAAAACCTCATCACTACCTTTTTTGCTACCTATCCATATTACTTGTGTTTTATCGTAATTTATATGTAAGCCGGACATTTTTGCAAAATCTCTAAGGGTACCTAAACTTGATTGTAAAGATTTCTCACTGCCATCTAATATAAGAGAAGTGTCATCAGCGAGCATCGAGATTTTCTTTTCCCCATCAATTCATTTTCTAATTTGACCCTTGTAGGCTTTCGTACGTTTCCACTCTTGTCTTTTTTTTTAAATTCTATTAAGGACATATACAACGTACCTTTTAATATTTTAGATTTAAGATCATAGTGCCATCATATATGTATATATGCCCCCGTATTGCAACATAGCGAAGATTAAACTTTTCTTAAAGGGTCAAAGTTTTTGGTATCCAATGAAGGGTCTTCTCACAAGGATTACATATGTGAAGTATGAGAGCACTAGCCCTTAGCGTTCAAAAGTTATGGCCAAGGTTAAAGTTTTTCATACGTATGAAAATCTCCAAGGTCAAGGTCAAAAGGTAAAGGTAATTGGTGTCCAAAGAAAGGTCTTGTCACAACGAATACATTTGTGAAATATGGAAGCCTTAACCCTAACTGTTCAGAATTTATTGCCAAGGTTAAAAATTTTAAAAAGTAGATCAAACTCCAAGGTCGAGGTCAAACTAGGTCAAAAGTTTTAGTATCTAATCAGGGGTCTTCTCACAAAGATTACATATTTGAAGTATGAAAGCACTAGTCTTAACCCTTTAAAAGTTATGGTTATTGTTTGCTTTTTAAAATTAGGTCACACTCCAAGGGCAAGGTCAAAGGTAAAAGTTTTTAGTATCCAATAAGGGGTCTTCTCACAAAGATTACATATTTGAAGTATGAAAGACCTATTCTTTACCGCTCAAAAGTTAAGGCCAAGGTAAAGTTATTTCGTAAATACGAAAATCTCAAAGGTCAAGGTCAAGATTGTAGGTATCCAATGAAAGGTCTTTAATTCCACAAAAAATACATATGTAAAATATAAATGCCTTGGTATCTACTGTTCAAAAGATGTGGCCAAAGAAAAAGTTTGGAATTTGTGTGTAAAAGTGGCTCAAACTCCAAGGTCAAGGCCAAAAGGTCAAATTCGGTGGTACCCAAAGAAAGGTCTTGTCACAAAGAATACACATGTGAAATATGAAAGTCATAGCTCCACTAAATGTTATATGCAAAGTACAAACAGACAGAGAGACAGACAAATAGAGAGACTGACAGACAGACGGAAGGACACGACAAAAACTATATACCCCCAACACTTCGTTTATGGGGGCATAGAAAATCAGCATGCATTACCAGCTGGGCTTTTGAGAAGATATCAATTTATGAAAATCTTGTATAAAGAAAGAAAGGTAAATAAATTAATTTAACATATATATTCTAGGTGTAAATATTTTTTTAAAAATCCCAAATGTTTTAGAAAAAGTTTATAACAGCAAGTATATGCATTTAAATGTCACCCAAATTGACCTCATCTTTTCCTTATTAAAATAAATCGGGATCGGGTTACGAACAATTGCAAAGCTTGCAGAAACGAAACCAGACTGCCTGACTGGTATATTTTACATTTAGACCTCTAGTTTAATTTTTTTCAATGATTGCAAAGATTTTACCAGTTTGAATCCATGTTATAATGCTATAATTTCCTGAATTCAAACGGGTACTTGTCAAGTGCATGCATTGATGTAATACAGATTCCAAAATTAATATGTAAAACATATTTACATGCACTTGACAAGTACTCTACAGCTCCTCTCAGGCTCTAACAGCTAACAGCTTTTAAAGAGGTTTTCACTTAATAGAAATTGCTTGATTTCATACAGCATTCATATCAAGGAACATATCTTTGCTAAAATTTGCTTTGTAATATCCTTATTGATTCACGATTGCTGTCAATACCCTCGTTCTTCAATTTTGCATAACATTCATTTTACGGAGAAGCCATGACAGGTTTCGAGAAGGTTTAAGAAGCAAAAGAGACAATTTGTTAAAATTCAATACAGCTCCTCAGCATTAATATTAAACTGTTTAATATTAATGCTGAGGAGCTGTATTGAATCAGTGGTTGATTAAAGCGAAATAGTCAATTTCTCCAAAAATGTGTTGCACGTATATAGCCTGTTCTTGTGCCAATGCATATAGCTTACAACTTGGTATATCAATAAAGGATATGGAGATAACGAACAGTATTCAATATCAAAATCCATAAAACAATACAAAACAGCAGCACAGCAAACAAGGACCTTCAAAACATCAGAGGCGGGATCAGGTGCCATGGAGGAGTGAGCATCCCCTGCCGACCTGTCACACCCAGTTTTTTCTATTAACTTTTTTGATAAAATTTAAAAGTATAAAACAGATCGCCTACACTCCATGAGAATGCAGCAGTAAATTTATTTTGTTGACCGTTTTTGACCTGTGACTGTCGTCATCAGAACAACCAAGCATGTAAATATATCTATGGAAGTAAAAAATATGGATGACATTGCTATATACAAAAATAAAATGCGGAGTGTTTTGTATATACACGGAATTGCTTGACAATGGTACTTTATACAAGATATAATCAATTTACATTTCCTCTAAAGTTTTTCTGACTTAACATTTAGTTAGTAAATAAAATTATTGTTTTATGATTAATAAAATTGTTATTCTTCTGTGGTAAATTGTAATAGGTATGGTACAGTTTATATAACATATTAGAATTGTTGAATTAAACAGTTTTTGAAAAATCAAGATTTATTATGTATTATTTGATCCATTCAAAAATTCTAAAACACTTTTTAAATTAAATATTTCATTTTAATATATTCTATTTGTCTATCATTATTTATTTCAGTACAATTAAGAAATAAACAACAATGTAAAAAAGTTTTTGGGGAAATGTTTAAGTGCGGCTAGACAAACTGATATTAATTTCTTACATACAAATATATTCAGAATTGCCTTTTTCAGGTCTTCAGGGGTCTTTTGAGAATGTTTGCAGAACAGAAGCTTCATTTTGAGGGAAAACAACTTTGATCCCAAATATATGAACCATGGGGACACTTATGTTTTTTGTTAATGGCAAAAAAGTAAGATTTTTTATTGGTACATTTAGCTCAAAATTTAAGCTAATTAATTAAATTAATTTTAATCAAGTGTTATCTTTGATAATTTAAACCTTCCATTTGAAAGTGAGATGATCAAAACACAAAGCCATGGCATACTAAAATTAAGATATTGCTTAAAATGGATACCGGTAAATGCATGCTAAAGAATTTTTTTTTTGCAGATTGAGCTAAATGAAAATGATATAGATTATGGAACAAAACTGTTGTTTTTTCTCAGAAACAGATGTATCCTTTTTACTCTCTAATTAATGTTTTTTTGTAATAAAGCAATTTTTCGTTAAATTTGTTTTGAACTAAAATTCTATTTGAAATTTCCTTCAGATTTATATGTAGTACACATATTTGAAATTTTTCACTGATTCTACCTTCCTTAACTTGAGTACAAGTGCACCTAACAGGAAGCAAGAATGCCTGTGGACAGGGTGGGTGTGGAGCATGCTCAGTTATTTTGTCAAAATTTGACCACCAATTACAAAAAATAAGGTAAATGTTGAACTTTATCTTACATTGTCTAGCAATACAGTATAGTTTCATTTTTGCTAGAGGTAGGATTGATTGAACTTGATATATAGTATAAATAAGAGTCATTGATCATTTAAGTTTTTCATGTATATATAATTATAAGACACAGTGGTGACATAGGCTTAAAAGTCTTTTTGAAAATAATGTGTAAGCTTTTGAAGTTTTTAGTTTCATTTCTTAATTTTTTAACTAATTTTGGTACACCTGCATGTAAAAGTCAAAAAGAATTAAAACTTCATTGACCTTGCCCTTTCAATTTTCTGGAGACTTAGGGTGGGACCAAAACCTTTGAAATAATATATAATTTTCTATAATAAGCAAGGAACCTTGTATCAAGATTTACATATTCACATGTGATTTGCATTTCTTTCTATGCCTTTTCTGATGAAGAGTATGGCAGTCATGCTTCTATTGTTTATACAAAAACAGGAACATATTGACCTGGGTTTAATTGTGTTGAGAATATTCTTTAATGTGATTTTTTTTTTATCTCTTTGCAAAAATTTGTACGTTTATTTTGAGATAGATGCATTTGTTGTTGCATTCATGAATATCTTTGACCCATGACTGAGAATGGTTGTATCACTTCATTGTTTTATACCCATATGCATACTTTTACATTTGCCTTAATATGAACGTGTGTATTTTGACCTTACAGACATGTGACTGTGAATGCTTGTATCACCCCATTATACTACCTACATGGATGTGCTGTGACCACAGTGGAGGGTATAGGTACACCACGAGTTGGCTTACATCCAATTCAGGTAATATATATACAGTCAGTTTTGTCTCAGGCAACTACTCTACAATCAAATTAACCACTAGTGTAATTTAATTTTTATATGGGTAGAAAAATATATAATTCAATTTTTTAGGCTTTGAAAAAAAAGAAAATTTTTTACAAAATTCTTTGAAAGTCAAATGTTGAATTTCTGACTAAGCACACTGATGATGCTATAAATATCATTATCTATGGTAGGAAAGTTTGGTAAAAAGCCATGGAATTCAGTGTGGGTTCTGCACTCCTGGAATAGTTGTCTCCCTTTCTTGTTTACTGCGGAATAACCCATCACCTACCAAGTATGACGTGGAAAGAGCCATCGAAGGTTTTAATATAATTGATTTCTTTAACAGCTTTTAAATTGATAGACCAATCACATGTACATTTTTGTGATTTTTTTATGAAAAATGTTAGGATTTGCAATTTGATTTATTAAAGTGACTTGCTGTATCTTTATAATTTTTTTTCCAGGAAATTTGTGTAGATGTACTGGGTATCGTCCTATTTTGGATTCATTGAAGCCTTTTGTTGTAAGTATTGAAGACAAATAAAATGGTAAAAAATTGAAATAATAATACTTTGTTATTTTATTATATTTTAATCTGTTATTAAATTATACTTGTATTATTGCAACCTTAACAGTTTCTTATGTATTTCTAGGATTGCCCTTTGGGAGAAAATTGTTGCAAATCAGAGGCAAAAAAATTGGTAAATTGTTTGATTTTTTTTTTCATTCTTTAGAATTAATTTAAAATTACTGCATTTTTAAATAAAAAAATTAAGTTCTGCCAAATTTATTTTGAAAGTTTCAATTTAGTATTTAATTTACTTTTATAATGTTTATTAATTAAAGGAAGGTGATGAAAATGTCTCAGAATACAAGACAATGGATTCTACTCAAGCTGCTATTTTTCCTCCAGAACTAAAGGTCAGTAAGATTTGTAAATTACCATCCTTCCATCTGCTGAAGGAAAATTTCAGATGCAGCTTTTAAAGAAAGATGTGTTAGTTATTTTTTAAAATAATGTATAATACATAAAATAGATTTTTGAATCAGACTAGACTACTTTTTATATGTACAGTATACATTTTTCGAATTTCAGTGACATTTTTGATTTCCAGTTGTTTTCTGTTTGTAGAAATGGGAACCTCCTGATAATAAGCTTTCACTGACATCTGGTTTGACCACTTGGATTGTTCCATTCAGTATGGAACATCTCAAAACTTCTTGGTCAGAGAACCCAACAGCCCGATTTGTTGCTGGAGGCACAGCTCTGGGTACTCACAGTACTTTGATTCTATCTTAAGATTTGGGATATCATTGTAAAAAAAAAAAAACAGTTTACTGGAAATTTAAAAGAATAATAATTAAAAAAAACCTGCAAAATACTATATTTATTTTTGGAATTCTTTCTGTAGATTTTATTCTGCAATGCCTAGAAGGCAATTTGATGAAGATATTACATACAAATGAGATGTTCAATCTTCATCTGCAAATAAAAACCACCAAAGTTTTTTTTTTTTTTTTACAATTTTACAGGGAAGCAAATAACGAGAAAAGAAAAGGGTGGTTGTTTTATAAGTTGTCATCAGGTTTTTGATCTACAGAAGATGTCTGTCAGTGACACAGGTGTAGATGTTGGGGGTGCTGTCACCTTCAGTGTAATGGAGGAGTACCTAATAAAGGCCAAGCTGTCCAGTAAAGGTTTGGTTCTAGTATTGTTATCTACCAAACTACTAGAATGGAAATTGACTTTATTGGACAATTTAGTTACAAATTTGTTATGATTTTTATTCTTTCTTTTGCTGGAGGAGTGAATTACAACTCTCCTGTTGTAACAGTGATTGGAGGGAAAAGATTGTGAACATAAAATCTTACTGTGGGGTGCTTTTGAAAATCAATTAATCCCATATTTGAAAAATCCTTTTCCTAAATACTAAAAATATGAAATGTTTATAAATCAATTATTTGTATTTTATAGATACAAACAGATTACAGGTGTTGCAGTCATTCTTGGATTGTATTCGATGGCTGGCCACTGACCAGATACGCAATGTGGCAGTGAGTTTACAATACTTGCATTGTTAGAAGACTGATTTTATTGAAGTATGCAGTGATTTTACATCATAGAATGGTAGATATTGGATTGAAAATTAATTGTTGACATCAATTTCAAGATTTGTCATGCATGAGACACAATAATTATAAAATCTTTCTTTCTCTCTTTTACTTCAGCATCTTTCACATGAAATCACATCCTATTATTTGATTTTGTTTAATTATTATAGATTTGTACAGTTGGATGTTAACACTTTATTACAGACTATTGGTGGTCACTTAGCTTGCCAGGGTACTAACCTTGACATGACCCCGCTGTTTGTAGCCTTAGAAGCCACTGTTACTCTAATGGACATCACCGGTAAGAAATCAGTTATGCAGGTAAATCATGGAATAAAGTAAAGTGTCATCTGGTATCTGTAAACTACCGGTGAGAAAAGGAGATTTAAATTTGTTCAAATGAAGAGCCACTCCTTCTTCCAGGGGGGGATACATGTATTTATGAAATAGGGGGAAAACTAATGACATCTTTTAAAATCTTCCCAAGAAGTACTGGGCACAAAATTTTAATTTTTGAAGAAGCATCCTCACGAAGATGCAAGTTTAAAAACATGATCCCAGGGGGTAAGGAGGGACTGCAATGAACATTCAAAGTTTTACATTATATATACACTGGAAAACTCCATTAAAAGGCTGTAGGAGACAAAGGTCCTTTGATCATTCAGAATATTTTATTTACTAGTATGCTTTTCATTTGTCATTAATCAGGAGCATTACACAAGTTAACAGTAGAAGAGTATTTGTCAGATGAACAAACAGCAAAGGAACTTGTACTGAATGTCCATATACCCTTCCACAAAGAGGTATGACTAGTACACATTTACAGTGTATCCTCTGTTCTTGTAAGCTTGTCAATGTTGGGTCCTCTACATTAATGGTTATATTAATGTCTAGTTTCAGAATGTCATATTCTACAAACAACCAAACAGACGGGGCTATGACGATATCGGGGTCAGTTGTGCTGTGGTGTTAGACATCACCCATATGGGAGTTGTGAAACATTTTACTGCTTGTTTTGGAGGATTTACTCAGCATTTTGTAAAAGTGGTCTTGTCTGATGATTTGTTTGATGCTGAGAGGTAAATGTTGAAGATAAGTTTGTCCTTTATCTTTAAGCATTTGAATGGAAAAAGAGTCAGAAGTATTAAAATTTAAATATCCCCCCAATTTCATAATCTGATCTCAATGATACATGTATAACAACAATTTGTTCACAAATTTAACACTTAGTCATGCATAACTTGACCTTACACTTGTTTTTTTTTTTCCTATAACAAGACCTTGATTTTGTTACTTGTAGACATTGGGAATACATTTACATGTACATTAATAGATTTTATTATTTATATACTTGTATTTTAAGTCATTGTTTTTTCTCATTAGGACATGGAAAAGTCTCTCGTTTGCTAAACTAGAAAATCTACTGAGAGAAGGATTTTTTGTGGAAGAAGTAGAAGTCAAGGAGGAATTACTGCTTCTCTCTCTCGGCTTCATAAAGAAAGTTCAGACTTCAGTAAACACAGTAAGTCTTAGGCGTGTATGCATGTGTCAAGCATGACTCAAAGTCATGGGGAATACATTTAAGGCTCCTAGCCCCCCTGATAAGGGAGATAACTTTTGCTGAGATAAATGAATATTCCTGTATAAAATGCAATTTGATACAATTTAAAAGTTTTCCTCTGCGAGGTATACATTTAAGTCATTTAAATTACAAATTATATTTCTTTTTTAAAGTCAATGGTATATAAAACAGAATTTTATTTAAGAATGATGATGATCCTTAATACTTTGAATATTTATACAGCAAGCCATGGAGGAGAGGCTCCCTATCCAGACACAACCAGAGCCGTGTAGGTCTAACATTGTCTTTGATAGTGCCCCGGTTGACCAGCCCCAGTCTGACCCCGTGTGGAGGCCGATCCCCCAAACCACCGCCGAGGATCTGGTGTCAGGACAGGCCATGTTTATTGATGACATGCCAGCATTCCAGAGTGGGTTTGCCATGCTGTTTTAAGGACGTCTTTATTAAATTATGTTTGTTTGCCTTCTCCTGACTTAAGTTAAAAAATATCAATATCAATGCTAAATTTTCAAAATAAAAAACTTTTTTCGTGGTATTAATATCAAATTTTGCTAAATTTTCCAAGCGTATATAATATATGTAACGAAAATTAAAATATTTTATTAAACAGAAATTGAGGGGATGACCCCCTGGAAAAAAGTATGTCTACAGTATATGAAAGAAAATTAATATTTTATTTTTGGGGATGAGAAAAAAATTAAAAATGAAAAGAAAAAATAGTTTCATGGAGGTTAAAGAAAGATTTGAGTTTGTCAAGAGAGGTCAATTGAAATTTTTTTTCAAAAAATGGCATAAGCTTTGATATTTATGTGCGGTTTTGGTTCTGTAATTGCATGTTGATATTTTTATTATTGAACATTGTAACGTCTGGCTTCTACCTGTAGATGAGCTCTATCTTTGCCTGGTCTTGAGCAATGTGGCGCGGGCTAAGCTTGTCAGTGTAGACTGGTCAGGTGCCAGGGATTCCCCGGGGGTGGTGGACTGTATCGACCACACGTCTGTCCCTGGCAGCAACATGTGGGGAATGATTGTCTGCGATGAGGAATTATTTGCTTCCAAAGAGGTTTTACTGATATATTTAATAATATGCAAAAAAGATGTGTGTGTTCTAACTGGAAAATTTTTTTCCAGGAGATATATTTTGTTGTCTGTCTGTATATTTGTTTGCAGAAACTTTTACTTTAGCCATAACTTTCAAGCAGTTTTACTAGGGCTTTCTTATTTGTATACCTTACATTGGATATGTACTGACATTTCTTGACCTCAAGACCTTGATCTTTGAGTTTGACCTACTATTGAATCTTTTTAAGCCAACTATAAACTTGGACATAACTTTCAATGATTAATGATAGGATATTCATATTTTATCTTTGTATTCCTTGTGACATAGCTTTTTGGTTCAAACATTTTTATGTCATGACCTTGAACTTAAAGTAGCATTTAAAAACTTGGACAAACCTTTTAAATGGTTTCAGCTAGGGCTTTCATATTTCACATTTGACAGGACCTAGCTTTAGATTCCAAAATTCTAGTACTCTTGATTTTAACTTGGCATGGATCTACTTTTAAACTTTTAACCTTGACTTTAACTTTTTAAAGCTTGAGTAATAGTTTTCAAATTTCAAAATTAACTTTCTTTTGAGAAGACCTTTCTTTGGATACCAATATTTTTGACCTCATAATCTTGACATTGACATCTGACCCACTTTTTAAAAATTTGAACATTGCCTATGAGTTTGAGGCGTCAGTGTTTGACAAACACATCTGCCTATCATAAAGTACAACTATATCATCTGACTACTATTTGTTTTACATAGGTAGTTTACTGGGGACAGCCAGTAGGTGCTGTGATTGCAAAGTCAAGAGAACAGGCAAAGCATGGAGCTCAGCAAGTCAGGATTAAGTATGAGGAGCTGAAGCCGATTCTAAGTATTGAGGTATTGATACTGCAGTATATCATTAGGCCTTACTTGAGACATGAATACCATTTCTAATGTGCTAAAAATAAGATTTCAAACAGATAAAGTATAGACATTGAAATATTTGATAATGAATTTATCCATTTTTAGCTCACCTGAGCTGAAGGCGCAAGTGAGCTTTGCTGATCACATTTTGTCCATCGTCGGTCTGTCTGTCTGTCAGTCTGTAAACTTTTCACATTTTCGACTTCTCCTCAAGAACCACTGGGCTAATTTTAACCAAACTTGGTACAAAGCATCCTTGGGTAAAGGGAATTTAAATTCTTAAAATGAAGGGCCAGGTCTTCTCACAAGGGAAGATAATCAAGAAAAGACAAAAATAGGGTGGGGTCATTAAAAAATCAATCTTCTTCTCAGGAACCACTGGGCCAGAAATACTGAAACATGTGGAAGCATTCTGGGGTAGTGTAGATTCTAAATTGTCCAAATTATGACCTGTGGGTTACGATGGGGTCACAATAAGTGTTACAAGGTGGGAATCTGGTTAAGAATAGCATGGTCAAAGCTTCTCAGGTGAGCGATATGGCCAATGGGCCTCTTGTTTTCTGCTTCTTTAGGATGCCATTAATTCCGATTCCTTCTTTGATGCGACAATTTCAAGATGTCGTGGAGATGTCTCCAAGGGCTTTACAGTTTCGGATCAAATCCTTGAGGGCTCTGTATGCACCGGAACTCAAGAACAGTTTTATATGGAGACCATTGGAGCCATTGGGGTCCCCAAAAGGGAACAGCATGAGATAGAAATGTTTGTTACTCACCAGTCTCCTGCCTTTATTCAGGTTTGTGTTTATATGTAAATTGTTGTCATATGAGGATATTATGAATAATTGGAATAATTTTGTTTATAAATCCATAGCAACTATATGTTCTAAATCTTACATATCCTTGTAGAAATCCGTAGCTTCAACTTTGGGCATACCAATCAATCGAGTTATTGTTCGTCATAAAAGAACTGGTGAGTAAACACATATTATTACTAAATATGTTTGTGATTGTTAAAGTACAGTGAAACTTGTCTAATCCAAAATTGTTTAATCCGAAATCTTGTTTAATTCAATTGTTTTAAATGCTGTTTAATTCAGACAATTTCCAGAGATTAGTCAAGCTTTAAAGTACAGTGTACATATAATCTAACATCAGTTAAAAGGTTGATGCCCGCTATGTTTTGTTTTTATATCAGGAGGGGGGTTTGGAGGGAAGGAGACTCAGCCGGTGAAGATCTGTGCTCCTGTAGCTCTAGCCGCTCAAAGGTAGGCATGGTTCAGTTTACTTGAGGGCTTTTCCACTAGTAGCTCTATAGTGAAGTCAAATCTTATTATCTTACATTCAATGAAAATAAGACTGAAACTTTTTTCCGTGTGGTATTAATTTACGCTATGTACGCAGTCACAAATTTTCTGCGGAAATTTCTCCAAGTGTACTTAATATAAATGCAAAGCATATATAAAGACAGTCTGAGAAATCCGCGTAATTTTCTACCTGCGGATTAAAGGGAAAAGATAAAACAAGTAGTAATTCAAGATTTTCAAAGAATTGAATTTTCCAAAATTACTCTGACAAGTTAAACAGTAGTAATGATTTTTTTTATATACTTGAAAGTATTTCCTAATTGTAAAAACTCTTTTCTGCAACATTCATTTTATATTTTCTTTGTATAAACATATTATTCCTACTATTCTTAAACTTAGCATAATCTAAAAATTAATTTTTGTTTGCCATTAGATCTAAGTTCATCTTGAAATAAATCATTGTCAAAATATAAATTAAGGCTGTCTTATTTCTAAATTCTTAATAAATTGCATGTTGATCTTGGTAAATATTTAATTCATTTTTTGTCTTAAGGAATGGTTGCCCTGTGCGAGGGATATTAACCAGGAAGGATGATTTGACCATTACAGGAAAACGTCATCCTTATTTGTTTAAGTACAAGGTCTCTGTCTCATGTATTTTATATTTAAGGTTCATTGATACTCTGAAAAGAGGGATAACTCTTTATGACATATATGTCTATATAATTTCTTTAAACATGTAATTTGCCAAGTTGAGGTGTCTTTTTTCTTCCAGTTTTGCCTTGTAATAATTTCTTTGATTGTTTAATTTTACTTACAAAATCTATTTCTTTTGGAAAATCAATAGAGTTTAAGCAACATTTTATAGGTTGTGAACTTTAACAAACTCAGTATAATATGTTTTGTTACAGGTTTCTTTACAATTTTCTAATACCTTATACATGTACCATCATTGCGTCTTGCATTTATTCATTTAAATGTAGGTGGGATTTTGTAAAGGTGGTAAAATAGAAAGTCTACATGTCAAAGTTTACTCAAATGCTGTAACAAATGCTCTCATCGGACCTATTTTCACAATCTAGGCAGTCATACGTAAGGCAATCCGATTTCAACTTCCTGTTTAGTCTTTCTGTTTTATCACCTGCAACTGTTCATCGCAGATGACTGAAATTTTAGCACAATCTTTCAGGTGACTTCCTGTTTATCCGTCCGTCTGTTTGTTTTATACATAACAAATTTATTGCATTTTTATCAACACAATATCGGTATATATATGTGTTAACATTTGAACATTTTCAGATACTTCTCTAAAGAAACCAATGAAAATAAATACTTAAAAAGTTACATTTCTTTCAACCGTGTATAAATTTGGTATACAGTTCATTTCTGTTTCTATGATTATAACAGGTTTTGGAATGTACCGTGGACCACCTGGAGGGTTGTTACTCCATACCTAACGTCCACATTGAGGGTAAGCTGTGTAGAACAAACACTGTGTCTAATACGTCCTTTAGAGGATTTGGGGTTCCACAAGCATACGTTGCCATGGAAACAATAATAGATCACATTGCACATACCCTGAAACTGCCTGTTAAACAGGTAACTCACTTATTTTTCTAATTTTATGCATATATCAATTAACACAAGGCATATTACAAGTTTATTAGCTCTAATTTGAGATTGCTTTTGAAAAAAGTTTTTTTTAAGATTAGAATCCTTTACATGTACATGTATTTTTAATTAGGTTCAGGAAGTTAATTTTGCAAAGACTGGATTTGTACCATTTACCAAACTACCAGTTGAGGACACAAACATGCTGAAGGCGTGGCACCAATGCCAGGAGCAGGCCCAGTATACCAAAAAAGAGGCAGAAGTCGCTGCATTTAATGAGTAAGAGATGTACATGTACATTCATTCATGGCAATTTTCAACAGGATACTAGTAGTTACATGCTTGGAAAAATATACGTTCTAGTATGAGAGGGAAAGTATTTTATCTAGTTTGTTTTCCTCCTCATTTTCAGAAAATCCAAACACAGAAAGAGGGGGCTAGCTACGATGGCAGTCAGATTTAAGATTGGGTTTGATCTTCCGTTCCTTAACCAGGTTATACTCTTTTAAAATATATCTGTGTGCTCCACAAATTTTGGAAACAGCTCATGGTATAAATTCAAAAAAATTAATTTTGTCCCCACTTTTATGCACCAAAATGTTGTAGAAAGTATATTTATGAAATTATAGTGTAACTTATTGTTTAATCTATCTGGGTATTGTGTAATTCAAAATTCTGCCTAATCTGATCTTAACTTAAAAGTTCTTTCAGTAAATTCAATTGTTGAGATGTTGTTAAAATAGCAATGTTGTCTAATCCAGCCAATATATATTAGGTACTAGTGGAGTTCAGATTAGACAAGTTTCAGTGGAAATGAAATGGTAGTATAGCAGACTGAGAGAAATAAAGTTTTGACTTTAACCTTTATCTACAGGGCAATGCTTTAATACATGTATACTTGGATGGTTCTGTAAGTTTGTCACATGGAGGCTGTGAGATGGGGCAAGGTCTAAACATGAAACTCTTACAGGTGCCTACTTCTTTTATACTATCATCAGAACTCCCTTTTTATAACAGAAATAAAGTAGGGGTAATAATGTAAATCAATAGAATTGGCTAGTGACAAGTTTGTAGCAATGTTTTAAAAAAAAGTATTTAGTGTTTTTTAAAACTAAAACATAGATTTTATAGCCCAACCCATCAGGCCCAGAGAGGGAGCTAGAAATTATGTTTTTTTGACTTCATTATAGATTGCCTCCAGAGCCCTTGGTATACCTCTGAGTAAAATCTACACAGCAGAGAACTCGACACAGACAGTGGCCAATGCCGGCTCCACCATGGGAAGTTGTACCACAGACATCATAGGGGCTGCTGTGCTGGTAAGGAGGGCTCGAGAATCCATCAGTGATCAATTTTACTCATTTCCTTTTTCCTGATTTATGGAATTCTTGAAACCTTTTATAGTCAAAATATATTGAAAAGTAGGATGTATTTAGCATTTCTTTGTTTTTCATGGTAGAATGCATGTAAAGAATTACTAAGCAGACTCCAACCATTAAAGGAAAAGAAACCACATGCAACTTGGGAAGAAATAGTATGTTTTTAAATCTTTAATACCGGGTATTATATTTTTAAATTGAAATAAAATAAAATAAACTGCTGCAAATTCTGCTTATTCAGGTTCATCTGTATAATCTATTTTTGAATCACCTTTTAGGTAGTAGATGCCTTCCTTAACAGGATAAGCTTATCAGTAATGGGTCATGGAAGGTAAATCTTTGTTATTTTCCCTCTGTTTAGAAATGTAACACCCGACCTTATTCTAAAGACTAAAGTCAATTGTATTCAATAATGCATGGTTATACAATAAAAAAAACATATGCTTGTAATTCACATCCTGAGACAAAAATGAGCAATGGATCAGACAAAAATTGAAAGATTTTATCTTTTTTTTATTCACAATAGTATACATGTGAATTAAATCATTATTTGAATGACTGTTGTTTTTTACTAGTCCTGGTGATGGTGGAATATTCTACTACACATTTGGAGCAGCCTGTTCTATGGTGGAGATTGATTGTCTCTCAGGAGAACACCAGGTCTGGTATAACCTCTGTAGATATATTGTATATGTATCTATTGTTATAGTAATTATACTGAGAATTGTGCTAGCACCTGTAGAAAGTACCATGTATTATTTCAAGGAAACTGATTAATTTTATGCTTTAAGTTAGTATTTTCTAATGGATCATTTTTATCTGTTAAAAAGCTGAATCTTTTTATGGTTTATTTTAGATTCTGAGCACGGACATTGTTATGGATGTTGGTAAAAGTTTAAATCCTGGAATTGATGTTGGACAGATAGAGGGAGCATTTCTACAAGTAAGTCTGTTATTTGATATCCTGCTTATCTTAATTTTGTGTTGGTCTAGATTACAAAGGGAATTTACTCTACAATTCCATCTTTGCCATGAAAAAAATTCACAGTTGCTTCTTATTACATTGTTTCTGTCTATAATAATGTTGTTCCGCCTTTTTTTGTTCCCTGCCAATAGAGTTGAGTGTGTGGGTGACGGAGGGAATGTATGCTTATCAGCAGCAATAATTTACATTAAATTCAGTGTGTTCTTTTGTAAGGGGATGCTCCACTGCTTGTTTCTTGCTAAGCATGCAGCCAGTTTCATATACAATACCACAATAAACAACTCTGCAATACTATTCATTAATTCTTAAACCTTCACAAAATTAATTCCCAAATAAACACTTTTTTTTCAAAAGAAATTGCAAGAGTAAACTGCTGTTATATTTCAGAGTTCTCTTTGTAAATCTTTTTGATGTGATATTTACAAACTGCATGATTAATAATGATGTATCTTGTAGGGATATGGAATGGTGGCACTAGAAGAATGGAAAATGAAGAGCAATGGAGAAATTGAATGTACTGGTCCTAGTAACTATAGTCTTCCTTATGTTAGGAATTTACCTAATGACTTCAACGTGACTCTGCTCAGTGACTGTCCCAACAAACAAGCTGTCTACTCCTCTAAGGTAAATACAAGTCTTTAACTGAATGATAAAAACAAGCTGTCTACTCCTCTAAGGTAAAAACAAGATATCAACTCCTCTAAGGTAAATACAAGTCTATTACTGAATGGTAAAAACAAGCTGTCTACTCCTGTAAGGTAAATACAAGTCTATTACTGAATGATAAAAACAAGCTGTCTACTCCTGTAAGGTAAATACAAGTTTAGTCTATTACTGAATGGTAAAAACAAGCTGTCTACTCCTCTAAGGTAAATACAAGTCTATTACTGAATGATAAAAACAAGCTGTCTACTCCTGTAAGGTAAATACAAGTTTAGTCTATTACTGAATGGTAAAAACAAGCTGTCTACTCCTCTAAGGTAAATACAAGTCTATTACTGAATGATAAAAACAAGCTGTCTACTCCTCTAAGGTAAATACAAGTCTATTACTGAATGATAAAAGCAAGCTGTCTACTCCTCTAAGGTAAATACAAGTTTAGTCTATTACTGAAAGGTAAAAACAAGCTGTCCACTTCTCTAAGGTAAATACAAGTCTATTACTGAATGATAAATGATAAAAACAATGTCTACTCCTCTAAGGTAAATACAAACTGTCCACTTCTCTAAGGTAAATACAAGTCTATAACTGAATGGTAAAAACAAACTGTCTACTCCTTCAAGGTAAAAATAAGCTTATCTTCAAGGGTAAAAACAAGATATTAGCTCCTCTAAGGTAAAAATAAGCTGCCTCTCCGCAAAGGTAAAAGCAATGTGTCTACTCCTCTAAGGAAAAAAACAAACTGCTTACTCCTATACAGTAAAAGCTAGATGTCTACATTTTTAAGGTAAAAACAAGGTGCTTTACCTATAAGGTAAAACTAGCTGTATTCTGCTTAAAAGTTAAAAGAACCTGCCTACTCCTCAAAGTCAAAACAAGTTGTCTCCTCCTGTAAAAACAATCTGTCTAATCCTTGGGTAAAAAGAAGCTGTCTACTCCTCTAAGGTAAAACCAACCTGTCTCATCCTATAAGATAAAAAAAAGCTGTCTTCTCCTCAAAAGTATAAACAAGTTGTCTACACCTGTATAAACAATATGTCTTCTACTTTGGTAAAAAAAAAAAACAAGCTGTCTACTCCTCTAAGGTAAAACCATTCTGTGAAATATAAGATAAAAACAAACTGCCTATTCCTTTAAAAGGAAAAACAAGCTGTCTACTCTGCTAAGGTAAGAATAAGCTGTCTACTACTCTAAGGTAAAAAAAAAAAGCCGTTTACTCCTCAAAAGTAAAAACAAGTTGTCTAAACCTGTAAAAACAATCTGTCTACTCCTTGGGTAAAAAGAAGCTGTCTTCTCCTCTAAGGTAAAAGCAAGCTGTCTACGTGTCTAAGATATAAACAAGCTGTTTACTCCATGGATAAAATGAAGCTTCATTCTAACCAATTTAGAAAAATTTAAGAAAGTACCTAAATGAATTGACACATTGAATAATTTTTATTTACTATTGCTAATTTGGTACAAACGAAGGGTTTTGAGTCTTGTCAGTTCTATAAGTTTTCAGTAACAGCTCCTCTCAATAATATCAAGAAAATAAGAAAACATTTCAGAGATTTTAAATCTTAATTTGAAGAAATAGAAATATTTGACTGGAATTGCCACCTGGGAGTTTTCTGACCCAGGAGGGATTTTTTTTTTATATATATATATATATACAAAGTTGTACTTAAAATTAACAAAAAAACTTCAAAAAACAGTTGTGATTTAAAAAAAAAAAAATAGAAATATATATATATATATATATGGAAAATGATAATAAATATATCAAAGAGATTCTGTGGAATTTTATAACATGTTGTTTTGGTATTACAGGGTATAGGAGAACCCCCATTGTTGCTGGCTATAACCGTCCAGAAAGCTATCAGATCAGCTGTGTTAGCTTCCAGGAGAGATGCAGGGCTGACTGAATATGTCCAGCTAGATTGTCCAGTAACATCTACAAAAGTACTCAAAGCCTGCAGTGTAGGTGTTGGAGATAGAAGAACTGAAAGTCTGCAATGATGGTTTTCTTGATTGAGTAAAAGTGCTCAACATTTGCAGTGACAGTGACTTATTTAAAGTTTAAAGTACTCAAAGTCTGCAGTGTGTAAATGTACTTAAAATCTGAAATGACAGTGAGCTAACTCATATGTAAAGTTTGTGATAAAAGTGTCCTTAATCAAGTTTAAATATTCAGAGCCTAAGAGTTTTCTTGATACCTTTGGAGAAATAAAAGAGAAGTACATGTAAAGTTGGTGATGAAATTGTCCTTAATCAGTTGTAATATTCAGAGCCTAAGAGTTTTCCTATACCTTTGGAGAAATAAAATAGATGTACTGGTAAAGTTTGTGATGAAATTGTCCTTAATCAAGTTTAAATATTCGGAGCCTAAGAGTTTTCCTATACTTTTGGAGAAATAAAATAGCTGTACATGTATAGTTATGTCTGTGATACTGGTTTTTATAGACAATTTTACTCTAGTTAGCTGAAAAATATGCATACTGTAATCATAAATAACAAGGTTTGTTGCATATTCAGTATTATTTTAAAATAAACATTTTATTGAAAACTATACAAATTTTTGTTTTCTATTACTGAAAATCATGGACATTTCTCTTGATTTCTTAGTTCATAAATTTAAAAAATTGCATCGGACAGTCATGTATTTGCGTGATTTTCGTTTTTAGGGATGTGTTACTGTTTTTCAAGTTTTAATGAATTGTTGTCAGCTCCCTTTGGCCTATTTGATGCTACATCAAAAATACTTATTTTATACTTTGTGAAGAAGTCTTCACTCGGAGTTCCTCGGGTGTACTTCGCGCACTCGTCTTGGAGTGAAAAGTCGACAAAGTTATTGATACTTGTAAGCACTCACGGCTGCAGCCATTGCAGGAAATATATATAAAACCTGCTAAAGTGGTTATGGAATTTTTTTAGTAATATTTCATTTGAGAAGTACAAGCAGAAAGGAAATAGTAATAAGTGCAGGAAAATCAAAAAGGATTCAGAAACAAGTTTTAAGACATGATATCCTTATATGTTTCCTTATTAATTATTATAAATAGCTAAAGTTTTATATAGTAGTAACGAAACATGATTTTAGATTGCTAAAAATAATGCGAAAAAAACTCCCCAATGCCCCGGTATTTGAAATTTTACGTTTTTCTGCAATTGTTGAAATTGTTAATCTCATTTCCGTATTATTACAATTTTTTTTTAATTCGTAGTGGGAGTAAGCACGAAAAATATTGAAGTATTCTTAATCTGTACGTTATATTTATGTAAGAGTCTATATGTCTATAGATAGCTTTAACTCAATATGTAGACACGAACTTCAAATTTAATTTGCGGTGAAAGGAGGTTTTCCCATTTTGACGACGAAGTGCTAGGAAAAGAATCATTCGACAATCCTAAATCACAAATGATAAAAGATTACTTTTTTATTATATACAACAACGAAGTTAGCGGGCACAGTCGAAGAATTAATCCTTCAGTTACCCTACCCCTTCCCGCGCTTTTTGTTACGATGTGTATGGCTAATGCGTAAAGCAAATCTGCCACAAGATATTCTTGATTGTATTCAAAACTTCTTTTTTACTGAATTATCTTTTTAAAGTTTGAACAATTTCACGGTCATCCGACACTTAATTTTCTGGGAAACTCTCACAAGTTAAAAACTTTTTTTCCCAAACACTTGGTGTACAAACCTAGATGAAAGTATGAATTTATTTCAATAGTAGTAAGTAATGCGTAGAATTGGTTCAGTCTAATTTAAATCTCTATTTTAAAGTTGCATAAAATTAAGAGATGCTTTACTGACATTTTACAGAAAATTGTAAATTAGGAAAGACTATAGAAAATATAAGCTACTTTATTTTATGTGCGTGCCCTGTAAACTGTAACCGTAACGTCTATTAGAATGAACTTTTTTGTTTGCTTATCAAGAAATTTTTGTATGGTAGCCCCCCCCCCCCCCTTCTGAAAATATTTGGTCCCTCAATGAGACTGCAGTTTCTTATCGTCGTGTCTTTTTATTGCGACTGACTTGTGCATGTAATTTTAATGAGCTCGTCGCACGGTTCATAATGGCAGTAAAGATCGATCTGTACAGTGGTTTACCTGTCAGTTTGTAAACGGTATCCAATAAACACTACCCGTATTCTTATCCAATCAAAAAATCTATAACAGTTACACAGATAATCTATCCAATCGCCACCCGTTTAACACGTTTACCTGCTCAGGTGAACGAAAACAACAACAAGCAAGTATATTCGTGACATTAAACAGAGAATAGAAAACTATTTACGCATTTATCGAAAAATGGTATGTATGTTATCACTATTCTATCAATTCTTTCGATTTGCATAATTTTCAGTTAACAGTCGAGCTTGTAATTGAATTGCATGTGTTGAAACATGCATGTCTAATTATGCACCTTGTTTACAAGGTTGAATTTTCATTCATTCATTCTCAATTGTTTATATGGGGTATCATTTGAGTGATCAGTATTTCTGTATGCACGATCCACTATGATGACTTTATAAGCTTAATTTCGTACTTTATGCAATGCATTCTATACTAGTTTAAAAGATTTGAATAGAATATTTCTAAGAAAATATTTACATACAGGTACGTATTGTACTTCTTGGACGAAGAAATTTAATCATAATCGCCAGATAAAAGAAAGTTCTAAAAACTGCACTTCAGTGTAAAGTTGAATCTATTGTAATTCTGGGAAATATTGATTCAGTATTTAGTACACTTCGCAATGTTTGTGAATTTCCGTATTTTATTGATTTTTTTCCCTCTTTGGAAATCCAGGAAGACAATAATTGAATGTGCCACTGCAATTAATGTTAATAACTGTTGCATTGCATAACATTCAAATGTTAATATTTGTTCATTGCCTCGATTTATACTAGAATTCCGTGGCCTAGATTGTATCTAGGAAGCAAATCATTTTTTTTTCTGAGCATGCAGTTCTCTAAAGTCCAAAAATCAAGAGTTTGACTTCAGTAAATAAACGAGTAAATTAATAATTAATTTATCATCAGTTGCGACCAATTTTCTTATTAATTTTGGCTTCGAACAAATTGTTTTCATGAAATATTTAACTTTTTCAGAATCATAATTATTTTCATATTGAAAGTTATTACTGTAATGCACGCACTCTTGTTGAATTTCTGTAAATGAATACACAGGTGCTTGGGACGGATCCCCCTCCCCCCTCGTTCTGTTTTAGTATCAGTTAGTATCAGAGAGAATGATTTTTTTTATAAAAGAATAGTTATTGCTCAGGTTTTGGATTTTTTAGTTGTAATACTTTGTGAATATGTCTAGAAAAATATTTTTAATTTTAAAAGTCAAAGAACCCTTGGGGTACGGAACACGGGGGAAGGGGGGTCCTATCCCCCAAGCACCTTTCACCTTTGAATGAATATTTAAATCTAAAGTCTGGAAATATTAGAATAGTGTATTTACATCATGTAAGTGCATTTAAGAACCCTAGTCTTAAACAAATCAACGAAATTTCATCAAGGACAAGAAAAGAATTTTTTCCGGGAGGGTGGGTGGTATTTGCACTGGTTTTTTTTTTTATTTTTCTTTTAAAGAAATAAATGCTTTTAAAAACTTTTTCAAGATGTAAAATTGGTAATTCATTGGACCCAGATATACCTCACATAAGAGTTTCCAAATTTTGCAAAAGTTTATTTTTACTTATTATTAACTAATAACACCACCTCTTATTTCTAGGCGGATCAAGAACACAGCGAGGAACAGATAGAAGTTTGGCGACAGTCGTTCGATATTTTCGACAAGAATAAGGATGGTCACATCAGTCTACGTGAACTGGACACCGTGGTCCGGAGCATGGGCCTTAATCCCACCATGAAAGATCTCCGGACATTTATAAAAGAGGTTGACCAGAATCGTGAGTCCATTCTTATAATTCACCTATATAATATCGATATGAAAACTTTGATAAGTAAAACAAAAATGGGGGGGGGGGGTATCCGAACTCGAAGATCGTATTTCGGGGATGGGGTGGGGTGGGGGTTACGTGTCGGCTGTCTTAACCATATTTTTTTTTAATAATTATACCAATTCACCATTGTTTAAATATGTTTCGTAAAACTGGTAAGCGTAAATGGGGTTTATAAGCCTTTTAATATTTTTGATAAGATTGTACATATGTACATACATTAACTATCTTGAATGTTCCCTTCATGACCTAAGGTATTTCATACTTTATCAGGTGATGGTAAAATTCAATTTGAAGACTTCAAGATTTTAATGTCCAAAATTTACGTCTCACAAACACCAGAAGAACAACAAAAAGACATTGAGGGAGCCTTCAAGATATTCGATAAAAATGGAAACGGTGTGATCGAGCGGGCGGAGCTTCTGAGAATAGCGACGACGCTAGGAGAACCGCTGACAGAGGAGGAGGCGGAGCAGATGATCCGGATAGCGGACGCCAATAAAGACGGATTAATTGATTACAAAGGTCAGTCTAAAATATATAAGTGCATGAAATGTATGGAGATAACGAACAGTATTCAAGCTCAAAAGTCTATTTAACAATACAAAATATATAGGAACAGAGCAATCACGGACCTCCAAAACATCAGAGGTGGGATCAGGTGCCATGGAGGAATGAGCATCCATTGCCGTTTTGTACTATGCAAGCCTCTCAATTTGCTCGGCATATACCAAGTGCATGTTTCTTTTTGATTTCTGATATAGTTTGTTGAAAGCTTTTTAACGAGCAATTTTAATTCTCAGAAGTTAGCAACACCGCTGTATTTTCACCGTTTCTCTGTTTATCTTTTAAAAACAAAATTCTCTTTTTTTTCAGAATTTACAAAGTTCATTACAAGACCCGTCCTGAATACTACTCCACTGGGGCAGTGAAAGATTACGACAACAGATATTGTCTTTGGCAGCATGGGTATTAGGTTTTATAGCATTTTCCTTAGAGGACAGGTTTCTGATATTAATTCTTCATCTGACACCAGAATCCATTAGAAAATGCATAATATTGGCATTTCTAGATTTTATTCAGAACTAATGCTATAGTTTATCATCGGAATATTAATCCACCATTTTCCGTTCCAAGCGGATAACGATGTTGGATTTTCGATTCACGCAAAGTTTTTAACACATGTTTACATGACTGTACGTATGTCCATGATATGGACCGATTTGACAATTGTTTTATGTTGTTATATTTTGCAATTATTTCAGTGAAACAACAATTTAACATATTAGACCCTGTTTCGTTTATAAAACTGTGTTTGTTTTTCAGTGGTAAAATTCTAATTATAACTCACTTTCCTGGTAGAGTAACAAGTTCTATTGAAAATAATTTTTCTTCTTTTAAATTTTACTATCATGTGGTTGATGTAAAATGTTAGCATTAAAATTATATAGATTATAGATACATTTGAGAGCATTCCGAGTGTTTTTGCAAGTTTTTAAGAATATTCTGTCCTTGAAATACGTTTTGTTTCAGGTTGATTTTTATCAGTGATTCTCTCCTACAATTGCAAAAGTCGATCCATGGAGACATACTCATGTTGTGTATTAAATATTTGTTGTTTTGGTATAATATGATGTATTTTTAATGTCAATCAATGTTGATCCTTTTTTTGTAGCCATATTCTCAAAAAAGTAAACAAAATATTATTATATTAAATGCATTTTGAATAGACATAATTATGTCTCAATTTTTTCATAAGATTTTGATTTTTTAAGGGGGTTATATAGAAAACTATTTTACAAGAATTGTTTTTGGACTACAATGCATATAGTAACACAATGTTAATATTTTCAGAAACAGTTCTTGATACAGCTGTATAGTCGTCTGAAGTCATGGCCATATTATATTTTTAGATAACATTTGTATACTAAGTATCAGTGTGTTGTGATGTTATAGTTTTTCTTAATGTTGTTAGGATCTAGAAATTAACAGTACAAAACATTTGTAGATGACATTCAGGTGGCATTGAGTACATGTAATAATAAAACAATTAAACTGCAGAAACCAGTTGTGTATTATTTCTTATCAGACAATACGCTTTAATTGAACGTTGTTCTGGCAATGCACAAGTTACTCAAAAATACATGTATTTGGGAATTTTACATGCCATTTAGGGACTTCACATCAAAAGGTAGGTTAGTAAAATGGGTACATGTCTTCCATCTGTTTATCATTCATTCTGGGGGGTGGGTGAAGGTGGCCCTGTGTGTGTGTGTGGTAACTCTCATAAGTTAAAGACAATCCCTATTTAGGCGGTCAAAGGTAAAAAGAAAAATATTCATATGTATGTATATAAATTGCATAAATAATAATAGTTATCAGTTTATTAACTTAACTAGTCATCTTTGACTTTTTTGTAATGAAAATAAAGTTCACGACTCTAAATAGCTAGGAAAGACTCCATATTTTTGAGACCAAAAGGAAAAGTCAGTCCCTCTTTCCTTCCTCCATTTGCATTTTGCAAATCTTCCATCCACTAATTGTTGTCCCTCAGGAATGAGGCATGTTGATAAATTTTTGCCAGAACAAGAGCCTTTTTCTCAAATGGCAGAATTAATATATTACAGATAGTAGTGGATATTAACCGTAGACACAAATTCGTCAGTTGCTTGTGTAAGGGACAGCGGACAGTAAGAAAGTTCACTTGGACCTGCCCTGGCTCAGATGAGATAAACTGATACAATTCAATAATTATATAAAAATCTGCAAGCCCCAATCAATGAATTTCAAAACCACACACAGCGAGAAAGACTCAGAAAGTAGTTTTGTCACTTGATTAGCTAAGCAAAATAGCAAATAGATTAGTGAAAAGATAAATGTTTCCTTATTTTAGAAAATGTTTCTTAGTGAGGCAAGAAAACTGGTGATTTTAAATATTAATCTGTTCTTTGGAGACCATTGTAAGAACATCGATAATCACAGCAGACTGTATGCTTTTACCAAGAACTAACCTATGATGGAATTTTTGTAATATGACGAACTTTCAAGATATCATGTTTATTATATAATATGCTTTATATGTTGTTCCACGTGCAGATTATTTGAAACAGGGTTAGGTTATATCGCTGCATTTCATTTCCGGAAATCTGCATAGCATTTCCGACATTTTTTATTTCATTTGATAAGGTAAAGTCTTCAAATCTGCTACTAAAGGCACTACATGTATGTGAAAAATGTCAGAAATGAAAACAAAAAAAAATGTCGGAAATCAAAACATAAAAATGTCGGAAATGAAAAGTTGATAAATAAGAAAAATTCCGGAAATGAAATGCAGCCGGACATATCTATAATTCTTACCTTTATACACGTAAAAAAAAAATAGTACAGTTTTTATTGCTCGTGGTGTATTTATTTTTTTATTGCCGGTATAAAATGTTTTAAAATTGGATTATAGCTCTATTTGATCAAAGAATCTAGATCCCCTGTGCCCCGTCAACCTTGATTCCATGTTGTCTACAATATTTGTTAAACCCCCCTCTCTGTGATTGCATGGTTCCAAACGGGGTTGTTGTTTAATAGACCTTAGTTAAAAGCTATTTTAGGAAATCCTTATGCAAGTAAATCATAACATTGATTATCCAGTGTTTTATCAATCCAAAAAAAAGATTAGTCTTGTGGTAGCAAAAAACTTCAGGTGCACTTTGTAGCTATCTAAAGATTAATTAGGATAAATTAACTAGCATAATCCTTAATCCAAAATGAAAACGAATTGGTGCTTTACAGCGTTTAAATGGTGGGATTATCAAATACTGGGAATACTTAATCAGCTGGGTTGAATCAGTCCTCAGAAAGTTATTTTTGATTTTGGAAGCTTAAAAGGAGCTGATAGGCAGAGACATTGACGTCTGTGTCACCGTGTTCTGACTATCCTAATACTATGGTAAATATGAACGCCCAAAATTTATGGTCTCAAATTTTTGAAGTAATATATTCCATGTGTCTGACTGATAGTATACATTTTTAGTACTGTGTACATTAATTTTTCTAGGCCCAGCTTAGTCCCGCGGATGCTGAAGGTAAGACAATTACAGCATTAACATTTTCGATGAATTGATATGATGTCACTATGATGTCATATAAACCTGGTTATTTAAAAATCAGAATCATTCTGATTTAAAGAACTTTTCTTGCATATCCATGCTAAATGTATTTCATGTGTTTCGCAATAAACAAATATAAAGAATTATGCATGCTTGTGCATTTCTTTAATTCACCTTTAACATGAATTCGAAAGTAAGTAAATGATATAAGCTGAACATAAGCTATAGAAATCTAAAAGTTTACTCGTCATAACGAAGTATCTGGCACATATTTTAAAGTCTTTTTATTTCATTAGGAAATAGCTGTTCTGTTATTCTGTCCACAATCTTTCCAATTTTTGTAAAAGATTATATAACTTTTTCAGAATAATTCGCAAAAATATATTTCAGTCTTGTTCTTTGAAAACAGGAAACAATGTTGCTAAATAAAATTAAAGCTGGCATCTGGCTCCAAATACAGATATTACTAATCAAGAAATTAGTTGTTATGTATAATTATCTAAAACCACTTCATCGGAAGTTAAATAAAGATTTTTTTTATGTGATATACACCGTAATATTTCGATCTACATTGTTTTTATGTTTTAAAGTTGGAATAAAGCCACCAAAGGTTCAAAAGTTTACAGGTGGTAGTCTAGAACACGTTTTAAAAGTTATACCATCCTGAATTTAGTGTAAGAAAAATAAAATACTAGCCTATTAAATGTTAGTAATTTTTAACATTTTTAGAAAGGTGGGTCTGTCTTACAGAATACACCTGTATGATTTTTTTTTATATTTTAATTTTCTTTTTCTAATTTCTTTACAGTTATAAAAAACGAAGTGCACGTGAACATGTATATATATGAACACATGCTACACGAAAGAAAAGATAGGATACCGGTATTAGGTTAAAAAGGTCTAACCTTTGATCCAATTCTTTAATTACGTATTATCTGCGACATGCAAAATTGTATGCAACCTGTGTTTGGACCGATTAAAATTGAACTTCTAAGTTATTAAGTGATTTAAATAATTAACTCGCCTTTATTCTGATCTTTAAAAAATGTCCCCTTGACCTGTTCCAAAATCTAATGCACGTTTTTAGCTCTACTGGTCAGAGACCAGAAGAGCTTATGCGATAGTAATGCGTCCGGATTCCGTCCGTCTGTCTGTCCGTCTGTCTGTAAACAATTTTTCAAAACGCTACTACTCCTACAATTTTAGTCTGATTTCAATATTACTTGGCACACAAGTAGAGTACACTAAGATACATAGAATAGTGGATCGGTTTTTGATTTCGATGAACGGTGTTGCCATGGTTACTAAAAATAGAATTTTCTGTGAAATTCCTTAAAAACGCTACTCCTTCTAAAGTTTTTGTCTGATTTCAATATAACTTGGCACACAAGTAGACTACACTAAGATACATAGAATAGTGCATCGGATTTTGATTTCGATGAACGGTGTTGCCATGGTTACTAAAAATAGAATTTTCTGTAATCAGCTGGTACATTAATTTTTTAGGCCCAGAAATTCCTTTAAAACGCTACTCCTTCTACAGTTTTGGTCTGATTTCAATATAACTTGGCACACAAGTAGACTACACTCAGATACATAGAATAGTGCATCGGTTTTTGATTTCGATGAACGGTGTTCCCATAGTTATTAAAAATAGAATTTTCTGTGAAATTCCTTTAAAATGCTACTCCTTCTACAGTTTTTGTCTGATTTCAATATAACTTAATTGGCACAAAAGTAGACTACACTAAGATACATAGAATCATGCATCGGTTTTTGATTTCGATGAACGGTGTTGCCATGGTTACTAAAAATAGAATTTTCTGTGAAATTCCTTTAAAACGCTACTCCTTCTACAGTTTTGGTCTGATTTCAATATAACTTGGCACACAAGTAGACTACACTCAGATACATAGAATAGTGCATCGGTTTTTGATTTCGATGAACGGTGTTGCCATAGTTACTTAAAATAGAATTCTCTGTGAAATTCCTTTAAAACGCTACTCCTTCTACAGTTTTTGTCTGATTTCAATATAACTTAATTGGAACAAAAGTAGACTACACTAAGATACATAGAATAGTGCATCGGTTTTTGATTTCGATGAACGGTGTTGCCATGGTTACTAAAAATAGAATTTTCTGTGAAATTCCTTTAAAACGCTACTCCTTCTACAGTTTTGGTCTGATTTCAATATAACTTGGCACACAAGTAGACTACACTAAGATACATAGAATAGTGCATCAGTTTTTGATTTCGATGAACGGTGTTGCCATGGTTACTAAAAATAGAATTTTCTGTGAAATTCCTTAAAAACGCTACTCCTTCTACAGTTTTTGTCTGATTTCAGTATAACTTGGTATACAAGTAGACTACACTAAGATACATAAAATAGTGCATCGGTTTTTGATTTCGATGAACGGTGTTGCCATGGTTACAAAAAATAGAATTTTCTGTGAAATTCCTTTAAAACGCTACTTCTTCTACAGTTTTGGTCTGATTTCAATATAACTTGGCACACAAGTAGACTACACTAAGATACATAGAATAGTGCATTGGTTTTTGATATCGGTGAAAGGTGTTGCCATGGTTACTAAAAATAGAATTCTCTGTGAAATTCCTTTAAAACACTACTCCTTCTACAGTTTTGGTCTGATTTCAAAATAAGTTGGCACACAAGTAGACTACACAAAGATACATAAAATAGTGCAATGGTTTTTGATAAGTACAAACCAGTAGAGCTACAGTCTCGACAGAGACTTCTGGTTTTAAATGCATTGAAATACCTACATGTACTCAAAAGCATAGGCGAATACAGGTCTATGTGAAAGAACTAAAGCCCTCTAATCCCTCCCAACTTCTTGTCCCTATGCGGATCCAGGAAAAAAATCCACCTCAGATTTTCAACAACATAAACTTTACATGTACACAAAAAGCTATAGTATTGAGTATTTCTTTTGCTAACGCACAGGCAAATATAGACTAACATCTTTTTTTTGTTGTTCTCTCAGAGCTTATTGACACTTTTGAGATCTTCGACAAAAACCACGATGGCACAATATCTGTGGACGAGCTGGGGTCAATTCTAAGAGCTCTAGGTCAAAATCCATCGCAGGCAAAGGTAGACGAGATCATGAAAAGGGCCGACAAAAATGGTAAGGGGATTCCTTTCGTTTTTAATGAGCGTAAGGTATAATGGTTAAGAATACAATCTGACATTTTTTTAATTATCAATCATCAGGCAAATGACTGAGTTTGTATTTTAGCTTGTCTATTTTTTTAATACAGGCGATGGGGTATTAAGTAAAGCAGAGTATGTCAGTTTGATATCGAGCTACATGGTAGACCCAGAAGTCGTCAGAGCCGAATTAAGGGAAGCCTTTATGACCTTTGATAAATCAAAGAAAGGTTACCTAAACCTTCAACAGATGACCAAAGCACTACGGTGTTTAGGAGAACCTCTATCAGACATAGAAATAAAACAATTAATGAAATTAGCGGACACCAATAACGACGGCAAAATTGATGTTGATGGTATGAACTTGATATTGGAATTTATGGTATTTTCAAAAAGAATGGGTAGGGGTAGCTGCAGAACTGTAGCGTTATGGTTTTATATATTTGTCTTTGACCATAAAACCATAACGCTACAGATCTGCAGCTAGGGTAAGGGCTGTTAGCATATAATAGGTCGCTATCACAGACCTTTAGATAGCTTAGAAAAAAATTGAGGTGTAAAAAAATATCTTTATTTACACACACAATTTTGTTTAGAGATCCAAAGGCCTGTGGTCGCTATTAAATTCATTCCTTAATTGGTATACCTGTCTTCGAATCGTTTGTGGAGATGTTTCAATCGTTTCGTCTTCACTGATTTAAAGACAGGTATAATTCAATTTTTCCTATCTGTAGCTAAAATATTTTTTTCTTTAATGTACTAGTATTAAAAATAGGTTTAATTCATATAAAACTAGGTTCAGTTATTTAAAGATAAGTTTAATTATTTACACTTATTTTCTAATTCAATTAGACATATCTTTTAATTCAATTTGAAGATAGGTAGAACTGTTTGAAGATAGGTTCAAATATTTGATAAATACATGTTACATGTTATTTGGCTTTCTTTAAAGACATAAATACTTAGCGATAGGTGCAATAATTTTTACAATGGGTCCCAAATACCATATTGGTTCAAGTGCAGTATACGGTATTGTAGTTCCTGCGGATTTTCACTCTTAACAGAATGAGTAATTAGGCAAAGTCCATAAAATTATTAATACTTTATTTACATATTTATTCATAACATCTACATAATATATATATTCATTAAGTTTTAAAATAACAACAAATTTAGGAAAGCAGGTCGACAGGTCAGCAGGTCGACAGGTAAACAGGTCGACAGATCAGCCATGAATAAATATTTACCACAGATACTCTATTAATTTGATGGTCGACAGGTCAACAGGTCAGCAGGTCGACATGTCAACAGGTATACATGTTTACTCATCAGTGGTTAGACATGAATATTAACTTAGATACTCAATTAAAGTAATTATACCTCTACCGATTTTTCCCTAAATTATATTAAGTATACATGTATATCTGCTGATCTATCTACCTGTATAATTGTTTCTTCACTAACAGATCATTCTACCAATTTGAGTTTTTACCTGTTTACCTGTCGACCTGCTTACCTGTCGACCTGTTTACCTGTCAACCTTCTGATCTATCAACTCGCTCATCATTTTACCAATCTCACTTTAGTTCGCTGACCTGTCGACCTGCTTACCTGTCGCCCTGCTGACATGTCGACCTGCTTACCTGCGTCTCATTACAAAGCGTAAACATCCAAGCCCAACTCATGTTTTACATTATCACTAATTCATTCTTTAAATATCTGGTACATTTATGTAAATTACGATCATTAATATTCAATCAATTTTACAAATGTAAACTCATTTAGATCTATGGCTCATTAGCAAATAAATGCGCAATGTCCGGAACTACTTAAACGTATAATATACTTGGGCCCGAAGTAAAGAGCAAACAGCTTAAATATCAACAAAAAAATTATCATCTTCCCAAGTCAAAAGCTGTTTCAACACTTGACCAATATGTTGACTTTGACGGGAATTGAAATGTTCTTTCTGATTGGCCTCATAAAATCTTGCACGAACCAATCAAAAAGCATTGTTTTATCTATGAAACTAAATCGTCAGTTTTAGTGATGAAACAATTTTAAAAAAAGGCTGACTCATCTTGGAGTTTTATTACCGGCAATCATGTCTCGCAATGGGTTGTTCTAGAATCGCAGACTAAGTAGTTGACCCTTATCTCTAATTTCTATTTGTTTTCTTTGTGATAACTCTTTGAAAGATGGTCAAGTTGATTTCTTGATAACTCAACAAGACCTTTAAAACCGGGATCCAATGTTGCAATATATATGTTGACACGAAAAAGATTCCTCACTGCACAACAGTCCTGAGTGACGAGTGTAGGTCTAAATTTGCAACCCTCCACTGGCAAGTGGTGGCATCTACATATGAGTGAAAAATTCTCAGTGGAGAACAAACCTGGCTTTCAATATTGTTTCAGATTCTCTATTTTTTGGCTTAATACTCTGAGATCAACAGAGTTCAAAATGTGTTAATTTACCTAGATGGCGCGATGGCATCGTTGCAAACCACGGCCAAAATGTACGATCCTCTCCTTCTCTGGAGAGAGCTATAGCGGATTCCTAACCGCGGGATTGAAACGATGGCGCGATGTTAAACCCCGTCAAAGTCACATGTCATACAAATTTTTTTGTGAGCTCAGTTCCCAAGGATTTCTGTTTTTAATTTTGAGATAAGATTCTTCATCATAAAGAAAACTTTAAAAAAAAGTTCCCAACTCTCAATGATTTCATATCTTTTTCTCTTTCCCTTACAGAATTTGTTGAATGCCTTTGTAAACGGATGTGAACTTGCAACATAAAGACTTTAAACACATTTTAAACTGGATTTAAATACGTGTGATATCGAGAGTGAATGGATGAAAAGTTACCAGGACCCCCTCAAGTACAGCATATAGTCTTATGACAAGAGAGACAAGAATTTTTTTTTCATGTAGTAAAATTCTTTGTTATCCTTGGACTTGGCAGTGGATGCGACATTTTCGACTTGCATACTAGTAATCAGGGTCTGATCGAAATTTATACAGCCTTTCATTCACTGTTGAAATATACATGGGACAGAAATTCGGACGAATGAGTGTAGCAAGGGGCCAATGATAACGTTTCGTACGGCAAAGAAGTGGGGCTCAAATCATCTCATCGTTGCTATCAACAATTTAAAGTTCCTGTTGTTATAAATTTCTAAACAAATGAGAATATATTCGCCATTTGAGAGATCCTAGTTACATGTATGTGGCGTCGAGAATGCCACACCTTACTGAAAGTCCAATGAAGACTAAAAATGCTTAGTTTATACATGTATATATTTTCCATACGCTGAGCACTTATGCATTATTATTAATACATAATTTCATTAATGAATAAAAGTTTTCAAAGCTTTAATTATGTGCAGTTAAGAATAGATATATAAAAGCCAGATGAGGGAAATATGTTCCATTAATTTTCTACAATTCCCTGTTTCTTTCCATGTTAGTTCCGAACGCATATAGAATTGTATTATCCAGGAATAGGATAGAAAAAATTGTCAAAAATTATATCCTCCTTCAACAATTCTTCAAATGATTCGGTGAATCCTTCAATATATTATATCATTGTGTACATAGAGATGCTCACTTCTTAATGGCGCCTGATCCTATCTCTGAAGTCTTAGTGGTCCGTGTTTGCTTTGCTCCTGATTTGTATTGTTTGAATGGATTTTTGAGCTTGAATACTGATCGTTATCTCCATATATTTCGTCATGAAGTTGGCTTTCTACTGTTCAAAGACGTCCATTTAACAATCAACGTGTATAGAGTATAATGTACAGACATATATTAAATTGTTAGAACCATTCAGTAAAACCCAATCATCAGGCAATACCAGGACGTGACACATCAAAACTAACAATGGGTGTAGACAACCAATAATTAAACTTCCTCCGTGTTCTTGTGTACTGTCTCCTGATTCGATCATAGCAGGAAAAAAACTTCCTATTTAAAAAATTCAAATAAGATTTACAGAAATAAAATCAACTGTATGACATAATAAAGAAAACATAGTCAAGTGAAACGAAAGTTGGGATCGAGGAGGAAAATCCACGAAGCAAGCAGTTTATAGGTCACAGCTAAAATATTTTAAAATAGTGTACAACTTGTGTAAATAAATTAGATAAAAAGTGAAGGCTTTTAAAACACTTCCGCATTTAGCAAACAACCATTGCAGTGATTAAAGGATAAGGTAAGTGGTTAGATGTACAAATTCCGTTTTATCAAGAATATTTTGCATACGAACTTTATGAATGACGTTAGTTTACCATGTTTACACAGATATTCTAGCTTGTTAGCGACGATAGAAACATACATTTTGCTAATATTTTAGAGGATTTTGCTAGCGTTGCTTCTTTTGGCAACGAACAGCGTTTTTTTAAAAGTATTTTACTTAATATCAGAATTAATATCTCATATTTTGTTAATTCTATTTCGATGACATACTAGTAATCAGGGTTCTATGAACAAAATTAATTTGTGGACAACCTCGGATCTGAGTAAAAAATACGGTATAAATGGTTAGATATCTTACTTATATTTTAGACAGAGCAAGGTGGTTATTCATAAACATCTAGGATACCGGGTCTGGTTATGCTTAAAACGTATTCTCATGGATGTCGTCTACGGGTAGATATTCTCGATATTCCTTGGTTTTGAACAAATGCTTTAGGATAGATTATTTTGCAAAAATTGTGATTGCTACAGATGTTTGAATTTGCCTTATGTTCATAAAGCCATTTCAATATCTGATCTACATCTGTATCTACTAATGTGGGGATGGATTTCGCTCGTTTTTATGCTACTGTACATGTATCAATATATTTATTTGCCAGTGCAAATAAATCCCCAAAAGTATATAGAAAATTGTTCATAAGGGTTAATTATTTTCTAAAAAATCAAAATTAATAAGAGAGAGAGAGAGAGAGCATCGTGACTACAAAACTGCCACTCGTGATTATTCATTATCATTGGGCATTGGGTCATTTTCTTATGAACAACTCAATCTATGTACTATGAAATCGGAAAACAAAAGTTAACATAATAATTTTATCCCCGTAAGTGCTGTCTAAAGTAGCTGCAGATCTGCAGCTATGTCTAAAGAAGATCGTTGGTAACAATCTGAGCATAATTACATCCACTTTAATTTGCGTTTAGTTCAGTTTCAAAGAACTATTCAATTTATCTTTGTCTACGACCTTGATATGACTATTTTTTTAATTTATGTTCGCTCGGTGCCAATGAAACTGGTTAGGATTTATTGAATTAAGTTGCTGATACATATTGTTGAGAGCTATGAAGCAGCATCAAAATGTTTTTACCTTGCCCTCTGCGATCTTGATATTATAACTATTCTTAAATTGTGATCGAGCGGTTTCAAAGAAACTATTCAATACACGTGTATTTCTTCTAATACGTCATTTGCCAATACATATTGGTGCATCAATATTTAAGGTCTACCCTTCTTCATGACCTTGACCTAAATTTTTAATTTTGTATTTAGTGCAGTTTAAATAAAATATTCAAGATAGTTTTATCTAAACACATACATTGATACATATACGTATTTGAGAGCTATTCATCTGTTTTCATATGATCTTATCTTTCATTATTTCGCATCAACTGAGTTCATTTTTTTTTATCTTGACCTCCCCAATGACGTTTGACTTTACCATTTATCTTGTTTTAGAAACACTCTTCAATATATTTTCATTGAACTTGATGCACTCATACGAATCGGTCAGAGTTATTCAACTGTGACACAAATTTCTGAACTTTTCCAGTGACCTTGACATCACTTTTCATCATGACCCTTATCTTAACCAAAAAAAAAAAAAACAAGGTCCATTTTTTTTAAGTTCCAATACTAATGAATCTTGTGCGGACCGGGTATTCTTATAGTTTTGCTACTATTCTTTTGAGGCTGCTTGTAACTCTCTCTACTTGCAAATGGGCCAAACTCGAGCTAATTCTTGTACTGAAAACAAATTATTGGAAGATAATAGAAAGAACAAAAAATCATTTTTTACACATTGATCTAGAGTAATCAAAGCAAAACTATTTTTAAAATTTAATTTTCTAAACAGCTGATCCATGGAGTTCGACAGATGTCTCTTTAACCCGGAGGACGAGATAAGTCTTCCGGAATTCTACCAAAAGTACCGGCAGTGTTTACCGATGCTGGTGGTCGTTGTTGGAGGACACAATGGAACAACGGAGTTTGACGACACGCCCAGTGACACCGTAAGATAGTACTTGTAGTCCACTGAGAATCCCCCTGCATTAGTATCATTAAGCTCTTAAATGGTTAACCATGGTAATGGATGTAGGAAAAACTGCTTATAATAAGTTTATTTTCAAACATATTGGCCCACATGTACTTGTACGCGAGCACTGACAATGTGATTCGTGCAAAATGTAACAAAAACTCTTACATTAATTTTGTGTTTCAAGAGGTAAAATTAAAACAGGAACTAAGAAAATTAAAAAATGGAAATTGTATAATTATACATGCACTAGTATTCACCTGGAGTTTGGCAATAATCTGCTTTTGAACCCTTTTTATTTTTTTTTAATATAATTTAAAACGCATAAACCTTTACGTAGCTTTCATCTGACTTACACAAGGGGAAGCAATAATTAAATTTTTTGTTCCCTTAAGATATCAGTAGGAATAAAGTGGTCCGAAGTCCTGTGATTTCACACAATTCCACAGTCATTTTTATTTATTAAGGTTCACTGACCCTCTGATAAGAGAGATAACTCTCAATTTAATTAGATAAGAAAATTTAATTTAACTGACCATTTCTGACGAAGTTTTCTCCAAACTGCATATATGCTTTAATTATGTGTAGGTTATACATGAAGATTTCTTTTTCAAATTCTGTGAGCGTTTTAGCCAATTTTATATTATTTTAATGTATATTTCACTTTGACAGATAATACGATACAACAAATTCCAAAGTGTCAAAAGAGCCCTAGCGCAGGACCCCAAGACGAGGCGGAATTACATCAGCATTCCTGTCAACGCGAAATATAAATTCAACGTCATCAAATCAATTTCCACCAAGAATAAAGGTAATTAATTTCTCAATAGTAATTCATAAGGAAATGACCTTAACTTGTCATTCACTGGACTTGTATTAACCTTTCTTAATGAACGGGGGGGGGGGGGGTATTCACATCAAAACAGGGAGGGATACACGACTATTCTTTTTTTAAATTAGGAATATTTATAGATACTAAGCAAATAACTGGCAGGGGTTTGAAATAAATCTTTTAATTCCATTACTTAGTAATGTTACATGTAATTCGTTTGGGATGGAATGGCTGGGGAGGGGGCTCCGTCTGTCAAAACCTAGAGATTGAAGCTACTGATCTTTTTTACCTCAGTCTAATACCGAGGTATCGTCCCTTCACTCTAGATTCTGTTTACTAATCACTACTTCCTTTGTAAGAAAACTCAATATACGTATTCTTAAAATATTTTTTTTAATTTAAAATCATAAAAAGTTTATGACATTCCTTCCGTGAATAAGAAAAGCCTTGAGTGCTACCTTTGTTATTGACTTCCTGTTGAATTCTGATTACAGCTGACCACACACTGGCTGAGATCTTGGACACGTACCCGTTACCTGTACTTATACAATTCTCCGAGTCTCAGGAGATTCCCTCCGAGGGCAGAAACAGGGAAGGGACGCCCTATCAGCTTCTTATTACGCACGTGTACGAGGAAGTTTTCATACAAGGGAATTTTATCACGGAAGGTAATGTCAAGACGGCTTGTTTTATTACTCTGTCATATAACAATAACAAGTCATTTTCTTTAAAAACCGGTGTGCCATATATATTTATACATGTACATCACAGAGACTAAAATATATGAAGATCTCTTGCAGCATACCATAGGTGAAGTGTGTTTTGAGGGCCGTTTGTACATGACAATATTTAAAAAAGAGTAAGAGAATGTACTTCTGGGCATTAATGTCAGGGGTCCTATATCAACTAGTTGTCTCGGGACCCCTGACAAATTCCGTTCGCTTTTTTTTTTTTGGGGGGGGGGGGGGGGCTTGCTTCTCAGAAAATGTAAACAGCAAGTTCACGCCTAAATTACACGTGTACCTCATTGTCTGAACGATAGTACAATTCTCAGTTAACCTTGAAGTTTCAGTAAGACTGGCATTCTCGGTGCTACGAAGTTAGCGTCGGTCAAATGGCGAATAGATTCTCACAGGTTAAGAAATTAAGAGCCATTCTCTGTAATGACTTGAATTTTTATATAGGAGCTGTGGCACGCATAGTCTCAGAATTTCTCCAAACTCTCTGTGATAAAAGTTATTGATACCCTAAACTGAAATCAGGCAAAAATTGGTTGCTATGTTTTATAGTTACCATGGCAACATATCTTAAAGTTCGAAAAATGGCATTTTTTAACATGTGTAGAGCCCCATAATTAACATTTGCGGTAAAACAAACAATTGGCAATGACTGTTTCCAAAAGTTGAAGGTCAGATGTCTCAAATGCATGATAAACATGTTTGGTAAATCAACTATTACATACGTTACTATGATAACAAAGTATTCAAAAGTTAAAAAAAATATTCATTGAATTTTATAAAGTCATACACCTAAAAATAAAAAGCAATTATAGGATGAAATGTGACCAAATAATAGAAAAAAGAGCCTTGAAACATATACCAAGAACAAAATATGAAATTTCATTTTGGATGGCAATGGTTGCCAAGGTTTTTATACCATCGAGAGCCTTCAAAGTAGCACTCTGTATGTTTAAATCTGATCCTATCTTTTAAAAAAGCACATTTCCTCATAACTAATGATCAATTTTTAAAGATGTTGGTGTGCTCCTAGTTTTCCCATTTGAAAAAATTCAGATTAGATTCATTAAATAGAGCGTTGCTATGGAAATAAGCAGAAAATATATGCTTAGAAAAACTGAAAAATATTTTCTTTCCTTGGATACGTACCCTTAAATGTAGATTCCCAAAACTTTTATGATTGATATTTATTAACAGCTAACCTGACTTTTAATTTTGGCTATCATCCAATCTCTAAATGGATGCAAGAAATTGGCACACAGGGCTTAATATTGATATAAAGTTCACAAAATCGAACATTTTCTCTTCTTGGTAACCATAGCAACAGTGTTGTTTTCTTCATCAAATTTTATCAATATACGATATTCAAATTCAGTTCTAACAGATAAGTACTATTCAAGCTGAGTCCTTTAATTTGTTTCTTGATTATATGGCAATTTAATTCTTAATGCAGCGAAAAAATTTCACTTTTAAGCACTAGTACTTTGTTCCCATGGTAACACTGCAAAGAAGCAATTATACCCAGTTTTTCTTATGGTTTTGGTGTTGAAAGGTCCTAAGGATGCATATTTGCAAGTCTTGAATTTTTATGTTTTTCCTCAAGACAGCATCGTCGGAAACCCACGGGTGATCTCGTCCTTACTTATCACCCGTGGGCAAACTCGCCGAAAAATCGTCGTATGTAATTAAATATGCATGGGTCATTTGATTGGCCGCATTACAGAGTCGCGATGCGTAACAACGAATCACAGTTCACGTTTCGTATGCAAGTTCGGCATTGCCAAAAACATGAAAAACTCATTCCGTAGTTAACACAGCTGATAAATCACCGGTGCATTTTGCAGTGAGAAAGAGGTATATCCTTCAAAATATCTGACGGATATTAATGTCACTGACCTGTACGAATTGATTTTCATTGTTTTAAATCAAACTTCGCACGTTTTAATTAACGAGCGTCAAAATATTTACCATAAATAGCAAAGTAATAAACGTATTTTTCAAAATTGAAGAGTTCCAACTTTCTGATTGGTTGACTAAAAACAACAAATTAGCATATTTTACGGCGATATTTTGGCGAGTTTGCCCACGGGTGATAATTAAGGACGAGATCACCCGTGGGTTTCCGACGATGTCAAGACAGTAGCATTAACCCAATCTTAGTTACTGTTTTTGCATGGTTACACTGTGTTACCATGGCAACCATAAAAGTTATTTATAGAATAATATTGCATATACTTATATACTTAAGGTCAAACATTTTCATTGTTTTTCTTAAGTCGTTGATTGAGTTTGAGCATGTAACACCTACCATTAGTGAATACGGAGTGTTTTTCAGCATATTTCAGCATTTTAAATGTATTCCAAATGTACCCTTGGTTACCACTTACTTAGAGATATATTCTAACCAGTTTCTTTACAGTATAAGTGACATCAAGGTGTCATGTTTTTGTGAGAATGGTTTGTTTGCTTTTTCTAGTTTTTATTAAGCCACAGTCAAGATTTTAAGTGGTTGAAAATCTCGATTTTTCAAATTTTTCCGGCTGTTGCCATAGCAACCGAGACACTTAGCAACGTAATTTTGTTTGATATTTGTTTCTGGTGTCAATTACTAAGCATGGGTGAAGTTTCATCAAAATCGGTGACCATGCGTGGCAACGAAGTTTAAGTGGTTACAGAGAATGGCTATTAAATAATATCAAGAACTTCAAATTGTTGACAACGATGAGACGACATGTATATTTCAACAGTGAATAAAAGCTGTGTAAATTTCAGACGCTAATTATGTGACGTCGAGAATACCACGCCTTACTGAAAGTCCAAGGTTAACTGAGAATTGTACTAAAAAAAACTGCTGTCGGCCCCCGAAATATAAAGTGAAATTTGTCTGGGGTTCCATGGCAATTGATTGACAAAGGAACTCTGATGTTGTGATAATATTGACTGAATTAAATTAATTTTTTTGAAAATCGTTTTTTTTCTATTATAGGCAAGATAACCAAACATCCGTCCAGTTTTAGCCTGTGTCCACTAATCTCCGTGGCCCCGATACAAGGTTTTACTGACCGCACAAAGAAGGAGTACGATAAATACCTCAAGAAGCTAGAGGGTTACGTCAACAAAAACACCGTGTTTGCTGAAAGTCAATGCAATTTAGGTAACATCCTTTTAATATGCCCATTTTTTTTACAATAAATCCCGAATACTCAGTGAAATTCTAGTATAGCACTTGACTTAAACATATTTATGTTGTTATAACTGTTTGCTTCTGTATCTTCTATTATTTAAGTGAAATGTTATTGTTGGGTACGTTTTTCTGTTCGTTTTTACAGCAATCAAGATTCTAAAACCCGATGCAGATGAACTTAAAGACGTTCTCCAAACTTACCAAAACGAGACTACTGTGAGCCACCCCCCTCCTTCAATTCCTGTCAGAGGGCAGTCGCTCAAGAAAGCAAGACAGGAAGGGGATGATGATGATGGGGAGGATTACGAGGTCATGGAACAGCCAATGGAAGAGGTCGACACATATCGGGTAGCGGCAGCGGCGGGAACGCCGAGTTACGTCAACGATAGGTTGTGTCAAGTGAAACCATTGGTTGCTGGACAGGATGATGCAGACGACGATGAAGGGGACATGTATGAACCAATGGAAAACCCTGACGAAAATACAACTCCTTCAAAACCTGTTGTGATCAGTAAACCTGAAGAGACCCCTCCCTCTAGACCTGCAGAAAAGCCTAACGTACGGGGTAGATCCTTACCAAATGCAGGTGCCCCGACTCCTAAAGACATAACGCCTCCTGCTCGTGAAAGGGGGCATTCAACGTCCTGTGTGGACGAACCCTGTAAAAAGCCTTTTGTAACAAACACCTCTAACGCATTCGATATAGAAGAGAAAAGTATACAAGATATCGGAAATGTGTTACGCAGTTTGCGTTTGAATAAATATGTGGAAAAGTTTGAAGAAGAAATGGTTGACGGTGAAATATTAGCGGGACTAAGTGTTGAAGATCTGCAGAAAGAGTTTAATTTTTCGAAACTGGAGGCTATGCGACTTTTCAAGTATATTGAAAAAGGACATATTCCTAAATGATTACTGATTACATATCATTACAGAGCTATTTGAGAAGTGTGAATTGACAGAAGATGATATCATTACAGCTGGCCTGTAATTAGAAGGTTCTTTTCCAAGGATAGAAATGTTAGGAACAAAACTTTCTTCTTCTCTGTTTAATCTTATTGGACAATACATTTTAACAAATATTTTATGTTTCCTCATAAACCAGGTTTGACCCCACGCGAATTGGTTCGGTTGGTCAGTGACGAAATTACTACTAATAGTATTGCCTCAAGATTGTTAAAAAAGTAACAGGAGTTAACACTATAACAGATGAAAAAAGTTAATGGATTGACATTTGAAAAGAATCACTGCAACACCAAGATGAGAGGCGGATCCAGTAATTTTGGTGGGGTGTATCTGGGGACAGACAAGGATCTAGAAGCAGTTGATCATAAATATCATTAAAATAAATCTATGTTCTCTTTCAATTGAAGCATTTTTTCAATATTTATTTTTCTAACAAAATCAAGATCTTAAAAAAGGGGAGGTGTTCCCCCCCCCCCCCTTCCCCCAAATCAAACACACTTTTTAAACAGAATTCTTCTTTGCTCGTCTATCTTAGGAATGTTTTATTATGAAATTTGAAGAAATGAATTAAAATGTACTAAACAATACCAAAACAAAAGTCAGAAAAAACGGGCAAAATAGGGGTGTATCGCTCGTAGCCCCTTCCTCGCACTCCTATCCACCACATGATAGCCCTGAATTTGGACATGTATACACGTAAAATATTTATTTTAAGAAATCAAAATGTCATTTAGTTAAGGAAGGTTCCAGATATTTCCACATCCCCTCAAGGTCCAATTAAAAGGATTATGGAAAAAGACACAAACCGATTACAAATTGTTTGGTAATAAACTAATGACAAATATATGCAGAATTTATTAATTTATTACACGAAATTTGTAATTTGAAATAATTTGTAAATTCAAGATGAATGTTTATTTTCCTTCAAATTGATAGCTAGTAATTTCAAATTGATTATTCGTAATACTAGTAATATTTCGTTTAAAAAAGGGGGTGAGTACTGGAGCGTAGGAAAGGGTAAAACGGGAACAATTATAATTGCTATACCTTTAAAAATTTGTTCCTATACAAATCTATACAATAAAAAGTCTAACATTTCTAAGGTTTTGGTGAGCAGGCATAAAAAAATCGATGTTTGACCGCTGAGTGAGATGTTGGACCGGTCGATGAGATGTTGGACCGCTTACGTCACAGAATGGACGAAGCATAAACTCAATTTCATTCGTTGGCGTTCAACAGTGACGGACCTAATGTTACATCACGCCATCACGGACGACAGTATAAAAGACATGTGTATGTCAAAAATTAAAATAAAATGAAAGGTCTAACAAAACATTTATTGACAGAGTTCTCGGGCAAAATGCATTTTGTAGACCCTCGAACCAAGCTGTCTGCCTTCGGCTTCAAATGCGTTTTGTCGACCATCGAAGCAAACTGTCTGCCTTCGGCCTCAGGCAAACAGTTTGATTCTTGGGTCAGACAAACAAACAATGAAAAAAATAGAAGACAACTGTCCATTCAATTCTAATAACAGGTGCTTGAGTTATACAATTGACATAAGTTGTTTGTCATATGAGATCTAAAAATGTTGTAAATATCTTGATTTAGGGAAATGTCAGAGATTTATAATCCTTTTTTATTTCCTTTTCTGAAAATCCTTTCCATGATTTATTTGACCAGCTGATACATGTAACAGTTTGATAAGGTTCCGGGTCTTAGCATAACGATGCAAGATATGAAAATTGCGCAATTTTACCATATTATTTGGTTTTGTTTCACGTTCCTTCGAAAAATAAATTTTTCGTGCCAGCCATCTACTGCGACACGGGACATCTGTTTATATGGCATGTTTCGAAGGACGCGAGTACATGTTCCGTACTTGGATTTTGTGGCCCCGCTCTATGGGGGGTCACGAGTTTAACAATTTAGAATCTACATTAACCTAGGATGCTTCCACATAAGTTTCAGTTTTTCTGGCCCAGTGGTTCTTGAGAAGATTTTTTTATGACCCCACCCTAGTTTTGTCTTTTCTTGTTTATCTCCCCTTGGAATAGGACTTGCCCCTTCACTTTAAAAATTTTGAACTCTCCTTTTCCCAATAAATGCTTTGTAACAAATTTGGTTAAAATTGGCTAGTACTCGAGAAGTAGATGAAATTGTGAAAAGTTTAAAGATGGACGGAAGGACAATGGGTGATTAGGAAAGCTCAGTTGAGCTTTAGCTCAGGTGAGCTAAACAACTTGTTTGTGTCAACAAAAACTCTGAGTAAATGTCATCTTTAAGTTCAATTAATTCACAAACACATCTTTTTATTTCATATTTTTTGTTTTATTTTGGCATTAAATTCTACAATTCAATAACATTTGTTAGAACAGATGCTGATATGAAGACTTCGTAACTACATTGATAAACAAGTATTTTAAAATACTATATACAACAAGTTATGGATATTTGAGAGATACAGTGTACATGTATGTACAATGTATATATACATGTAGATAATACAAAATGAAAGATGACAACTGAATGATGAGCTATTTACATGTAAATGAAACATAAGAAAATCTGTCATAAATGAATAGATTATTCCGACCTTTATTATGTTCCCCAAACGGAGTTTGGGAACATATTGTTTTTACTCTGTTTCTTATTATTATGTTCCCCAAACGGAGTTTGGGAACATATTGTTTTTACTCTGTTTCTTATTATTATTATTTTTTTTCTTATTTGTTCTCCGGTACTTTTTTGTCCGCGAGTGTTCTCAGAAACTGTTCACCCAACTGAGCTAAAACCTTTTTAGGGTTAATAGGTGTGTAGTGTAGGTGTGCGGAACGAAGGTCATTTTGCGCACATACGCCTGCACGTGCGTGCGCGTGAAATGAGTGAATTGACTGATATACTTAATATAGCCATAACTTTTACATTTTTTGATGAAATGCTTTGAAACTCATTACATAAGTATATATTAAAAGTGTTAATAATATGACCTGTCAAATTAGCACGAACTCACGCGCATGCACGTGCGCTTTGCTCTGATTGGCTGAAACAAAAATCTCAATATCTCTTTTGTTTTCCGACGAAATGCTTTGAAATTTTTAACATTGTCATGAATTAGGATACCATACAATATTATATGGAAAAAAATTCATGAAATTACGCGCATACACGTGCGCTGCAATCTGATTGGCTGAAACTTTAAATGACTATATCTCCTTTATTTTTTGACGAAATGCTTTGAAATTTAAAACATAGTCATGCATTAGGATATCCTGCAATATGATATACAAAAAAATTCAAGAAATCACGCGCATGCACATGTGCTGCAATCTGATTGGCTGAAACTTTAAATGGCCATATCTCCTTTGATTTTTGACGAAATGGTTTGAAATTTAAAACATAGTTATGCATTAGGATATTCTACAATATGATTTAGAAAAAATTCTTGAAATCACGTGGATGCACGTGTGCTGCAATCTGATTGGCTGAAACTTGAAATGGCTATAATTCCCTTGGTTTTCAACCAAACAGAATGGGATTAAGAACATAGATAGATATAAGGGCCTCCTACAAGAACGTATGGTCATCATGCACGTGTACGCACGTGCGTGCATTTGGAACAAGTGAAATTGAAAATACACTTGAATGAGTGATTTTTAATACTTTTGGACCAAATGCTTTCATATAAAGTATAATTTAATATATAGAAAGCGTAGACAAGATTATATGATCATTATGCAAGTGCATTCACATGGGCACGCGTGCAATGTTGAAATTTGAATATAATTGGTATCCTTTTGGGAAAACGTTGTTTAAGTCAAAAAATGCACAGATGTTGTCTTATTTAATAAGGCTTACAGGGAATATGGCACCAAAAGGGAGTTGGGGAGCGTTTGGGGAACATCTGTAACGGTTCCCGTTACAATTAGCACTAGTTATTATTATTTTTTTTCTTATTTGTTCTCCGGTACTTTTTTGTCCGCGAGTGTTCTCAGAAACTGTTCACCCAACTGAGCTAAAACCTTTTTAGGGTTAATAGGTGTGTAGTGTAGGTGTGCGGAACGAAGGTCATTTTGCGCGCATACGCCTGCACGTGCGTGCGCGTGAAATGAGTGAATTGACTGATATACTTAATATAGCTATAACTTTTACATTTTTTGATGAAATGCTTTGAAACTCATTACATAAGGATATATTAAAAGTGTTAATAATATGACACTGTCAAATTAGCATGAACTCACGCGCATGCACGTGCGCCTTCCTCTGATTGGCTGAAACAAAAATCTCAATATCTCTTTTGTTTTCCGACGAAATGCTTTGAAATTTTTAACATTGTCATGAATTAGGATATCCTACAATATAATATGGAAAAAATTTCATGAAATCACGCACATGCATGTGCGCTGCAATCTGATTGGCTGAAACTTTAAATGGCTATATCTCCTTTATTTTTTGACGAAATGCTTTGAAATTTAAAACATAGTCATGCATTAGGATATCCTGCAATATGATATACAAAAAATTTCAAGAAATCACGCGCATGCACGTGTGCTGCAATCTGATTGGCTGAAACTTTAAATGGCTATATCTCCTTTGAGTTTTGACGAAATGCTTTAAAATTTGAAACATAGTTATGCATTAGGATATTCTACAATATGATTTAGAAAAAAAATATTGAAATCACGTGGATGCACGTGTGCTGCAATCTGATTGGCTGAAACTTGAAATGGCTATAATTCCCTTGGTTTTCAACCAAACAGGATGGGATTTAGAACATAGATAGATATAAGGGCCTCCTACAAGAAGGTATTGTCATCATGCACGTGCACGCACGTGCGTGCATTTGGAACGAGTGAAATTGAAAATACACTTGAATGAGTGATTTTTAATACTTTTGGACTAAATGCTTTCATATAAAGTATATTTTAATATATAGAAAGTGTAGACAAAATTATATGTTCATTATGCACGTGCATTCACAGGGGCACGTGTGCAATGTTAAAATTTGAATATAATTGGTATCCTTTTGGGAAACCGTTGTTAAAGTCAAAAATGCACAGATGTTGTCTTATTTAATAAGGCTTACAGGGAATATGGCACAAAAAGGGAGTTGGGGAGCGTTTGGGGAACATCTGTAACGGTTCCCGTTACAATTAGCACTAGTTGTTTGTGATTTGTGATTGTGGATTAATGATCAATGACACCTAAAATTTTTACACATAAGAGTACATGGACAAATGGTGAAGATTTTCTCTTTAAAAATGATAAATACAAAATTGCTTCACAGACATCAAACCTTAGCATTTAAATTTTCACAAAAGCACAAAAACATGCTGTTGCTTTTTTTGTTTGTTTGGTTGTTTTTTTTGGATGACAATAACGAGAAGATGAAAAGGGGCATCTTGTATTTTTTCTCTCGTAAGTCTTTTATCAAGTTAAGGGTTGTATTTATCTTCCCAAGTCCATCAACATTCACTCTTGTTAAGTGCTGAGGTAGTACATATTACGAACCTTTGCTGACCGTGAATTGTCAATGAAGACTGTCAATTTCACTGCCACTTAGGAACTTAAATAACTTTCGTAAAAAAATGATCTAGTCCATGTTGTCAGTTTCATGTGTCATCTTCTACGAGCGTGGAGAAGATTTTGTGTGCCTCCCGTATTCCACTAATGTATGCTCCGGTAACAGACTGGGGAAACTGTCGATTTGTGGCCTGCAATGCACAACAATGTATCCTCAGTATATCATTCACTCCAAAACATAAACTGTTGATAAGATTTTAAAAATTTCTTTTGCAAATTTGTGTGAAAAAAAATTCCCGTTTTCCAGAATGAATGATGTAAAATGGGTGAAAGAATGGGTGGACATAACGCCCATTTTGGATCTTTTTGCGACTCTTCTACCAAGCTATAAATGAAGTGTATCCAAAATATATTACAAGCAATGGAAAGAGCGACGTATACTTGGTTATATTGGGTGGAACATCTGTACAAAATCAATGCCCTGTTGCCATGTATCAAAATTGAAGAAACGATACATAAGAGTCGTCTTCCAGAATTTGACATATACCCGCAGTGGAGTTTAGATCACATAATCAATATTTATAGGAGGCGGGGCTATCGATCGGTGTCATTGTTGATATTTCTCTCTCTATCCCTCTCTCTCTCTCCAAAAATTCAAATGCTTGTTTTGTATATTACAGCGATGTCAATATGAAATTATTTAAAGTGATGACACGCAAAATTAAAACAAAATTTAATTTGCTAAATTTTGAAAACAGCAACCACAAATGCTCAAAGACATGATTTACAACGAGGTCAGGTAGAAGAATACAATGTAACTGTTTTCACGAGTACACTGGCAGGTGGACATCACGTGATGAATTGTAATAACAGGTCAATCGAAGACATAACAATGGAAGCGAGAAGTGTGTTTCGAACACGTTTTTTGCTAAATTAAGTGTGAGCAAACATTTATCGGCTCTTCTCCTTTTGATATAACATTATTTTGTTCGAAATACAAATACAGTTTTCTTAAGAACAGCTGATAAACATGTGCTGACTATGTATTCAGACGATGAAAAACGTGTGACCCTGATTATCTATTGATATTCAAGAAATCTTCAGGCACCATACCTTCGATATTTATTAAGTTTACCCAGAAAAGAGCATTTTAAATTCACATCCGTACCATGAATACACGGGTTAGATATCGGGGGCTTATGTGATAGAAAAAAAATAAACATTTTATGAAACTTAAATTTATGGCTTTTTCTCTGGCCAGTTAAGTCCACCAATTCTTCCTTTTCAACTACGTGAAAAATATAACTTTATCTGAGACTTATCCTTTAAACATTATTTAAATAAGTATTTAAACAATATTTGCTTATACTAATTCTATTATAAATACAATACATTTAGTACTGCTTTTCATTAGATTTACTGGGCAAAAAATATCACACAGAACTAAGAATCATGTCTATGACTTACCTCTCCTGCGAAGTAGATTTTGGATCCCACATCCTGTGACATGATATCGTAAGCATCCCCATCCACTCCTATGGGTATGTAACTATAGGACATCTTGGAGAACGGCTCTTTAGTCCATTTTGTAACAAAATAATCCAGTGGTTTTGGGACTGTCTGCAATCATACAGAATTGAATGATTTTTTTTTACATACAAGTCAATAGTTTCCACATTAAAGTGAAATTTTTATCTTTTTATAAACAAGTACATAGTTTTTGTCCCCCGCTTGAAAAGTGGGAGATATTAATTTGGGTTTGTCCGTCCGTCCGTCTTTCTGTCTGTAACGCTTTCGTTTCCACATGATATCTCGAGAACCCTTTGAGCTTTTGCAATGAAATTTAGCATAGCAACTCCCTATGGACTAAAGAAGAACCCTATAGATTTTGAGGTCAAAAAGTCAAAGGTCAAGGTCATAAATAAGCAAATTCTGTCTGTTATGATAATTTCGTTTCCACACGATATCTCTAGAACCATTTGAGCTATTGCAATGAAATTTTACATAACAACTCCCTGTGGCCTAATAAAGACCCCTATTGATTTTGAGGTCAAAAGGTCAAAGTTCAAGGTCATAAATTTACACATTCTGTCCGTGTGTAACACTATTATTTCCGGGCGATATTTCAAGAAGATTTTGAGCTTATTCAATGTACTAGTAATTTTATACCAAAACTCCCTAGGACCTCTCTCACCCCTCTCAAAGTGCCCCGCCCCGTTTGTTTCATTAGTATTTATAGTATTACATGTTACTATTTTTAGCACAGGGGCATGAGAAGAGTTACTGCGTATAAAACAGGTTCTCGGCGGACTTTATGTTCTTATTACATCTATTAGAACTGTTTAATAAAGGCTAAATAAATCAAACACCATGGATTGTGTAAAATTTTGACAATACTGAACATGAATATATACATGTATGTGACTTCACTTCTGCATATACTTGACTCCATGTAAAGCAATTCCGTGGTCTACTAGGTCTAGTGGTATGTTTCTCGCTTCCAGTGTGAGAGGTCCCGAGTTCAAATCCCGGACAGACTTTTTTTAAAAAATACTTTTTTTTTACTAAATAATAGTATTCAGCACGCGAAATGAAAAATTTACGAGGTCTGGCTTGTACAAACTCATAAAATCATCATTACAGTGTGATAAATATTCCATATAAAAAGAATCTTCTATACACATAATAAAGAATAAGCAATTAAATCTTTATATCCATAATGGTATATTTTATTTGCTTCAGTATACATGCATGTATACATATAATAATTCTACAAATTCAGTGAGGGGGATTCAACTCTCCCCCCTCCCTTCCCCCGAACTGCACATGTTTTACTTTTTCCTTAAGCGGGGGACACAAATTCTCTGAATTAGCTTGTTAAAACTGTTAAAAGTGAAATTTGTATCCCTGTACTTTATTTTGATAAAAAATAATGAAATTTTGTGAAACTAACTGAAGAAACCAAAGAAAACACATATCCGCTACATTCCACTTTATATTTACAAACATACCTCCTCTGGGAACATTAATTTGAGGACCTCCATAGAGGCAGCCACTATATCCCTGTCTAACCTTTCCCGTAGAATGAGGGCATTTCCTGTTAGATGGGTCACCAATATATACATCTTCTCCACCTGCAAGAAAAACCAGACTTGGATAAAATAGAGAATAAAGTGCCCCGCCACAGCATGATACGCCCGTCAAATATATTGTTCAATAATCATAAATTGGTTAAGGTGCAAGAAAATCTGATAACCTTGATTAACAGATTGACACAGATTTCAATGATCTGATTTCCATTTCTTATCATGTTTAAAATATTGTACATACATCTCTAAGAGACTTACAGTGTAGGGATTAATTATAACAAATAATACATCATATAATTCTAAACTGGCTGTGTTAGAACTTAACAAATATCCATCTGCAGCTTTAAATTGTTTATTGCATATTTTATGGAATAATGGAAATGCTACAGTCTAATAAAATAATCAAAAATAAATTATTCTTTAGACTATAAAATTCTAAGTGAGGCATGACTGCAATTTGTTGCAAATAAATAAAAATTGAAATGTAATTTTTTTTTTCAATGAACACATGTATAATTAGTTTTAATTATATTATTCAATACTAATTTGGTTTTAATCATACACTAAAACATCAATTTGTTTTAATTACATTACACCAATTGAAAGATCTTTATCTGGACTAAAGCCATTAAGAACTCTTAATTAACACAAGCAACTATGAGGCCATTTCTTTTTGCCCACCTCCCAAGAGATAAATTAAGATAACAGCTTCATGATCAGAGACTACCAGTTAGCTCCTGACAATAAACTCATTAATTTCTCTCTAATTTGACATGTGAATTTCTGCTATCAAAATTCTTCTTGACCAGTGCTTGATAATTATGCCCATGGGAAAAGCTGAATTCCTCTCAAAACATTAACATTTGTTACAGATTGCTGTTAAAGTATATGATGAAAAAATAAGTTTTTACTTAATCTAACATTTTTTATTAAGGATTTATAGTTTTAATTATATTATACAATATTAATTTAGTTTTTATCATACACTTTATTTTAAAGCATCAATTTGTTTTAATTACATTACACCAGTTGATAGATCTTTTTATGAACTAGCCATCAAGAACTCTTAATTAACACAAGCAACTATGAGGCCATTTCTTTTTGCCCAACTCCCAAGAGATTAAAGATAAAGGTAAGAGCTGCATTATCAGAGATCTGCTCTACCAGTTAGCTCCTGACAATAAACTCATTAATTGCTCTCTAATTTGACATGCAAATTTCTGCTATCAAAATTCTTCTTGACCAGTGCTTGATAATTATGCCCATGGGACAAACTGAATTCCTCTCAAAACATTAACATTTGTTACAGATTGCTGTAAAGTATTTGATGAAAAAATAAGTTTTTACTTGATTTAACATTTTTAAACAAGGATACAACTATATTCTTACATTTTTTAGGATTATGAAATTTAAAATTTTAAAGACTTCGTTTTAAAAAAAAAATTCACTTAAATTAAAGGTCACAGTGACCTTGAAATAGGCCGCGACACACCTTCTACCTAAGATGTATAATTTTGCCAAGTTTGAAAGCTCTAGGTCTAATAGTTTTCAAGTTATGAGCCGGACAGGATTTTTCCATATTTGGCCATAGCATCTTTATTAAAGGTCAGAGCGACCTACATTTTGTGCGCAACACACCGTCTACCCAAGAAGTATCAACTGTCAAAGTTTGATAATCCTAGGTCTAATAGTATTCAAGTTATGAGCCGGACACGAATGGACAGACGGACGGACATGAAGCCTATAACATAATACGTCCCGTCTTAAGACGGGCGTATAAAAATCAATAGATTTGGTTTATTAGGGAAAACTGCACTAAGTATTAAATCTACTTTAATTACCGTCTTCCTTGGAAGACGGTATTGTATAGTTGAAGTTTTTTACAGTCTTCGGACTATGCACTTCCTCTCTTTTGTGATTGGTAGAAAATGCATGATGAGAAAATTTTCAATTATTTCATTGGTTAAAATGCTGTTCAAGGCAAGGGAGATAACTTTCTGATGATCTAATTTTCGTACGACTTAACAATTTTGAAAGATTTTCAATCTTAAAAAAATTGACAAAACGAACAACAAAATCAGCAGTAATTAATTCCTAATAACATGATTTTTTGTATAGCAAAAAATAACAAGATCTCTTTAACTTCATTATAAATAAACTTTGATTTTTATTGCTTGCAGGCTTTACAATTTGTTATTATTCTTTTCCCCTTTCTTGTTTGAAGAAGGAAATGGAATCAGCCGAGGTTTGCCGAAAGCTCTCGGCGAGTCAAAGTTTACGGAGATGACCGAGCGACAACCGTGGTAGGGCTAATGCCAGTAAAAAGTTAATGTAGAAATACAAAATCAAGAAATTCAAAAGAATTATACGGCCTGATAGGTGTAGATCAGTTTACAGTTTAAGATTGTTGCTAAAGACGGGAAGCTTTTTAAAAAAGCTCTACTTGTTAATACTGATAATAATCTTTGAAGTTATCTAACAAACTTCTTTTCAATCCTGATTTTTTTTTTTTCAGAACATACATTTACTTTCACTTTAAATGATTTGAAAATCTTAAAAGGATCTTAGATATCAGTGTTTCTTCTCTAACATGTATTTCTGATCATGATGTAAATGTTTAAAACTGACCTCTTCCACAGAGAAATCATAGAAGACATTGAAGTATCCCCTGTTCTCCAGCTCATTAGGAATATGTCCAAACACTCTACAGTCTTTAATCTTATTCCTCCAGAAGGGTCTGGGGAATCTCAAAATGACCTGAAAAAAAAGAGCAGTGGTAATTTCAAGAAAATCAACCTATTTTCTTACATCTTAAAAATTTAGAATCCATCCAAAATAGCCTTAAAATATTATCTACTGTAAATCACTTTTTATTCGTGAGAACTTTCTTTTCGCATAATTACACAAGCCAATGAGCTCGGAAAAATTTTATTCTCGTGTATGATAGAATTCCTTATGATTATATAGAGGAATAACAATTTGTGAAAATTATGTCTCACCAATCAAGATTCAATGACAATCTCACCAAAATAAGATTTCACAAAAATTTCATCATCTACAGTACTTTACCTTTTCTATCTTCCCGACCCCTAATGACCTCATGGCCTTTGACTTCCACTCTGGCAGGATGGGGACAAACTCCACATCGTCATCTTGTAATACAGCCAGGGGAAGTGTCACCAACACCTGTCAGACAGAACATCAAGCTATTCAAGTAATGTATAGTTCAATAAAAGTCTTCATGATTAAATTTAAATAAATCAAACATGAATTATTTATGGAATGAAGGTATTATCATGAATTCTGGCTCAACAATCAAATATTGTATATAGATTAGAATGACCAAAAAAAACTTATCATATTATAACATGTTATTTTAAAATATGTTAGTTGTTATACTTCAACAGAAAGTAGGGGAAAAACAAAATTAACATGTAATCTGAGCAGTCAATTATGCACAGTAGGCAACTCTACAAACAGGAGTTATATACCTTGTCAGCTTTCCATTCCTTCCCCTGTTCTGAGATGACAGTTACTGTTTCCTCCCCATATTCTACTCTCTTCACCTGCGATTGATGCAAGAATATAGAGGAATCATAGTAATAAACATAAAAATCATAGAAGAAACATGTAAAAAAAGTATTTACACATGGTTAAGGCAACAGTGTCCCTGTATACAGTATTTTTGCAAAAATTCTCATTATATTTTATTGTAACCATGGAAATACAAGTATACAACCCACAAAGGTTTGATGAAGATTGAGGCTGAACAAAATGGAGTAAATTTTGATTATTCAGTTGCAATGCGGGCAAGAGAACATTAGCCCTTATTGTACATGTATAGTAATCGTCCTTTATTTCATACCTGTGTATTCAATTCTATGTGCAGCCCTTCTGACAGCTTAGATAACACTTGGGAGTAGCCCTCGGGTAACATGAGATTGTCCCCACAGAACTGGGGGTAGTCCTCGTTCTGGTCCCAGTGGATGGCAGACACGGCCTTCAGATTGGCTCCGCAGGCGTACTCCAGGTTACTGATGTGGAAATTCATCAGGGACTCCTCTTCCTTTAACACAATAATCAGAAACCATTGTAAGAGGAGGAGGCCATCATGAATTTGTTTTTGAATCAAAGAACTTATTTTAAAAGAACATGAAATAAAATGCTAAGTTTTTAAAGCTGTGATTTGCTTATTTGCCAAAAAGAGAAAATCAAAATTCTACCTATCAGACGGCTTCAAGTACCGGTAGTTAAGTGAAAAAAATTTCTAGGGAAAAAAAAGTGATTTAATAAATTTATTTGATTTTTAAAATTATAAAGATTTAATAATTATAAGGTTTTTTAGAGAAATCTTTGATGAAAGTAATAAATATGAGAAACTGCAGTCTGCAAATTACAAACTTTCCAATGATTCCAACCCTGACATCCCATACACAGCTGCTCATGCAAATATGAAAACCAAAAAATATAACTAAAAACAAAATTCATGCACAACCATCTCTCCATAAATTTAGCATGGAATAGGAGTTGTTAGGAAATACTGCTCATCATTTTGGTCTTGATATAAAGCACAGTATTTGCATTTGCAAGTCACGAAAGTATGTGACTAATCATTCAAAAGTGCACCATTAGCTCTTCCAATCAAACTAACGTTATCATCATGCAATATTTAGTTAAATATGATATCACAACTATCATGGAATTCAATTGTAGTTTTCAGAGCTAAATTTATATTTGTTTGCATGCACTGTTGCAAAAACTGTGTATTTGAAGTTTTTTTTTTAGAAATTGTTGATATAACATGTACTGGCAGGACTTGATTTTTTGAGATCGATAATAACAATAATGATTCAAGATACATCATAATAACTAGATTAAAAAATAAAACTTTTACATTTTTTTCAAAATATCCATGAAATGTTTCCAAAATGATGCATGTATTTCGAGAGAGGGGGAAGGACAAAGATTTAGGTCCTAACAATGAACATAGAAATCATCTTCTGGTGTTCATCCTGGAAAACAATTAAAATTGCCAAGTTAGATTCAATTCCTGAATAAATTCACTCTGTTTTTTTAAATGAATGACACAATGTATGTTTTCAAGAGAGAGCAGAATTAAAGGCCTCTCTTAGTCATATGACTATTATGTATTTCTCAAACTACATGTATGACCAACCAGGACTTAAAATCATCTAACAATCTTTTTTCAGAAGTAACATAGCTAACAATTCTTTCAAAATTAATGACCAGACTAGGGTTGATTAAACATTTTTCTGCCAGTGGCCTTGACCTTGCCAAAATAACTAAGGTCAAGATCATGACCCTTTTTGTGTCAAGTATGAATTTTCAGTATTTCTCAGTTATATCTTGGAAATGACTCCACAGAGAGACTCACACATGGATTGAAAGTCTAATTTATGATTTCTATATACCACCCAAGCTTTGTTTGAGAGCAGTCAATGCATACATGTACATGTAAATGAAAGTAAGGGTAGAACATGGATATGGCCAGTCCAAATGAAAATGTAGGATACATAAGCTTTAACATTTATTAAACATTACTGAGAGAGAACAGCCCTAATTGTATCATCCTTGCAAATCTGGTTCTTGGAGCATTCACAGTGGCCTATGATTAGATTTATGCTGGGATGGACAGATATTTTTTTGACATTGGGTATACGGGTATACATGAAGTGTAAGCACTCCTCTTGGACAAGTATGTTCAAAATTAGGGGTTTTTTTAATCAAGAATCAATTGAAAATCAAAGATGACTTTTGAGTGAAATATGCAGATAGCTACATGATGAGTGCCATGCGGTATTAGATGCAAGTAGTATATACATTTAATGAACCTTTACACAGTACTTACTGTGGTGAAGGAAAGCTGAGATTCATCTAAAAACTGCTGATGCATTTCCTTTAGTTTGGCTGAAATTGACAACACCAGAACATAGGATAATATTCATTAAATTATGGCAATTTTAAATTTTTTAATATCATTTCATAACCTTATCTTTATAAACTACAATATTTGTGACATAATGTTCTGAAAACCAGAATTAAAAAGAGCTTAAAATAACTTCATAGCATTCAAAAGCTGAAATCAGTTTACCCAGTAAACTGGTATCCTGTGCTAGTTCCCTGCCCTTCCTCCACTCTGCTATGATGTCTAGAATGGCATTAAAATGGAAGTCCATCCTACTGTCTGTCTTCTGATCGACCAGTTCTCCCTTCTCACTGATTAACTCACACCGGTCTGACAGTCTCACTACGGGTATACCAGCCTGTTTATACCACAAACAAGTAAAACTTTGTAATAATACTTATTGTAAATAATCAAATATTTGCAATACCTTAATTTTGCAAGAAAAGTACATGTGTATTTAAAAAAAAATCATAATGTACACAAATTTTTCACAAAATCAGGTCATTATTGTATATAATCTTTACTAATAAAAATATAAACAAGATTGAAAATTTTGAAAGTACTTTGTCTTGTTAAATTAAGAGAAAATAAACTTCCCACAAATATAAGTGATTTATAGTTAATGGAATTGTAGTATTGTAGTTTAATTCATACCTCATCCTAAACAAAACTTATTAACTATAAAATTTACCTGTTCACAGATAATGGTTATTGGGTTATTGACAGCTCCATTCAGTATCTGAGCACCCTTCCCAACACATACACCTAATGATTGGTCATCACAGACACGCCCACCTATCTCTGACCTTGCCTCCAATACTGTTACCTAAAAATAAAGCAACATTAATCAAAGCCGCAGGTGATCACTGAATTATCATATTAATTGTAATATTTCAATGGAAGATATAAATTGACAGCACAGATCAAGTGACTGCTGATTTATGGATACATGTTTTTATATATTTTGAAAAGTTCAATTCCTGGCTCTCTTACCTTTACTCCCAGTTCATGAAGTCTTTTTGTTGCCGCTAAACCAGCTGTTCCTGCCCCGATCACTATCACAGATAAATTCTATAAATAAACACTATCACAGATAAATTCTATAAATAAACACTATCACAGATAAATTCTATAAATAAACACTATCACGGATAAATTCTATAAACACTATCACGGATAAATTCTATAAATAAACACCATCACAGATAAATTCTATAAATAAACACTATCACAGATAAATTCTATAATTAACCACTATCACAGAAAAATTCTATAAATAAACACTATCACAGATAAATTCTATAATTAAACACTATCACAGATAAATTCTATAGATAAACACAAAAGACATGTACTTCGTAATACTGTAAATAAATCAAAACAAGATGTGTTTGTGAAACACTATGCGCCCGACGACAACAAAGTTCAAAAAAAAATTTCAGAAGATAAGTCAAGGTCACAAGGTCATTGATAATTATAATGCACACCAAATATGAAGTCTCTATCTGTGATGGTTCAAAAGTTATGGAGAAAGTTTGTTAAATCTATTTTTAGCATAAAGGTCACAGTCAAGGTCACAAGGTCATTGACCTTGGTGTCATTTGAAAGAGCGTCACTGGTGGAGTATGCATATCAAATATGAAGTCTCTATCTCTCATGGTGAAAATTCGAAAAAGCTATTTTTAGCAAATAGGTCAGTCAAGGTCACAAGGTCATTGACCTTAGTGTCATTTGAAGATCTTCAGTAGTGGAGTATGCACACCAAATATGAAGTCTCTATCTGTCATGGTTCAAAAGTTATGGAGAAAGTTTGTTAAATCTATTTTTAGCATAAAGGTCACAGTCAAGGTCACAAGGTCATTGACCTTGGTGTCAATTGAAAGAGCGTCATTGGTGGAGTATGCATATCAAATATAAAATCTCTCATGGTTCAAAAGTTATTCGAAAAAGCTATTTTTAGCAAATAGGTCATAGTCAAGGTCACAAGGTCATTGACCTTGGTGTCAATCGAAAGAACTTTATTGTGGAGTATGCATACCAAATATGAAGTCTCTATCTTTCATGGTTCAAAAATTATGGCGAAGGTTAAAGTTGACAACAGACAGGCAGACAAACAGACAGGACAAAAACAACATAATCGGGTGATAATATTGTTCATTAACAACATACCAAGGTGCATGCAATTTGTTTTGTGCAATCTTTTTAAAATTAAATTCCAAGATTATCTTTTAAGAATTTTTTTAAAAGGATTATTTCTAGAAAATTTATTTCCCATATAACATTATGGGCGACCAAAAACAAATAATGACATTACCCACCACTTAAGACATGGCAGACTTACAGGTTTGATGAATTTGTTGGATATATACGTAGCCTGAGGAGACTTGGGTATACTGAGTAGCCCCACATTGATCAGGCCCCGCTTCGTGAGGAACCACAGGATTTTGTCCAGACTCTCTACATACATCACCCTCCCCAAACCCCGACAGATGATCTGGGTGGCACACCTCTCTTTCGTTAACCATTCCTGTCGTGAGGAGAAAAATCAATTCATTAGAATTACTATTAAAAGAATAATATACATGTATAATGAACATAATACTAGGAAATCAAAAATTTTAGTTCAATTTTCTTTTTTTTTTTTTTTCAAGGTATGACAAGGCCTACAAATCTATGTCCACTAAGAAATGTACATGTTTTTTTTACATAACTAACTACACAATTACCGTATTCTTCATCAATGACATTAATTCCCCATGAATCCATATTTTTTTTTTCAAATCATGAAATCTGCCCCCCCCATGAAAATGTGTGATTTTATACAGTACTCAAAATACCTCACCTTAAAATTTAAGTTCCACAGAGTTAGACAAATATTTCTAATGGCTAGATACATGGAAGGTATGGCTGAATATTCGGGGAATTCGTCCATTTCCAGCTCCTCCATGACATCAGGCACCACACCACTGGCTATCTCCGGACTGTCCACTTCGACAAACGGCCGCAGGTACTTGTTCATCACTGAAACAGAAAGGAATGCGTAAAAATGCAAAAATGCAAGGTCACTGACTCATTGTACAAATATTGTTTAAAAGTACTTTGTTTTGTTATAAAAATTTTGTTTTTAATTCAATCATTGTTAACTGCACAAGTAAATGTGTAAACTGTACAGAATCTGTATTTTATTGTTAATCCATGTCAACTCAAACCATATGGTATAATCTAAAAAAAAATTCAATGAATGTAAATTAAAGCATATCTATGATTCGCTCTTTTCTTTACTTCATTTCAAATTATTTCCTTCCATACCAATGAATTACTGCACAGAAAGAAATCCCCATGGCACAATAATATGCAAGAATTAGATATATATGATTTGAATTTATTTTATTCTATAAAATCTCCTGACATGGATTTACCTGGTGTTTTTCTTTCTTTGAAGACTTCATGGTCTGATGGACTCATGCCTAATTTGTCTGGAAAGTAAGAGGTAAGGTGGGGCCAGGCAGGGGAATTCTTCATGTAAGACAGACTACTCAATAGGGGGGTCCATGAGGGATCTCGTGTCAAGCTTACTCTCTGAAAGGGTGAAATATAATGATGTATGTACATGAAGAATTACATATACACTTGTACATCAAATTTGCTGGAAACTGTGCCAATTGCTTAGCAGTTTAATATTATAAAGCAAAATGCTTGGCCTAGATTAGCTAAAGCTATACCATAACAAAGTACGCAGCTAGGATAAGGCTACCCATAAAAATATCAAACTGTTCAAGTTGTAGTAACTTCTCTGAACTACCTAGATATGACGTCATAATAGTATGACATCAAAGTACTTGAGCCGGGGAAAGTGTCATAATTTTTAAATAGCATGTAGATTTATTGTAGGATTTCAAATGTGCTGTTATGTTGAACATTTGAAATTTAAATACAGATATGCACATATTCAAACAATAACCAAAAACTATGTGTGAAATGCTACCCTTATACGTCCGTAGACAGACTTAGAATTTAAGAATCTTGTTTATATTGGACTGGCACAAGTGATAAACAAGGGCTTCTGTGAGAACAAGAGAAGTATGTTCTAACTGAATTTTGCTTGTGTGGTTTATCCATTTTTGTATAAATCGCGATATGGAAAAAAAGTTGAAGTAAAATATTTGTTTAACGAGTAAAAATTAAACCTGCCCCCAGCACTTTCTGTGTCCCAGAGATCACAATGAGTTGATCTATGTAACAAACTTTGAACAATATTTTTGTTTTGCACTTGTGCCGAAGCGATTTTTGTGCAACAATTAGGAATATAATAAATCTACGTCACGTGATCAACACAGTCATGTGACATCTCAAAAATGCTTGAAAATAAAACCTAATTAAACTATTATCTCAAGTTGACTGCAATTTCAAGCAAGGATTACAAATCAAAATTAAAATCTAGCTCAAAATAAAATGTATATTTTTTAGGCATTTTAAGCCTTCGGACAGCCTTATCATAACTGTGTAAGCAGTGAACATTGTATTTCATAAACACAGGGCAAACAAACATACCTGATCCTCAGGAACTTCACAAGGATTTTCCAGTTTGGATTTCTAGGATATAAAAAACAAGATATTTACGATATATTAACCCAATAAAATGAACTACAGTGGTACATGTTAAATGATTCTTTTGCTTTGTTAATTTTTTTTTGAATTAAATCTATTGATAATTGATATATTTCAGCTAATCAGTCATTCTCTGCAAAATTATGAAAAGATTTAAAAAATATCCAAAGAAACACCAACTTTGCCCGAGGCCATAGTCCCACAGACATAATTTTTGAAGAATTCTGGGATAGGCGTAGAGCTTTTGGACCACTGCCTCCACTTGTGGCAATCTGTACACTGGACCCAGAATGGCAGAATACTGTTGGTCATGAACATCCTGATGCTAGCGTCCGTTGTCCCGTGTGTGCTCCAAGACTTCTTCCAGGCTAGGTACACCTCGTAACCATCCTTGTGGCTAAAATGGTTTGTTAAAAATATTAACAAGATTTGCACGTTGTAAAACTAAAAGATATTTACTAGATGTTCAACTTTAAATTCAAATAACGTAACTGTAATACATGATTGTACAGATATATTGTAAAAGTGGTTATATTAAAGGGTTGAAAATTTTTAGTAATTTTGGAAACATTTGATGATCTATAGTAATGATATGCACAAATGTGAAAGTTGACGAGAAAACTTTTACAACAAATTTAAATCACTCAAAGTTTCCACTTTTACAGTGCTTGTACAATGTACAAGCTATATTTTTTAATTTTGTGTTGATATGCACAAAATTGAGAGATAACAAATTTAAATCCCTTTACAACTCTGCATATGCATAAACAGTATGTTGATGCAATACCCACCATCTATAGTAATGATCAAAACATTCATTGCAGTAGTGCTCAGCGGCACTCGTGTGATACCAGCGTGATGTGTAGCCACTCCCAGCACATCTGTGTAGAGAAATTCAATCATCTGTTTTAAATGCAACTTGATTCATGAAATATATTTTCTAGAGATGAGAAATTTATCACTCAAAGAGAATAAATAAACTGAACTGCATGGACATATAAAATTTTGAATATTAACACAAGACACATGGTTTGCATTATGCAAAAAATGCTGCATATCAACTTATAAAATTAAATATTTCTGGATCTAAAATTTGGACCAAAATTGTCGTCTCATGTACACAGAAATTACCCACCTCTCTGTAGCACCCACAAAACAAATAGGGACTTTGGTGGGGCAGCCACTGTGAGGACAACGTCGGATGTTTTTATATGACGGATCCGATGCAGGTTCAGTGTTATCTAGTGTTTTTCTTTTCACATTTCTACGACCACTGCAAAATATTTTTAATAAAGTATGTGTACAATAAACAATATAGGAACAAAAAAAACCCAAACATTGTTAAGAAAGAGGTATTCAACACTGTGTTTGCTTTATCATTCAAGATCATGTTATAAAATGACAACACTTGAAGGATTCTTCGATTTCTGATTAACGATTCTAACATGCATAAAAGGCAAACATTAAGTATATAAAGAAAGACATACCTGGAGGAGACTCCAGTAGACATGACTGACACTGACTCAGCAAAAATATATCAGCTCACATTATAACCTGTAAAATATAAATTATATCTTCCAGTTTTAGTAACATGCTGTACCTTACTCAAGAGATTTTCTCTGTTGTAGTGTTTTGTGCTATACGGAGTTACATTGTATGGACCCTGGATATCAGTGCAGATAGTTCAGTGGTTAGAGCGCCTGACAGTTTGTCCGAAAAAACTTACGTTTTCCTGGCTTTTTTTACGATTTTGATATTTTACATGCCAGGAAAACGTCAGATTTTTCGGACTACTGACAGTGACTAGTGATGCTAGACCCAGGGTTTGATTCCTGGTCCAGCCACAATTTTCTTCTTTGACCTGTTGCATTTGGTGCCATTGACCGCAAAAGGCCTTGCAGGTAATTGTCCAGTCAAGGGCTAAAGAATTCTTTTTCTGTGTCTTGGAGGGTAACACTATCTAAGGAGGGAGGATGGTGGTTTTGGCTACATATGGATTCTGGGTATTTGCCTGGGTGGCTTAATGTTCTAGGCGCATGACTGGAAAACTAACAATTTGAACATCATTCAACCTTTTCTGTCAAGTTGAGAAAAAAACTAGTTGTTTTTTCCTCAACTTAACGGAAAAGTCCAAGTGATGTTCCGATTGGTAAACTAAGAATCCCAGCTTTGATTCACTGTTCAGTCGTAACTTATGCTTTCCTGCTACAATTTTTGTTTATTATCATTCTTTTCATATGAAAGTGTACAGTACATATTCTGACTTACAGCCATACAGGCCCTGGGGATTTATATTAATTTTAATGTCAGATGAAAATGGTTATATGAACGTCTAAATCTATATTGAATGACTTGTAATAAGTTGTAAACATAGAAAATTAATTAAAACATACCAAACATATAAAAGCATTATCTAAAAAATAAATTAAAGGAAATTCAAACTTAGAAATACAACTGTTATTCTTCCTATAAATAAGCGGAAAATAGAGCACTATATTCATTAAAGTATTAAACGACAATGCAAACCAAACGATAAGATAAGATAAAGTAAAAGAACCATATAATTACGTATTTTGAAGGTGGTCACGGTGTTCCTTCGTCGCCTCGCGGGAAATATGAAATAAACAATCAACATCCGGTTTGTATAATAAACGGAGGAGATACTGTTGGCAGAATTAATTCCGGCGAATTCATTCTTCACATATTCAGGACATTTTTCTAATTTTCAGGACTAATTTTTTTTGGTGAATAAAAGATATAAGCGTGTCTTAATAAATATTTACAAACTAAAGAAATTAGACTTCCTTTTCAATCCTGATTAATATTAAAAATAAGCCCATTGGCTACAACACTCACCTGACTCTGCATCAGATTTTCCCCAATAGACATCGCATGCAGGCACTTGTTTCAGTACTGATTTTTGTTAACACATAATATAATAAATGTTTTTATCACAATAAAAAAATAATCACAGAAACTATTGTCTGTGATATACATGTAATTCCAGTTTTGCATGTGTAAAATTTTGGTGCCCAACCATGTTCAGTAGCTGAAATTTAAAAATATAACTACCATACAATATAAAGTACACTACATCCCACCGCTTCCACCGAAGATTTCACTATATGTAAAACTTTGATTCTCTACTATGGCCCCTGTTACAACACAATTTGAAAAAAAAAAAATTCAAAGTGCGTTAAATTTGGGACCAAGTTAACGCACTTTGAGAAAATAATTTTTATTTTCAAAGTGCGTTAATATAGCCTATCATATTAACATGTACTTTGAAAAAATGTGCAAATTTTATAAAGAATTTATATTTTTGCAAATTTTATTTGAATATGTTATTACTTTGGCTAAAAAATTTAATAACTTTTTGTTGCTTACGATCACGATATAGATCTGAAGATATAAGAAAATGCAACAAAATGGAGTCAAAGTTTGTATCCTGATTAAAAAATAAACCTCTATCACAACATAACGGTCTTTTTATAGTTAATTGATAAGTTTTTAGAAGTATATAAAATTTTCTAATTCCTGTGCAAGATAAAATGGCCCTTTTAAACTTTATACAAGTAAAGTAATTTAAATAGACATATGCATAACCTATTTAACAATGTATTTCACTTTAAGAATATAAAAAAAAAATATGCATTTCATATTCATATTTTTGATAAATTGCAACTTTATATATTAAATATATATATTACAGATTCACTTTGGCTAAATATTATGTATATCGTAATTTATGGCTAACAATCTTTTTAATGTTGAAAACCTCTAATTCTGAATAACTTCTCCCACCTCAATCTCCATACACCAACACTTAAACTTATATGTATAGAGCAGCCCGGTCCTCCGGGCTGCAATAAAGAAATTGGTTGAGGTTCCTTCTACCTGTCATTTCCTCTTTCTCGATGAGGATATAAATCAATTCATCTGGTTTTCGAAAGAAATATAAGGAAAAAATGCTGCATATCTATTATTAAAATCTAATTCTGAAAATTTTTATTTGAAGTATATTTTTTCATAGTGCGTTTAAGTGCCTCCATGGTAAAATATTGTTGATGTACACTTTTAACGCACTTTGAAAAATATTTACAAAGTGCGTTAATGTTGTCCTAAATTTGACGCACTTTGAAAAAAAATTTCAAAGTGTGTTGAAAATCTTTTCAAAGTGCGTTCCAGTAGATTCAAGAGGACCATGAGCTGAAAATTCAATGTAAATGTAAAACTTTGATTACTTATTGTGACATCACCCTTCCCACAAGAGCCAATAAGTCTTAAACAATTTAGAAGCTACACTACCTCAGATCAGGAAGCTTTCACACAAGTTTCAATTTTTTTGGCCCAGTGATTCTTGAGAAAATTCTTGAAGATGTTTCTTATATACTAGTATTTCAGTATAAAACTTAAAACCTCGATCGCAGCCTACCCTAACCCTGGGGATCATGATTTGAACAACTTAAAAATCCACAATATATCTCAGAAAGTTTCCACAAAAGTTTCAGCCCTGGGTCCTTACAGATTTTTGTCCTCATATATTTCAATATAAAAATCTAATTTCTCTACTGTGGCCCACCCTAACTCCAGCGGCAATAATCTGAACAATTTACAATCTTCACTGCCTCATAAGTTTCCACGTACACGTAAGTTTCAGCTCTTTTGGGTCCAATGGTTCTTGAGAAGAAAAAAGATTTTGAAAGTTTTCTTATGTATTTCAGTATAAGACTTTGATTGCATATTGTGTCCGCATCCTTACCTCGGGGACCATGATTTGAACAATTTTGAAACTACACAACCGCATGAATTTTTTATATAAGTTTCAGCTTTTCTGATCCAGTGGTTCTTTGGCGACGTTTTTCAGGCGTTTTTCACCATTTTCATATTTAACGTACTAAATATCAAAATCGTACAAAACGTATGAAAAACACGTTTTTCAATATTTTGATTATCACAAATGGCACGTGAAATATTAAAATCGAGTGGAAAACTTCGGCTTACGTTTTGACGAGATCATTTATCATGTTGAAAATTTGAATTTACTGGATGAAGGCGAAATTTACAATTCGTTTTCATCTACCCCACTTTGTAAATTCAAAACTTACAACATGATATTATCCCTTCTGACTTTTTAAAATAATATGTTGATGGTGCGACCGTTATGGTGAGCGCAGATATTTATTTTGTTATAGTTTAGATCGGGCTCGTCAAACTGCACGCGATATTTGGTGCGTCTAGACTCTGACGTCACATGACGTCGTATGTAAGTTATGCCCTGTTCACACGGAGAGTTTAATTCGCAGTAAATTAATGCGAAGTAAACTAATGCGAATTAAAATAATGCGAATTAAATTGCGTTCACACGACAGCTAATTCGAAGTAAACTAATGCGAATTAAAGTTTTACTTCTGCAGCCCGGCGTCAGCACGGCTATTATGACGTCATTTGCAGATCACGTCACTTTATGCAGAAGCAGATCCATTTGACATAATGGCAAAGTTTCTGTATGCACATTTTGATGATTAACAAAATTTTCCTTAGTTTTTCACTCAAAAATAGCACAAGTACCTATAGCTGACCACCGACAAGTGGCATTTCTAAATTTTGCCATTACGCATGCGTCAGAAATTTAAATAAATTAAGTTGTTTAGCGTTCACATGGAGCTAATGTTAAAGTAATTTAATGACATAAACTAATTCGAATTAAACTAATTCGCATGTAAATTTAGAGTGAATTTAGCTAATTCGCAGTAAACTTACGTTTAATTCGAATTAAACTCTCCGTGTGAACAGGGCATTACATATCCAAAAAGAAGCCTGAACAGTGCTGAAAGTAAATGAAGAAAGTTTCGTTTACTATTTATCTTCAATATTTATCCATTAAATCAAGACATGTTTACTTTTAGTTGAAATTTTTCCTGCTATTCTCGCGAGAACGTATCTTTAACAAGTGATGCATTGTGGGTCCAAATTACTGCATCAAAAAATTCTATCGAATGAATATGCAGTAGTCCGAATTTTCTCTTCGCACAGGCGTTGCTTTAAGAGCTCGCAGTGACTAGCGTGGCTTCGCGACGCTCGCTGCGCTCGCTATAATTTATGTAAATTCTGGAATAATAATATCACTCCCATTGAAAACGTAAGTAAGAGATATTATTATTATTATTATTTTTATTAAATCTGTAAATCAGAGGATTGAAAAAGTACATTTTTGATCATTTATTTCTAAACTTTTAAATAATAAGTTACGCCCAAACCGGTGCGCTTACAATAAATAACACTTATTCCTTCTGTAAACTCTTTGGTAGCATCTTCGTCGTGGATAACAGTTATCTCCATAATCAAGTCAAGTTGACGAGGGAAATAGGTTGTAATTACCACAAAGCAATTTACACCTTACCCAAAGGACGGAGGACATATTATGACTTCCTACCGGAAAGTGTTTGGCACATTGCCGTCAACAAGATTAACGAAATTAAACATGCCCACTGCCAGACGTTTCCTGGAGAAAATCCACCGGGTCAGCCAATTTTAAAGCAATATGCCACAGATATAAATGCTGGTCACCTTTTTGGTAAGTATATTTCGCACCTGCATGTCCGATTTACCAAAATCAACGAATTGCATTGATGTGAAGAAACTTTTCAGAATGAAATTTACCATTAATTACTGTATTAGATTTTAAATTCTTTGATGTTAGTCATATGTCAAAAATGTCGTAAGTCCATCAACAATAAAAATGCAACAGTTCGTAAGCAGTAGTCACATGGGATTGTACATTATCATCGGACCCAAACCTATGTTCTTCAAAAGAATACGAAGAGAAATGACATTGTACATATAGCATGAACGGATCCAGATTTTTAAAATTAAGATGGGTACCCCACCCACATATTTGTTTTAAAATAGCAAATAAATTTATTTTAAAAAATTCTACGAACAAATATCCTCAATGTTACAGATACCTGTACTTAAAATCTGAAGAAAGAGTTATAGCTCATGCAAAATTCAACTGTTCTACAAATATAATTATTACTACTTTTAACTTCAATACGTATTTTTTCATTATATTTGGAAAGAAATATACAAAATCATATATTGAATAAGAAATTGCCAATTTTAATAGAGGTCATCTTCTCAGTAGGGGGTTCCATGTTTAATCTTTGTCAAGTTATAAATGTTCTAAAGATTTTGAGCAATATTCTTTAAGTGTTTAGCAATTCTACCCTTGACCTTGTGACTTCAAATTCAGTAAGGGTCATTTACTTTATGAGTTATACCTGTGTTAAAAGTTTGATGTAAAATAAAGGATTCTCGAGATATCTTTCTATACGCAGACTAGTTTGATTCTTGACCTTTAAAGTTTTATCTGGTGAATTGATTTTAGGGACCATCTACCCTTCACGAGGAAACATGCTTTTCAAGATATATTTATCGCACGACATATGGTATGACCATCTGACATATCGACAGGTGCCAAGCAATATGCCGCCTTTTTTGAGGGTGCATGGTTGGGTGTAATATTAGATCCCTATATCCTCTTTCCCCAGTTCCAACGGTCCTAGTTCCCGATTTACATTTACGTTTTACGGTCGACACTGGCTGATTTAGAGGGGGCGGGCCCCCTTTAATGAAAAAAAAAAAAAAAAAAAAAAAAAACACAAGATTTGATAAATCAAGGTTTTTTTGGTGTGTCTGTGGACCCCTGCCCTGACCCAAAACTGCCCCCCTTTAAGATTTCTGGATCCGCCACTGATCGATATACATGTATTTCGTCCTTTTTGTCAGATTTTATTTTTATCAAATGAACTCTGGAATATGAACACAAGTATTATTTTGTTTGAGATGATGTCTAAAATTTCGGGACGTCTTAGGTTAAATTTCCCCGTTGATCCATTTACGAGTTATTTAATTCTAAAATTCATCTTATAATCACTGTTGTTTGTCTTTTCATTAGATTAATGAGAGCAAATTAATAAGCAAGGATTGAAAGAAGGCTCTGTATTTAACCATTCTTAATTATAAAATAAGACCATCGGGACATTGCTGCGATTACACGTACTCACTTTAAAAATCAGAAATGTAGTATCCATCAATTCACTATTTATCTGTTTCGGGTAAAGGTTATTTATTTCTTTAATCTTTACCAAATGCGTCGAAAAACCAAAAAATGTAAACATTTATGCGAAAACAAAATTTAGGATTATCTCTCCCAGACCGCAAATTCCAAGGAAGGCAAAGCTGAACATTAAACATTTCTAGAAAAGGGGAAGCGGATGACGGTCTGACAGGGTTACCCCAGATTTGGGTATATTTTTTCTTATATTTTCTCTTTTTTATCCATTCTTAACTGGTACGAAAAATACAGGACCTGAAAATAGTCTAAAATTAATGAGTAAAAATAATTTTATTAACAACTATTTTATAAACGAAGCATGATACCCAAGCATGCTCAACATAGTTGGGCAAAAATACTAAGTACATTATGTATGAATATATGTTATATGTATAAGAAAATAATATTTATTGAATGTAATTTCCGGAAATGACATACATGTACAATTTATTAACATTCTCATCAAAAAATTAAAGCCCAATATTTACAATATAATACATGTATCGCATACTCTGCTTACATTCAAATATTTTAAGGTTCCTTAAGAAAACTTAAGAAATATCACAAGGATTTACCAAATCGCATAAAACGTTTGTCCGTTTGGTCATATCCCATTAATCTACTTTCATCGTCTCCACTTTTTCCAAATCGCATAAATCGTTTCTCTTCGTCTCCACTTTTGCCGAATCGCATGAATCGTTTCTCTTCGTCTCCACTTTTTCCGAATCGCATAAATCGTTTTTCTTCGTCTCCGCTTTTGCCGAATCGCATGAATCGTTTCTCTTCGTCTCCACTTTTTCCGAATCGCATAAATCGTTTTTCTTCGTCTCCGCTTTTGCCGAATCGCATGAATCGTTTCTCTTCGTCTCCACTTTTTCCGAATCGCATAAATCGTTTTTCTTCGTCTCCACTTTTTCCGAATCGCATGAAACGTTTCTCATCGTCAAATTTATTTCTACCAAATCGCATGAATCTCTTTTCATCGTCCTGTATTTCGTCATCTACACTTTTTCCAAATCTCATAAATCTTTTTTCTTCCTCCCCACTTTTGCCAAATCTCATGAATCGCTTTTCCTCGTCTCCACTTTTGCCAAATCTCATGAATCTTTTTTCTTCGTCCCCACTCTTTCCGAATCTCATGAATCTCTTTTCTTCGTCTCCACTTTTGCCAAATCGCATGAATCTTTTCTCATCATCTTCTCTTTTGCCGAATCGCATGAATCTCTTTTCATCTTCTCCGCTTCTTCCAAATCGCATGAATCGCTTATCGTCTCCGCTCCGTCCGTTGCGAACAAATCTTTCCATCAGTGTGTCATCTTTAGGATCACGCCCAAAACGCATAAACCGCTTATCGTCTGTAACCATATCGCCGTCTTCTCTTTTTCCAAATCGCATAAACCTTTTTTCATTTCCATCTTTACCGAAACGCATGAATTTTTTCTCAAAACCAGGATTTCTTCCAAAACGCATGAATCTTTTCATATAGATGCTGTCTTGATTAGAGTCAGCAGAAGGAGTTCTTCCAAATCTCATAAATCGCTTGTCTTGGGAAACTTCACCGGCTTCGCGTTTATGTTTTTCGGACTCTTCTTTTTCTGTGGAGTTGTCGTTATCCTTTGGTTCTGGTACATCTTTGATTAGAGGTGGATCGGCTGATCTTCTTTTTCTTATTTGAAAACCTGTTTCCTGTTTGAATTGAAGGACTTTATTTAGAGCCGCTCGTAAATCGTTTTCTACACTGGATTCCTGACTCCTTTTGCCGAATCTGAGGAATCTCTTATCGTCACTGTTACGACCAAATCTGATGTAGTGGTCGCCACTCAAAGCTCTCTTTCCAAATCTGAGAAATCTCTTTTCGGGGGCTCTTGGTTCACCTGCAAAATATGCATGTAGTATGGATAAAAAATGCAGATTTGTAATATTCTCTGTGGGGAAAAGTTTTTATAGAAAAAGTACTCATAATGAGATACAATTTTTCTGGTATCTCGCTCATATAGATACAGTGAATCTTGAACCAGACATGTTTAAAACGTTTTAAATCAGGAATTTAAACAAAAATATGATTAAAAGAGTTTTACATTCAGTTAATTAAAAGTCATTTAAATATTTATGTTTATTTGATCTTATTTATGATCACAGTTAGAATTCTCAATTAAGAACCACAATAAATTTCTCTTAAGGGACAATCCAAATATTTTCATTGTTTCTTTTCATTGCAAAGGAAATAAATCTGGACGACCATTCACTAAGTTTGATTTATTCAGCGCAGCAGGATATCCAATGACAACAGTCCATATTGCTGCAGTAGAGTGATGCAGGCAATCACTGGTATAAATTACACAGAAATTTCTGTTTGACAAGATCGGAAGGCAAGACAGATCCTAAAACGGTGAGAGAGAGAGAGAGAGAGTCAAACAAAGAAAAGGACCTCTTTGAGGGAATAGCCAGCACATAAAAGAATCTTTCATAATTTAGCGAGAAATACTTATTTGCGCATGTCAAAAATTTATCCTTGAAAGTTAAGCTGCTTTGACAGGTGGTAGTGAAAATCTTGAGATTAATTCTTGATTATTTTATACGATGAACTCAAAAATATGTAAAGTACTGTGTATAGAGTTCATGGATTTTCTAGCATTAAAAACAGCATATCATACACATTCTATTTTCTTCATGATTTGGAAAAGAATTCAATTGCAAAAGCCTTCTAATGCACATATAGACCCAAAAAATCGTATCGATAATCTCTTGGTAACAACGTAAATGGCCTAAGAGAGATAAATTGATCATTTCATACAGTATGCTTGACTAGTATGGGACGACCTTACAAGAAATTGTACGTAACAAGATCAAGAGAGAATTTATGATGGCAGGACGGCTCTTTAAATCAGACCCCTATCTTGTTATTTAGTTTATCGATGTTTGCCCTATATAGTAATCTCAGAAAAGAAAAACTTTTAAAGAAGTGCAGAGGGAATTGATAATGGAAGCCGGTAGCACCCAGCAATTCATCTTTGATGATGTCATTCTGCTACGCCTCCTCTCAGTGACGTAATTTGAAAGCAGTTGAAAAGCAACAGCGCATGATAGGTAAACAAGAAATTGCAAAATGTTCCAAAACAAGTCTACGTAGAGCCTATATGAGTATATACAGTAATGAATCATTGGCCAAGGCAATCAATATCATTTTGACTTTGAAATAAAGCACAGGAGTTAATTGAATCCCAAAGACGAGGTTATCCATCGAGTTCCCCAAATGAACAGCAATAGATCATCTTTGTTATTCCGTCTCTATTACACAGTCATTATCGTATTAATATGAAGTCCCCCCAGATCACGTGGCCTTCTTCTTTGGGACGCCGGACTGACCATTATTTGATTGTGGTTCAACGATCTTGACGAACAAATGAACAAATGGGGGCAGACGATCTCTTTTTCAGGGAAGAGATGATGAAAAAAATGTCTAATAGTGAGAGGAGCACCAGTTTTCATCTGATTGATGTAAAAAGCTGTTGATTTTGCAATCTACACAATGTTCCTGCCAATTTATGCTTATTTTTTCTGTATCAAATCGATTTCATATTGTATCACTAAGAGCCCCTTTCGTCATTTTGAGTAAAAATTACCTGGCCCCAAGACTATAAGCTGAGAAAAAACTTGAGATTTTAAATTGAAAAAAAAAACAACTATTGAAATTATTTTGAAAATGAAACAAATTTTCATAATGTTTTCGTATTTGAATATAATAATAAAATTGAAAGAACTATTGAAATGATTTTGAAAATTAAAAAAAATTCATAATGCTTTCGTATTTCAATATTATGTAATATATAGAGAATAATACATACCCTTTTGATATTATGTAATATAGCAGATGGTTTATGGGCTGATATTGACTCTGGCTGGTCAGGATGTGATGTGGAAAAGGGTATGCATTAATATGTTTATTACATACTTAGTAATAAAATACAGCATGCCTTAAGTTGAGAAGGAAAAAAGTAAATAATCATGCAAGGACTTAAATTCTTACATACATGTACATGGTCTATTGTCTCATATGATTTGGGTTTGTTTCTACTTCTATTTCAATGCACTCGATCCGTAATTTGAAAATAATCTATTACATGCATTTGTAAATTAAGATTAACCTTATTTTCAAAAATTTAAAATTAAGAGAATATGAACCCACCAAAAATTGTGTATGATCACAAGTACTGTTTTTGTGGTTTAATTTACTGAGGGTGTGATTTGACGTCACAATAACCGTATCAGCCCTGCAGGGCTGATACGTCTATTGTGACGTCAGCCATATTGCATATGCAAAGAATCTGTATTTATTACTAAGTTTGTAATAAAGCATGGTTTATGGTCTTAGACTCTGGCTGGCCTTTAGGACTATACAGCCCGCAAGGTCTATTCGAACTCTTTTGTTGTAATAAAAAGGGGATGACCGAATACTTTAATTAAAATGTCTTCATGCAATGAAGGAAAGAAGATATGAAACAACAAACTCTCGATCGCAAGACACAATGAACAAAAATGTACGGTATGGCAAAACGTACGTGAAATATCAACAAAATGTAAATAGTAGCCAAGAGACCAAATTATGAATAAAGAAACGTTTTTATTCTATTTTTAAAAACAACGAAGTGTTGGAAGCGGCTGATAAGAAGCAATACGTTTTATCCAGAAACACTGCGCACATCATCCAAGTATTTTGTTCGCGGGATGAAAACCGCCATATGAAACCCACTAGAAAGGAAGGAACAGAACTTTGTCACGCTATCGAAACCCACAGAGACATTCCGAGAAGGTGGAAACATGGTTAATTATATTTCTTACAAATTCTGGAGTAAATTAAGAGGGAACACTGACTAGCGTCATGCGGTTTACACCTTTAATAAAGATGTCACACAATTTCTATTGATCTCTTACGGTGGATGAACAGGAGAAAAATGGTTCATTCATAAGAGTAAACGAAGAAGAATGTCGGATCCATTTCCAATAACACTGAAAACGAAATAGAATGAAAAGAACATTATTGCAAAAGGGCATTATGTCCAGGAGGTTTAATACCCTGGATTGACGACGAATATACTTAAGTTAATCACATCATAAACGCCCTTGGACTCCATCGGAAAGGATGCTAATGTTAATAAAAATTCATGGATTACTACTAGCTAGTTCTTGATTTCAATGAAGTTTTGTACTTTCGAAAGATACAAAAATATTAGAATAATAATTTATTATTAAAACTTGAATCATTGTTGTTTTTAGAATTATTCTCATACTTCTCCCATGAACAATGTTGTACTCAGAATTGATAGCAAAATGAAATATCTCCAAAATCTTTGAATGAAAAATTACAGCACTAACGATGTGTAATATAAATTGATTTCTAAAGGATTTTCAAGTGATAATGAATTATATCTTTATTCAGGCATATTCTTTTCATAAAATTAACATTTTACAATTAAGATGCATCTTTTATGTAAAAAAGTTACTGTTGAATCTTCACACCCAAGAAGGAAAGTTAATTTAAATAAACCACTATCATATATTTTTATCTAAACTCTTTTGAATTGAGGCATGAAGAAAATCTTTTCTTCGTGATGCTGAACCCTCCCCCCCCCCCCCAAATAATAACATTTCCTTAGAATTATCTTTTATAAATTAAAAATTGGCTTAGGTTATTAAAGGTAATTCTTTTTTGCTGTAAGAAGGACAGTGTAGAACAAACAACTTTCCCCCTTTCCTATAATTCAAAAGCAATGAGAACACAGCATACTAGTATGAAAATTGATTGTGTCGTTTTTTAAAAGTCTTCGTGCTTATTAGAAGAATTATTTCTATGCGTATTTTGAGGTTATTATATCAAACATTTTCTTTATAAATTATTTTGTAAATCCAGGAGCAAAGGCAGTGCAACACGTAAGTGCCAATTTGTAGCGAACTACTTTCACTGATAATTTAGGAAATGAATATTGAATACTAGTAGATTAAATACTGTGTTTCTTTAGTTTTTTTTAAAAGGTGTTTGGACACAGTTTTGAAGGTAATATTTTCTAAAATTTTCTGCTTAATGTCAACCAAATTGCTACTTCTCTTAAATATTAAGGATAAAGTTAAAAATTGTGAAAGTGCAAGGATGTGTTAATCAAACGGGTCCCGGAATTCGTAGTTCCAATAATTTCCAGATAAAATGAGTTTTTGATTATATTTTCGTGTGAAATGATATTGCAGTGCATAAGTCGTGATATTATACAGAAAATCTGAGAAAATATTAAGTTCGAATCTATGTCTAAGCACATTTAAATACAAAAGATCAATTTTTAAATTAGAATTTTTTTCAGTTCATAATTCCACAATGTATTATGACAAATTTGGTTTTCAGGTACTAGTTATTCATTTGTGATTTCAGATAAATAAATATCAGGAACATTATGACATATTTATGTTACCATGAAATCTAAAAAGTTAAATTATGTGCAATTGTACATGTGACGTGACCGCAAACCGCGGATGTCTTTTGTAAAACCTGATAACGCATGCCTGAAATAACCGCGGAGGAAGACAATTTCTGAAAGCCATGATTACTGCGTTTGATGTTTAAGACAAAGCCTGAAATTATTTTCGCAAAATTGATTAAATAGGGTGTCTGCTATGCTAGGGAACTGGAGTAACTGTCAAAATACTGTTAAGTTTGAATTCCGAAACCCAGTATTACCCAAATTGTTTAGAAAATTGTGTGTTTCCTAACTTAAAATTTAAGGCGGAATAAATGCATTTATTTGAACAATCTCCGACTTTTTTTTAACATATTATTTCATATTATGTCATTTTTCTGATAATAATAGTCATCAAATTAAAATCCATAAAAATCAATTCTTTCCCGCTTATAGGAAGATGATTTTTTTGTCTTAAGCATCCAAAGGTTGAAAAGCTTCTTGAATTTAAAAGAGTACAAGGGAATGGACAAGTTAGAAGATGCGGAAAAGCATAAAATATTCCACTTTTGCAAGACATACATTAATTTACATAGGCTCATGATTCTTTGGAAAACTGGACAATTATTTTTAAAAGTTCTTTGATTAACATTTCCATAATATAAAATTGGGAGTTCGTGATAAGCCATTCTGGATACAAAATTTATACGTTTTTCAGTCGAGGTAACAGACCGAGATCCACGACTTGTTTCCTAGTATCGAACGTTAAATCTGACGGATTCATAATTTGAAAATAATTTGAGCAATATGTTTTTGAAAATAATTATTGAAGGCTTTTTTCCCCTTAGCGCATTTTTAACAGCGTTGTGTTTGTTTCTGCTGCATGTTTTTTTTTATTTGGAATAACAATGGAAAAATGTAGCAAGTACTATAGTAATTTTGTGTCTTTTTTGGAAATCATTTTTTTTTAATAAACCTGTAAACTCAAATTTTTCAACGCACTCTACTGACAAATGACAAAACTGAAACAAAATACTTAAAATCGGTTTGATGAAAACTGTCCAAACATAGCCTACATACTGATAGAAAAGCCTCAAAATTTAAAATTTCTAGAAGAATGATAATTTCACAGTATAAATCTACAGTATTTGTGTACTTTCTATAATAACATAGACTTCAAAATTGACCAATTCGTGTTTCTCATTTAGATCTTTACGTATTGACTACTATTGGTATGTTATATTGCTTAAGAAGTCTAACATGAATATAAAGCAAAATCTACTCTCTTGACAATAAATTGTACTCTAATAATGATTAATATTTCATTTTTATGTTCCTACCTAAGTATACATCTATGTCTTGATCACAGAGTTCTGGAAAATAGTCACAACCAGTTATTGCAGATGTTTCGGTTGTGAACCAGTTTAATAAGAAAGCGACCAGCAAACCCGCATATGACCACGTCCCCATGCCTTGCTGTTTTCTGAAATACAAAAGGGAAAAATTTAATGTGTATATGACAATAAAAAAAATCTTCGATCTGAGCTTTACAAAAACCAAATTTAACTGAAACCTGCATTTCGCTGTAACAATTAAATTACATGCTGGGCTTATTTTCAGTTATTATAGTTTGCCTTTTTATACTTCCTGTGAACGTTTCCGGTTATCGTGCGTTTCAACCCGAAAAGACGCGGGAATCGAACGCTCCTAGGTTATGACTTTTCGTTTTTTCCTCAGTCATAATTATGCGTTATTTCCATTAACTCAAAATATACTGTTATCCTAAATCTCATTACAAATATGGAAGACAAGTCAAACCTGACTGGAATTTTATTGAACTTGACACTTTTCCGATTAACATGAAAGACCGCCGGTTGCGCTGCTTGTTAGAGAACTAGTCATCTATGACAAAAGCGGTGATTGGTACTATAATACGATGTTAATTTCCATGATCATTATTTATCAAGAATTTTATACGGTGGCAATGTAGATAGCTGCACTCTATCTTCTATTATGGTCTATCCAAAATAAGGTTTGAGTCTTTTCCACTATAATTTGCAAGGATTCCCTCTTAAATTAAAATTAATTTAAAATATGTCAAACTGACATCTGATCTTTGTTCTATATAACATTCTGATTAAATATAAAGAGACAAATATCTAAGTTTATGATTAATTAATTTTATGTTTTCAATATGCCGTTTAGTTTATCAATAGACGAACGCTTCAAGACTACCAGAAAGTGACAGTGCAAATTAATATATAAACGTCAACACGGTCCCCAGAGGTCCAGTACAATTCAAATGACCAGCCTTTTGATTCGGATATTTGATATTCATATCATATTGAATTACGAAATAAGGTGAAATGGCGCGCCTAGGGCCCTTACAGATATGATGAACTTTAATAGAATTTAAGGTTCAAGGATTTTCATCATTTATTCTATTATTGACTTATTGAATGTACAGATAAGAGCAACAAATGGAAACCAAATTTATCCAATATTTAACGATTGACCATATGTAATTTATGTGAAACCGAGCGTTGTTGAAATTCGGTTTTCAAAACTAAAAAGTCTTTTACTTGAAACAATAACGACAGAACGAGTAGTACACTGTATCTATCACTATTTTTTTCCATTTAAAAATCCCTTTTTAACATCATTTCAAGTGCGTGCAAGTGGTCAAGTTATAAATTGTAATTTTACATTTACCACTAAAATGTTGACTATTTCCTAACATTGGGTCAAAGAAGCCCGTTTCTCGAACAAACGGACAATAAACTACATGCTTAGTATTCCTTTTCTTATTGAATTAAGCACAAGGAAGACTCACCAATTCCCTTTGAGATGCATTTGACCGCAGACTATCATATCAAAAGTTCAACATTTAAATATTTGATAATGAAGCAACATTATGTCGATGCTTCAAATTGGTAAATCTTTGGACTCCCACAAACCCTTGTGTTTTTTTTTTCTCTTGTGAATTTGAGCCAAATTAAACACAATCGAAATGTTTGATTTTCTCTGCCGGAAGTGAATAGTTCTATGGAGAGTCTATCTTGTTGCAGCAGATTTGAATCTTTCTGTCTTCTCTGATAATAACAATAAAGCTGATACAAGACAGGACCTGGTCCATAATCCAAAATTTCCTGCATTTGGTGTTATTTTATCTTCCCATGGGTGCAGTGTTGGGACGTTTTATTATAACCGATTTTATCATTTCTATTTTACAACTGTCTCGTCTGTCTCAAAATAATTACTTTATATATATTATTCATATAAACACAAAGTTTACAAGTCCATTTCTTTAATTACATTAAATTTCAAGAGATGTAAAAGTAATTTAATATTTGATTTGTAAATTAAATACGTTCTATATCAAGTAATGTTTATAAAAGTATATTTAATTTAAGAAGAAAAAATGGAAAAGAAAAAAAAGCAACACCGTGTCTTTGGTCTCTTGTCTTTTAAAAAAATAATATAGATAGAAAGCAAATTTTAATTAAAATTTAAAAATTCTTCAAAGCAATTCATATAAATAAATACTTTACAGCATGATGGATAAACAAATACCAAGTTACATTAAAAAGGCTTTAAGAGCTGTATATAATTGACTTACTGTGTGTTAGTTATTGCCCTAGTGCTGGTCTTCTAGACTTAGTCCCTTTCTCTTCAAAATACGATTGTTCGTAAATGACTCTATTGTGTTTAAATAAGATGTAATCACGTGATCGTTCCGCTGGACGCTTGGCAAAGACGGCGAAACCTCCTACAATATTTGTGGATCGATGGACGAAAATTTTGTTTATGTAAATATTCTGCAAGCAAAAGACAGTCCTAATCATTCTTAACAATTGACTAGTAAATATGATTTCATTAAGAAAAGGTCAATTGTAAATAGTAGTATGTGAATACTATATTCACTTATGCTTGTAGGATTCTGGAAATGAAGGCGAGTCTGAAATCAGAAAGAAATATGTTTGAGTTAATGAAGAGAATCTAAGAGACGACGAATGTATTCAAGTTTTGAAAGTTACACTTTGTTGAAAAAATTATTTTGAGGAGGAGCTTATTTATTAGCTGTAGAAATTGATCTCGTGAAGATTTGTTTGGATGTTTGTACAATAAGCAATGTTTGATGAAGAATTTTCATGTATGAAATTAAGATGGAAACTTTTAGAATAAAAATAATGATAATTTAAGAACTGAAGAATTTTCATGCATGAAATTAAGATGGCAACTTTTAGAATAAAAATAATGATAATTTAAGAACGTGATGATAAAAGTACTTTTATTTTTAATCATTCTTTATAATCTACTCCAAATCCAGATGGCAACAATCTTTTGTCATTATAAATGTCTGACAATGATAAAGTATTTTTAAAATACAATCATTTTGACCAAAACGTTTTTTATCGTCTTTTTTCAATCCATGCCTTTCTTTTCCAGTCACCCAAATTAGCTTAGTTTTTCTTTCTGTTAGACTTTCTTTGTTTGTAGTTTCGTTTAACCCCTCATATTTGACGTATTGTCTATCAATAACAAGACAAATCCTCATTACTGCAAAACGTCATGGCATAGTATCGACAGTTATATCAGGCATTGGGTAGAGCGGTTAGTCAGTACCATAAATAAGTTATTTTCAAGACGGGTTCTACATTGTTCTGTTAGTATAAAGTACATGTACTTCTGCCGCTCTTCACACTAGAATTTAAGCCCTGTGAAGGCCCTGTGAAATTAAAAATAACAACGACAAAATCAAGCAAACTATAATATAACCAACAATGAAATAAACCAAAATTTGGTTTCCAACCATGTGCGACCAATATCTACGGTTAGGATAACTAATTTTCACGTTTTCAATGATGAGGGCATTGGGTTTTTTGTTTCATTTGTTTCAAATAAATTTGATACCAATATTAATATGTTTTAAATAGTAAGCAATATTTGGCTTTAAATCTCATTTTTTTTTCCTTTTTTTTTTTACGAACGTTGATAATGCTTTCTTTCTTTTTGTAAAATTGTGCTCATGTGCACAGGGTCATTTGAAAAATATTAATTTTTTGCAACACGAAAGGTTATATTAAATTTACTTCATAAATTAAGGATGTATAATAAAAACCATCCATGATTAGTTTCTTTCACTTCTAATTTGAAATCTACTGTAACGTCTATGTGTCTTCAAAGGATACATTTAATTTTGTTTTTTTAGAATATGATTTGAAAAAAAAATCAACGCATATATGAAAAAAAAATACCTCAAATTAAGCGATCTTAAAAGAATGCAAACTGCATCTTTTTAATTTCATTTCATCTCATTTAAAGGGGGAGGGGGGGGGGGCTGGGGTTTCCATTGTGCAATACCCATGCAGTCTTAAACTTTATAAAAATATATTTAAAAAGAAGCACCATGGTGTGAAAATAAAAGAATGATTTAGGAAACCTTTCAACTGGCGTCATAATATCAAACATATTATGAATTTTAAGAAAATTACGTCACGTTCAACTGGCGTCATAATATCAAAAATATTATTATTTTTTTAAAGAAAATTACGTCACGTTGGGCCAAAATGAAAAAGAAAACCCCGACGTCAATTGTATTTTTAGAAAGTTGAAATCTCGAATAAAATGGGTTAAGAGACTTTTTAAAAATATATTTTAATTATTTGATAATCGGTGTTTTCTTTTTATTTGGAATTACCATACCTATACAAACTATTACCAACTTTCCTTATTTATGTAGCAATGTATATCATTATCACATATGGATTTTATGTCTCCCAGTTAATTCCACATGTAAGAGCCAGCTCTACATAAGAACATTTTTTTTAAACGAACAAGCTATTGACAAACAAGGTGATGACACCTGGAGATCAACAGTCTTGTTTCAAATCATCACTTGGCAAGTTCTATGTTTGATACATTGACATTGTCAACAAATACAATGTATCATTATGTGTAATGCTGACTGATGTTTTCCATACTAATTGTGAGGACTTAGGCCATGTTTTACACACTGAAATGTCTACGCTCTCCGTTTGCACGACCATGACAAGGAGCACTAGGTGAGTGTCACTAGTACCGGTCGACAGGGGATGCTTACTCCTCCATAGCATCTTTTTACCTTTGATGTTTTAAACTTTTTTGGAAATACCTGTTTGCTTTGCTCTTGGTTTGCATTGTTTATATGGACTTTTATTTTGAGCCTTTTTACTTTTCGTCATTTCCATAATTCATTTGTGAAAATGTTGAATATTTTAAATTCATTTTCATGTATAAGTCCTCTCAGGAAAAATGTTTCATCGTTCTTGCAAAGTTTTAATGCCCTTCTTTGTATACTGTACGTATTCTATAGGACAGAAATATGCATCAAAATAAGCTAAAACGTGTTTTAATAGAAATTTTGAAAGATATGCATAAATAAAAATATGAAAATAAAAGCATCAATCCTAATCAGGGATTTAAATTTGTTTTATGGCTATGTACCAACAAGCCTTAGGCTATGTGTTATTTAATCCAGTGTAAAAATATAAGACTAGTCTAATTCTGGACTAGACAAGCCAAGCCTTATCCCTAATATAATATAATCAGTTATATATATGTTTCGGAGGTCCGTGTTTGCTCTGCTCGTGTTTTGTATCGTTTTATGATCTTTTGATCTTGAATACTGTACGGTTATCTCCATATGTTTCATGTTTTATTTTCAGAAAATAAGAAGATATTTAATATCTATCTAACATTTTTTAAAACCAGACTCTTCTTATCAAAGAATACAGAGTATACTTACAAAATGTATTTGTTTCATCATTATGTTAATCTGTATGGTATTTTTTGTTTATCTCTTTATGTCAGGGGCGTAGCACTTTTTTTCCCAACCTTACTTATACTATAGGAATTGTTAATTGAAAGTCTGGTTGCCCCCCCCCCCCCCACTTTTAGTGATGTACCGAAAATGTTGTATTAAATGGGTACCGAAAGCAGTTGACACTGAGAAAAAGTTTACCCCCCCCCCCCCCCCCCCCCCGAAAAGGATTTTCGACTTTGGGCAATTTTTTTTTTTTTTGCTTGTCAACTTTTTTCAGGTAAGAAAAAAAAATACCGGGGGGGCCCCCCCCCCCCCCCCACTTTCAAAAACGATGCTACGCGCCTGTATGTTGCATTCGTTATTTTCCAAATTTTCTGAAGTTTGTGTTTAAAATAGCATATAGGCTCGATGGTCCGGGTGTTGTTATTTTATACAGGTTTGAATATAAATTTATGTACGCATGTCGGTATAAATAAATAAATCACTAACTTACTTATAATATCCTAGTCTTTAATTGAATCAGATTCTCAGGTACAATAAAAAAAAACTATACAGTATCTTTGGCTCAGTATAGATAAAAAATGGTAAGGTTTGTTGTCTTTGGTTTTACTTCCCTTCCTGTTTGATACTTTTGAATTTTTTTTCATGAAATGTAATATAGCAGAAGAGTAATCAAGTTCATTAATCAAGTAAAGCATACGAATTTTCTTATCTGGAAAGGTGGGATCAGTTGCCTAGAGTGAGTAAGCAGCCGGTGACAGCAGCGCTGGACCCTCTTCATTCATCAGGGAGTCATGATGGTATAAAAACAAAGGGGCTTACATTTTTTGGTCAGGGAATCGTGCCAGAGATGGTGCGGCCAACTGTTCGATTATATTTAAAACAAGGTCATAAGAATGACCACAAAAATAGCATAATACTGAATTTAAACGAGATATTGATACTTATTTACTTGCTATTAATCTGCTTCGTAAGAAAAGTTAATCAGAACATGATCTTGCGTATCGAACCACTAAGGAGGTTTATGAATAACACTATAGGTATTGTGGAATTTTTTTCTTTCAAAAGGGTTGGGTCGGTGATAGGTAGACGATACAAGAGGCCCAGGGGCCACAGCGCTCACCTGAGCACATCGGGCTTGAATTTAACACCCCCCCAGGCGTTCATCATTTGAAAAAACTAGAATCTACACTACCTGAGGATGACTCCATATAAGTAACACTAATCATAGCTTTGAAGTACTTGAAAAGAAGATTTTAAAATGTTTCCCTATATATATATCCTTATGTAAAACTTGGGTGGACCATTTTGGCCCCACCCTAGCCCCAGGGGTCATGATTTGAAAAACTTGAATTTACACTACCTGAGGATTATTCCACATGAATTTCATCTTTCCTGGCCCAGTGGTTCTGGAGAAGAAGATTTTTAAAGATTTTTTCCTACATATTCCTATGTAAAACTTGGGTCGGCCATTTTGGCCCCACCTTGCCCTGGGGGTCATCATTTGAACAAACTTGAATCTACACTACCTGAGGACGATTCCACATGATTTTCGTCTTTCCTGTCCCAGTGGTTCTGGAGAAGAAGATTTTTAAAGATTTTTCCTATATATTCCTATGTGGCCATTTTGGCCCCACCCTTCCCGGGGATCATGATTTAAACAATTTTTTTTCTAAATGAGGATAATTCCACTTGAGTTTCACCTTTCCTGGCCCAGTGGTTCTTGAGAAGAAGATTTTTAAAGATTTTTCCTATATATTCCTATGTAAAACTTGGGTCAGCCATTTTGGCCCCACCCTTGCCCCGGGGATCATGATTTGAACAAACTTGAATCTACACTACCTAAGGATGATTCCACATGAGTTTCACCTTTCCTGGCCCAGTGG